TCAACATCAAAGACTGCTTATGGACAGCATACAATTTTACGTTGTTTTCTTTAGCTTTCTTTGTTTTACATAACCATTATAGTACTATTGGTAGCCCATATTCATAAATTTAAATAATTGTTAAGAATTATTTTTCAATGGTGCAATCAAAACATAACTTTATGCTGAAATACTAAGAAATTAATTACAATATCTATATTTCAGTTAAGAATTTAAAATTTCTTCTGTGCATTATTATTATTATCATATTAACTTGGCAACTTTTCTTTTTTTTTATCTGGCACAATTTTTAACCGCAAGATGAAAAAAAAATGATCTGGCTAACGAGGAGGGCAGGTCTGTCAACAGAGTGGCCTCGCCTGGCGCTGAAATCGTATCCTTGGCCGCGTTAAGCTCCTGGCGCTGAAATCGTATCCTTGGCCGCGTTAAGCTCTCTTGTCACAAATCAAGCGTGGAAGGTTTCATTTTTTTAAAAGTCCAACTTGCCTTCTAACCCCTCTACCCTACATGTCCTCGTGCCCCTCCCCTCACCAGCTGCGCCTTGTTCAAACTTTTGGGGAAATTTTCAAGGCCTGGCCTAGAATCTGGAGACATGCGACACGGTACTGCACACAGTGGGGGCACTGGAGCACATAACTACGTCACGCGAAAGGACACCTCAAGGCGCATTCAACCGTTAATGGTCGCCTTTTTCTAAACACCCTCCTTGTTTCGTCCCCTCACCCCTTGTTTCTGCCCCCCCCCCCCCCCACCTCTCACACACACAGAGTAAGAAGATCACTTCTCGCTAAGGTGCCTTATCACTGATTTTCTTTGTTGGCAGGTCATCAACAAACGATGGGCACACACTATCCGGGCATCAAAAACTTATAGGGCATATGCCCTCATTTGTAAACACAAAACAAACTGTAAGATAAAGAAGAATTCAAGTTTGTTTCCCTGTTAAAAAGGATGATAAAGAAATACGTATTACAGTAAATGTGGTAAAACTGATCTATTTACTATTCCTGATACATTCTTTGGAAAATGTAATTTCATTATGTTTAATGCGCCCACACTGTTCTCTTGTAAAATGTATGAATCAAGGATCCGCTGTTAACAAATAGTTTTAGTTTCAATGATCGTTACTGGTGTGTGAAATAGTTAATAGTATACCATAAATACTACACCAAACGTAACTTGAACTACGTATAGTAGATACCTATATTCTTTACAATAGTTTTCTGTAGATTATACTTTCCGAAACTTAGAAGAAAATTGTGGCTACATTTGTTTTAAAAAAGTGTTAATTTTTAAACAGAAGAATTCATTTTGTTTAGTTAGGTTGTGAAAGATAGGCTTCCAAAGAGTCAATATCAGTGGCGTAGGCAGGGGGGGTCATAACCCCCCCCCCCCCCATATATATAAAGTATGAGGGGGGTGCTAATCGAAAGTTTGAGGGGGTGCAAATCGAAAGTTTGGGGGGTGGGGTGCAAATCGAAAGTTTGAGGGGGGTGCAAATCAAAAGTCTGAGGGGGGGGGGGGTGCAAATCGAAAGCTTTTCCTCGGGTAAAAATTGGACCCCCCCCCCCCCCCCCCCCTTTGAGACGGTCCTGGCTACGCCACTGGTCAATATATTCGGCTGTTTCAATACTAGAATGCGTAACTTCCCGGGGGTGGTGTGGGGGGGGATTACAATCTACGGAAATAAAATATATAGGCCTCCGTATATCAAATAAGTAATTTCTTATACGTAAGCAAGTACTTAAAATTGAGCTTTCAATGTATCTTCTCTCATTGTCACACGTTCTCGTTTATTAGTTGTTTTTCATTATGGTTTGTTTCGCTCACAAATTTTTGACTACTAAACGCAATAAACATTTGGGTAAAATATAGGCCTATATGAATGTATTTCGAGTGAGGGAGATGTTTTGGATCGGGGTGTGGTTTTATCAATGAGGCTCAGTGGCACAACTCTGGGAACCGCTGCAATATCGTTTAATCAAAAATTCAAATAATATCGTCAGTGGCAAAAACCTATAAGGTTGTGAAAAATTATGTTGTTTAATTCTAAATTTAGAAAAAAAAATGTTGCTGGGACAGTTTCAATCCTCCAATACCGAACAAAAAAAATCACGTGATAATTTGTAACTAATTATCTAAAAAAAAAGCCTAAATTCCTAAATAATGGTCTTTTTTTATTATTATTCAGCTTCTATCATATTTATACAGCACTTTTTTACATTTAAGTATCTATAAATTACTTCCAGAAGGAAATTACAGCATATCAAGTTCCCCGTGTTCATCAAGAAACGGTCCTACACAGGGGTCCCGTTTAGCACTCTTTTTCAAGCCAAACACACTTCGTGATTAGCCTGCCGCGTCCTTTATCACGAGGGTGAGCAGGCGGAAAAACAACATTTTAGCGGTGGAATGGCCGTAGAAATTAAGGACAATAAATGCATTGTTTTGTTGGTCAAAGAAGGTGATCGCGTTAAACAGGCCCACTGGACTGCACGAAATTCTATTGTCCCTTCCATGGAAATTGATCCTGCGGTCCATAAAGCGCGCGCGGATGTCTATTAATCTTGCGACGAGGCAAATTATCACCTTGACCAGTTCTTTAGTATCACTCTGCGTACTCTATAGGGTGACCATGTTCGGATGGGGCATTGATGCGGCCCCTTTTGTGGGGAGAATACGAGGCTCAAATTTAACGTTAAAAATGTTTACCTGTACATGCTTGAGTTCAAGAGGACAGATAATTCTGCCCGAGGTGGTTCGTAACTTGTCTTCTGAGGAATGGTTAACTCGATAGGTGCCAACTGATGCTCGAGTCAGCTGATTTTTTTCCTCAAACAAAATATGGACCTACCTAATACAGGTGTTTAAGTTTAGTGTTAAAAGTTATATTTTAACACATAATACATTGGAACCACGGTGGACAAAGTCCGCGAGCACCAAGGGCCCTTGAGTTTTTTAAGTAAATAGGCTAAATCGAGAACCTGGAGGCTCACTAATTTTTAAAAATAAGTTTTAAGAAGGAAAAAGTAAACGTAAAAAATAACATTGTTAAACGGAGATTCTTCCGGGCATCTTAAGGGGGGAGGGGGGCGGAGCCTACCGCCCCCCACCCCCCCCCCCCCCCCCCCCCGAACTAGATGGAATATATATAGTAAAAATATACTTTTACTAGTGTCCGCCCCCACTTCCCACCCCCCCCCCCACCCGGAAAATGCTCCCCCCTCCCGAAAATATCATGTGCCCCCCCCCCCCCCCCCCGCCATGAGAAAAAAGTCTGGAAGAAACATTGTTCTTAAACAACTTCAGGAGCTTTAATAAAATAATACAGGCCAACATTCATATGACCATTTAACAAAGATAAAGTAGGCCTATATGGCAGCCTAAATTAAACATTAAACGAAGATAATGTAGGCCTTTATAAACCAAACATTTGAAGAAGATGATGTAGGCCTATATAAATCAAACATTTGAAGTAGATAATATAGGGCTACATAAATCGAACATTTAACAAAAGATAATGTAGACCTATATAAATAAAAAAAATTGAAGAAGATAATGTAGGTCTATATAAATCGAGCATTTAACAAAGATAGTATAAATCAAACATTTGAGGAAGATAATGAATAATTACAGGTTGTTTCTACGCTAGCCATTGCTTCCTACATATTTTTCTAAATTAATTCTGATCTGTTTTAAACACGGTAAAAAAAAGTATGTGTGTGTGGGGGGGGGGGGGGGGGGGGGGAGTTGTATACATTGACTTAAGACCGGATTTAGACAATGCCGTGGGCTACAATATAATCGCGCCCACTATCCGCCATTGTGGGAAATCCGGCTCGACTAGGTTTAGACTTGTCCAAGGCAAAAACCTCACCTCACCCAAGTAATTGTTCAGACTACAATAATTTGCATTTAGTTACAATTTAACAGAATTATCTTAGGATATTCATTTGGTGAAATTGGGGTGCTGGGTGCGTAGTTAGTGAGTTTCTACACTTTATCCCAGTGTACATACAATTAGAGTATCGAGTCCGGATCCTAGAGCCCACCCAGCTCAAATGAGTACCTGACTCACATTAGGGAAAGTAAAGGCGACTAGATATTATGTTGACCATACTGACCTTTTTTTTTTGCCGAGATAACTAAATCAGCTTATCTCTACTTCACCTGCCTCTAATGAGTGTAAGGCTCGAAACGGAATTTTACTTTCAAACATTTACAAAGTGAACTATTTCCTATAGCTAAAAAATTAACAGCATCCTCGTCCTGATTGTAGGATAACTTTTAAGTTCTTGAAAGTAAAAAACTCTTCATGAACGACACCACAGGCAGCTTGAAACTAATATATAGCACCTTAGTTTAAACTCGCTGGTCAAAATAATTAGTTCGTCTTGTTAAAATATTCATGTAACTAATTAAAGTTGCAACTAGGTAATCGTTTATCATGTGGTATTCAATTAGGAGGCTATACTTATTTCTTTACTTAGAGTACAAGGGCAGTTGGTGAAACACCTTATAATTATAATAGAACTTTATTATGAAAGTTACAATATTATGCACGGAGGCCTTATAATGGTAAGAATGAAGCATTTCATACTTAGAAGAATAAACAACATGATCCAGTATTGAAGTTTAGAATTGTTTTCTCCAGTCTAGATTTGATTACTTACACAAAAGACTGACTTGGTTTCTTTGGTTAGTGTAAGATATCACAGAGTCTACCCAGCTAGTTAATGTAATGTATGGTAGTGTGTAGTAGGAGTAGCACTAACCACACAATCACTTCACACACTAAGGTGAAGGTGAACTCATCCAAACAGACCAGAATTTTTAACTCCAAACTCGTAAAAACACACATGTAGAATTTTGTGGAATGTATTGTAAATGTGACAATCATTGAACTTTGATGTCTTGATATTAAAATACTTCTGTTTGTTGCCCAGAAAAAAATAATTGATAAAGAAAATTAACAAAATTCATTTTGAAGTTGTTTTTTTTTTCAATTTTCATTTTTATTTTTCGGCATCAGTAGTATTTACATATTTGTATATACAAGTATTTTTTTTTACATTTTTTTTTGCTTATTCTCATCAGTTGACATTCATCAATTACAGAAAACATTAACAAAGAAATTAACTGCCTAACAAGTTCCATCATTTAAAACACATACAAGGGACACAACTAACAAATATTTTTTTTAAAATCAAACAAGTTCTCCACAATTAGAAATAACAACTTTCTGAGAAGGCTTGCCAGATTTACTGCCCACTGCCTGAAATAAACAAAGAAACTATAATTAAGTATTAAAGAATACAACAGATCAGAAAATTACAAAAGTTATTTTTAATAAAGATGTTGAGAGTTAAAAAAAAACATTTTATGAATCATTGAAATGCAAAATCCCTATTCAAGGGAACAAACCTCCATTTTTCTTACAACATCCAATCCTTCAACAACTTTTCCAAAAACTACATGTTTGTTATCCAACCTTGATGTATAAAACAAAAAGTTAACATAAATAGTATTTAAAAAATGAACTATTTAAAATATCAAATTCCTAAATTTTTCTAGCTAGCAAGACATGGTTAATAATTTCTCAACAATAAACAGAACAAAACAAATGACATTAAAAGCTCTAAACATAAGAATTGTAAACAAAAGAATAAGTCATGTTTAATTTACCATTCAGTTCTCTCTGTTGTCAAAAAAAACTGTGACCCATTTGTGTTTGGTCCTGAGTTTGCCATTGAGAGGGTACCTATAAATTAAACGTTTTCCACATAATTACACAACAGTAGTTCATTACAAAAGCAAGCAGTTCACAACTCCTCTCTTTACATCTTTATTTAAAATATTCACTTGTGTGAGCTCCCCAAATTCCCCCCCCCCCATCCCCCTTTTAAATTCTTACACTGATGGATATTTTAATTTAGAATATGGACTACTGACTTAATAAAAACAATTGTTGAGAAAAACTTCAAGTTATACACTAAATGTCTGTTAGATTGTTATCAAGGTAGGTGGAAAGTTTATTTTCCTCGCTTCTCTGATTTGAACTATATCAACATAATTAGATAAGTGTTATGATTTGTAATTACTTTAAATTTTACATTTACTTTATTGTTGTAGTGCTTCATTTATTCAAACTTACTAGGCCCATAAATATAACGATTATAATGACTAAACTGAATAAGATGTAGAGCAGTATTTTTTTTTAAAAAAAACAACCCAGTAACAAAATAGTACCTGGGCCTGTGTGCTTGAGTGTGAAGTTTTCATCGTCAAACTTGCGCCCATAGATGCTTTTTCCTCCTGTACCATTATGATTGGTGAAATCACCACCTTGACACATCTTTGTGGATAGTTAAGGAAGATTAAGATTGCTAAATTTTAAAAAAGTATCTTTCATTACTTTCAATAAAGGTGTGTTATATTTTCATCAGTTATGCCCCTTTGCACATGTTTTAATTTGACATTTAAACAAGAATGCCATCAAACATTTTAAAGTGTTAAAAAATTACACTGTAAAATGAACAAAATTATATTAAGGATACAAATTGGGGAATAATTCTGTGAAAGGTGCAGCCTTTGTATCCAAATCCTTTTTCATTAGTGCACAGACTCCGGAAGTTTTCTGAAATAATATACAACAACATTTAAGTTGACATGGTCACAAATTTTAATGTTTTTACTGGGTTTTTTTTTTCATTTTTATTGTTATTACCAGGTAAGTATTTTTACAGATCCAAAAGTAGACTGAGACTTCAACGTTTAATATACAGAATTGTATCTTAGGCAGAGTACAATAGCTCAAATGTAGTTGATCAACTGGTGTTCTGTATTTTTGCAAACTTCCTATTACAAAATCACTTTAACTTTTCAGCTGGGTGTTGCATTAACTCAACAATTAATTTGGCTCATCCATAATGTATTGTTTTTTAACCCTTCTACCAGTAGAACACTATACCTATATGGTATGTTATATTACAATTATTCTTAAAATAAAAAATCTTTGTGTTTTTTAAGCATTTCATTTGGCATTACACATACTATGTTTTGTTACTCAGTTCTATTACTTCACACAAGAAAGTGGATAGTTTTCTGTGTTGTTAAGACTAAAGCTGAATCAACATAATGGAATTCCAAACAAGAATATCTTTACCATCCTTCTGGTTATCAATACAATTTAGATCCTTGTAAACTTCATGATAAACTACTGTTGTCTCAAAATGAATTCTTAAAACTTCAAACACAAATCTTACCTGCAGTTTTCGGCACTACGTCTGCCCGCAATTCTATGATAATTCTTCCAACATCTTTACTGCCAATTTTAATATCCATAAACACCTGCGGGTTTCCTGAAGATTTTGATTTCTTGGCTGGTGATGAGGTTTCCTGAATAATCAAGTGAAAGAAACGAATAAGATAACCAATTTTAAACAGTGGAAATTGGTACTTGCGCTGTAATGTGTAGATGTGTTTTAGTACTTGCACAATAGAGAGCTAGATATTAAAACTCTTAACTAAGATGATTACTAGGATAAACAATGATACATCTTAATGCATTGAGACATAAAAAGTCACAACACAAGTAATCCAATAATCCCTAAAAAAAAGTAACATTTAAATATTTTTTTAAAACATTCATTTTGATCAACTTAGCGACATATCACTACCAGAATGTGTATGTCTACAGTTATAATCAACAGATTTACATGTGCAGGTCAAGTCTGCTACACTTCTCTATTACCTGTATTTCTTCACCTGTCCTTTTCTCCCCCCTCTCCTCTGTAGCTTCACTGTTTGGTGCTGCCTCTCCTTCTTTGTCTTTAAGTGTGGCGCCTGCATGTTCCTGCAGCCACGTGTCATCTGCCCAGACTGTCAATCACAAAATTTTAACTTATATTACTCGCAATTACTTAACGATAAAAAAAAGTTGAATTTTTTTTAGCTGGAATACAGTGCTTCATGACAGCTACTGGGGCTGTCTACATCACAACAGAAATAATAAAATAATAAAACAAATTTGATTTCATAATAATGACAGCCTTTTAAAAGATACGATGATACAAATACTTACTTATCAGCAATGAGCTGAATTAGTTTTAAAATATGAATCCTGAACAAAGTTTTTTTTCCAAATAACATCTTTATGATCATTTTTTTATGCAAAGTAGAAATATTTTTTTAAAAATATATGTTACTGTGCTAATGGTAGCTAAGTTAAAAATAACAGTCTAAATGTTGATTTTCATATTTTAAAATAGGTAAAATATGTATTAAAAAATTAAACAAAATAAAAAATAAATTGTTTTTAGTCCAGATGAGGTGCTCATAAGATAATTTTTCAAAAGGAGCAATAGTCAGTTTTATACACACTTACCTGCCTTAGAAGCTCCCTCTTTTATTTTCATTGGCTTGGCTAAATTGACTCTGATAGTGCGCCCAAAAAGTTCAGACTCATTCATATTGTCGATGGCATGAGCAGCATCCTAAAAAAAAACAATAAACAGAGAAAACAATGCAAAAATACACTTTTCTTTTAACTGTTGAGAATAAACATGCTGCTCTGTCATTGTTATGGGAGTGGTCTAATAGTTGAGCATATGACTGCTAACCCAGAAGTCCCGAGCTCAAATTAGGGTTTAAGTCTGTAGAACATACCTGAGTCCACCCAGCTCTGATTGGCACCTCACACACATTAGGGAAAGTAAAGGTGGCTGGGCATAGTGTTGAACACAATATCCTATCATTAGCCATGGTCACAAAAACAGGTAAACTCTACTTCAACTGCCCCATGGACTGTTAGGTTCAAAGGGCAACTTCACTGCAACTAGCTGAACACCCCCCAAATAAGTTGATTGGGAAAAATATGTTTGGCAAAGTGAACATAGTGTTACTTGATTTTGGAGTAAAATTGAAAGGTGAGATAAATTAAAATTTTAGAAATATTACTTCCCATTAAAATGTACCAGACAGCTACTAATTGTCATACATGGCTCATCGAGGTAAAGTTAGAAAAATGTATTTGGTATGAGATGCTACAGAGTGTGAGACTGCCTCTTACAATATGACATCGAAAAAAATGTATACTGAGTAAATACCAGTATCAGTAGCTTGAGTCATTATACCAGGACTTACCTCAGCTGTTTCAAATTCTACAAAGCCAAATCCTCTGTGTTTTTCTGAAAAAACATTTTTAAACAAATAATTCAATTAAATAGGCCCTATATATAAATTTTGTTTTTCAAGAAAGCTATTTTCGTAATGAATATATAATAAATCATGATGTGTATGCAGTGGTTTTAACTTGCTAAGAGTTATAATATTTTTAATAAAACTCCTACCTGTTTCATAATCCAAAGGCATTTGAATATCTATAATTTCGCCAAAAGGTATAAACGCTGAATGCAAAACTTTATCATCCACTTCCTCTGCACACCCTCCTAGGAAAATAGAACATTTGCAATCAACTTTACAGTATCAATAATACTTTCATTTATTTAAAGGCAATGTTATTCAAACAATTTATTTTCAAGCTGCCTTTTAGATTAAACTAACAACATTAGAAAGAACCATTTTAAAGGAATGTATTTATAATTACTGTAAATTTATTTGTTAATCTAAGCCTACAGAATTGGAAATATGATAAATCACTTTTATTATAAAAAGTAGGCCTATAAATATAAAACAAATTGTTATTATAGCAAAGATTATGTAGATTCAATATTTCAGTTAGGGAAAAAATTAAACTGATTATAATTTTTTTTTTATTTCAGTCAATACATCTTTTGATGTTTGATCAAATGTGAGAAGTGGAAATATAGTATAATGCATACAATTCATTTTTTACTTTATTTTGCAGTTTACCAGATAAGTTATCCACTTGGTAAAATGTGCAGTTGGATGCCAAATTTGTAACAAACGTTCAATTAACTAACATCGCTAGAAAATTTGATTAGTGTTCATTGATTGCTTTGCACACAAAAATATTTGCAACTATAAGTTGCCACTCTATTTTACAAATGGCTGCTGTTTATATAGCAAATCTTGCTTGCAAATACTGCTGCTTTAAGTTAATCTCTGGCCTATAAGCTATATTGATATATTTAACCATTGATTTTGATTATTAAGTTATCTATAATATTTGACACAAATATATCACAATATACTTCTATTAATTAAAGTTGACAATGAGGTAACTTTTTCATACATTACTAGCCGCTGCCAATTTTACGTACCGCAAGCGTAGTATTACTCGCTAACCCGGAGGCGTGTCCGGTTGCTAACAAGAATATTGCGTACACACCGGACGTATGACTCCCAATGATTTTTCGTCTTAGTTCCGGAGACCTTCTTAGAATTACTGTTTAAAATGTTTACCACGAGCAAAATGGCGGGGTTTTTGCGTTATAAAAATAAACCATAGGTGGCAGGGCTATATATGCCAGAAAAGCATTTCAAATTTGGTTTGGAGAATATAGGCTAAATTCAAAAGTTGATTTCATTAAAATTAATAGAAATTGAAAAATATCAACTATGTAGGTACAAAAATGATCATGTAAGTAAAGCATTATTTAGTCTTTCAGTCTATGTAAAAAGAAATCAAATATTTGTGGCACTTTTTCTATAAGACCGGCTCTCATATCACAACCAATTTATTTTTATTATTTAAAAATCATGTGACCGCTATTTGGCTCATCAGTAGTGAGGAACTCTGGTGCATAGCCAATTAAAAAGTCTAACCGATTCGTGTTTTGCCGTGGCTGCAGACGTAAGTTGTGTTGTCATGGAGAGGTGTGTCGTGCATGGTAGTGAGTGAAAATAAAAATTAAATTAAGTAGGCTTAATTTAGTTTAAGAACAAACTAAACACTTCAAAATTAGTGCCTAATGGATTAAATATGGATGTTTATCATTCAGTGGTCATGTTTAAATTGAAAATTGAGTAAATTTTAGATTTAGTACAAAAAACTTCTTAAGCGATAGATTACCTTTTTAGTTTTTATTTAGTTAGGCCCTAGGTACCGAAAATATTAAAAACATCGATAATCTATTGTTTTAGGTACGTAAAATCGCCTGCGGCTAGTAATGTACGAAAAAGTTAACTCATTGTCAAGGCTTTAATAGAAGTATATTGTGATATATTTGTGTTAAATATCTATATATATAATTCTCTTCTGGGATCAGTTAGAAAACAAGCTGCAAGCGCGCCTTTGCAGTCCCCTCTCTTCCTCTCTATCACTATCACTACCACCCCCACCCCACATGATCTGGTGAGCGGTGTTCACTCTGTTTACATTTTACAATCATAGAGACGGGTTTGGTGACGGCTATTAGGGGCAGATAATTGAGTTTGAAACGATTTTAAACTTAGATGAGGTAACTAAGAGGAGGCTGCTTTCACGTGGGGGGGGGGGGGGGGGGGGGGGGGGGGGGGGGGGGGGGGGGGGGTTAGTGTTTTTAAGCAAATATTTTCAATGGCAGCATTGGTATTGTCGAATTCACAAATTATAAATTACTGAAAAGTAGAAAAAAAACCAACTAAATAGCGGCGTATGATACGCAGCGGGTCGGCTCGTTATAGATAAATGAATAATAAACCTAAATCAATGGCTAAATATATAAATATAGGCAAGAAATTAACTTTAAACAGCAGTGTTTACGAGCAGGATTTGCTATAAAACAAGCTGCCATCTGTAAGTTAGAGTGGCTTCCCCTGAATCTCGCGCTATAAGTTTATAAAAAAAACTTCAACAAGATGGCTGCTATAGTAAATGAGCAATGTTGCATCTGTTCCTGTTGGAAACATCGCTAGTTTTATTTATTAGGCTTCTGAAAAGTTTAATTCAATTGTTTAAAAACAGGTACATAAATGAAACAGGGAAACATTTTTGTATTTTTCAAAACATAAATCCTCCTCAAAACGTGAAATAATTATTAAAATTTAAGGAGTCACCTGTTTTTCACATTACTAGTCGCGGGCGATTTTACATAGCCTACCTAAAACGATAGATTACCAAAACGCCAAAACATCAAATACGACAAATAATAAATAAATAAATAGGCCTACATCCAATCTTCAGTAAAGTCCGAAAAAAAAAACAGACAGACAGGATTTTATAACCATATTAATTTTTAATACGCCGTGCATGATTTTTAACATATTTAATAGACCCTTCGAATACCTTTGGCCAGTTTTGGCCTTTCTTTGGGCCTTTACTGAAACTTTACTCAACTTTACTGAGGCCAGTGAGTTACTTGGACTTGGTCGCCTCCGTTGATTTGTTGAGAAGCAATAGTTAAACTTATTAGGCCTAGTAATTAGTTAAGCAAATTCTTTTAATAATAAAATAAGAAGAAAGTAATTCGACATTTTGCATGCTTCAACTGCATTTTGTAGATTTTAAAGAATTAATAGGACAAGAGGCCTATGATTATGAAGTATGAAGTAAACAATAGCTACTTGCCTACATAAACAAGACGTTTGTTACTGGAGGCTGCCATTTTGTGTAAATGAAAGTTGCTTCCGTTTTATCTGATGTTCCGTGAGTCTGATTTGTCTGCCGATCGAGAAAAAACATTAAAATAAACGTTGTATGACTATGAAATAGGATTTAGATCAAGATCTATGGCAATCTATAGGACATCTAAATTTTCTGCGTTCATATTCAGCTTGATATTACTGTGTATTATAATAAATATTGTGAATGGAAGAGGGGCGACAAAGCTGTTTCCGTCCTGAGAGCCGGGGCATGCAACTTTGCCACTGGGTAACCATAATATTTTAACAGGGAAACAACAGCTATTCTAATTCTAGCAACAGAGTTTCTTCCAGGCATCTCTTCGGAGGGGCAAAGCCCCCCCCCCCGAAAAATTTTTACCGCCCCCCGAACGAAATGAAATTTATATAATTTATATAGAAAATATATACTTTTAACAGTGTCCGCCCCCCCCCCCCCGAAGAAAGTCTACCGCCCCCCCCCCCCCCGAAAGTTTCAAGTGCCCCCCCGGAGAAAAAAGTCTAAACAGTTTTTCGTTGTTTTTAAAAAACTGCCTAAAATGACAACGCCCCCCCCCCCCCCACACACACACACTCCTTTTGCTTTTTAATACAGCGATTTCTTTTTAAAATATTCATTGAAATGGATTAAAAGTTGTTGTTGTTTTATATTAAATCACTCTTAAAAATTTATTACCCAATTTCAATGGCTAAACTGAAATTACCCCACCACCACCATCCACCTACTTTTGGCCACTAGTCCCGAATCGTCAAAGAAGTTCGAGCCCGTCTCCCATAATTAATAGTGTCTTTAGATATGGACGACTTTAAATCTTTCTATGGGACTTTATAAGGTTTTTGTAGGAGGGACTACCCACCATTGCTGAATAAATTTCTAATAATTGCTATGCTAATCTGCAAAAAATATTTCACGTTATCCAACAGAATCAAGACAAAGTACGCAGTTAAAGCACTAAAAAATAGAAGTGCTACACAGGATTAGCCTAACACTATGATCGACAATGAATAACGTTTCTCCTATGTCAAAAAAAAACAACAACTTTCCATTAGCATTTTTTTTTACTTATAACCATTTTCAATATTCAGAATGCCGATGTAAAAAATACAATGAAAAGCAAAAGTAGCCTACAGTTTTAAGGAGGGGGAGCATACATGACGTAACACGGCTCGGAAGAGTGTTTCATAATTGTTTAGTGTTCATTTAAATGTTTTGAATTAAGGGAGTTGGCATTAGGTATACGAAAACGATTTCGGGTAAACAGAAGTGGTACTTCATTCTATTTCCGTGAGAACACGATAATTTGAGTACTGTTTCATTTAGGTAGGTAAAATTTCATATATAAGATCTCATGCTTAGATTATTTTTTATTTTCACTGGCCCCCAATACCCGGAAGCTGCACTCTACTCTATTTCCGGTTTCTAAAATACCGATAACTTGAGTACCTTTTCAGTTAGGAAGACGATACTATATACGAACTGACCCGCGGCGTAGTATACGCCGCCATCTAGTGATTTTATTTTCTGCTTATCAGCAATTCATAATTTGTGAATTCAACACTACCCCCTCCCGCTCCCCCTCCCCCTCCCGCTCTCCCCCCCCCCCCACCCCAGTGAAAGCAGCCGTTTACAGACAAAGAAAAGATCAATGACCCTTCGTTTCAAATCGTTTAATACTAAATTATCTGCCCCAAATAGCCGTCACTAACCCGGCTCTACTATTGTAAACATTCGGGGTGAACCACAGCTCACCTGACAGGTGGGGGATAGTATAGGGTGGTGGCTAAGCTGCGTGGTGTTTTCTTTGGTCTCCATGAAGAGAATTATATATATATAGAAGATTATATAGATCTCTAAGTAATGGTTTCAGTATATAGATTTCTGATAGATTTGCACCCCCCCCCCCTCAAACTCTCGATCTGCACCCCCCCCCCCCTCAAACTTTCGATTTTCACCCCCCCCCCCCTCAAACTTTCGATTTACACCCCTAATCGTAGTTCATGGGTTTTATCGATATTTTTTTTTGTGTGTAAATTCTACTGAAATCTTCTTCTTCTTGGTTCTTAATTCTAGTGTTGGAAGATATTCTTCCGATAGCTCTTGACACTCTGGTCCACACAAGAACAATCTACAAGGCAGCAGTTGTTTGACTTTGGGGTTGTCTCTCCTAGATGAGCTGCTGTCACCAGCAATTAAGCTTCATCTGCCCAGAGGTTTTTCGGTTCAGCAACCATGAGCTTAACCATGAGCTGACTATGTCGACATCTCTACTGAAATGGTATCTAATAAATCGTTTTCTATTTTATCTTTTACAAACTATTAAGTATTTAAAATATTAAACTATGGTCAGTGTTTCTTCCAGACTTTTTTCTCCGGGGGGGGGGCACTTGAAATCTTCGGGGGGGGGGCGGTAAACTTTCTTCGGGGGGGCGGACACTGTTAAAAGTATATATTTTCTATATAAATTATATAAATTTCATTTCGTTCGGGGGGGCGGTAATTGGCGGTAAAAATGTTCGGGGGGGGCTTCGACCCCCCGAAGAGATGCCTGGAAGAAACTCTGACTATGGTGGAGTCCTTTTAAAATTTTAGAAAAACTTGAAAAATCAAGCTACTTTGTGCCTAGATACCAGATGTATAAAACTACACTACAAGGATCTAGATCTACACCAAATTGACATAAAATCTTCAATTTAATATATAAATGTTGTTTAATAGCCTTTAATAAATTAGTAGTATGGGCCTACAGCATTTTAAATTAGTAGTTTGTCTGTTGTTATTATACATTGCATGGTTTGAATTTAAATTTAACAAAAAAATGTGGGTATAGATCTATTAATATTTGCATCGCCTTAGGCTAAAAGTACCATCCCGACCTCTTAATAATATAAGAATACACGACATTTCTAATACGAGAAAGTTTAGGGTAGGCCTAGCTTAGGCCTACTCCCGCTTTATTTTTTATTACGGAATCACCTTAATTTGTTTATCGCGCCTGCGCGTATGAAGATTTCCGGCTCAAAATTATGGGCAACCAAAAAGTTACCCGCACCCTTTGTTTGAAGTTTTGCTAGAAAAATATACTTTTTACTCTTACCTTTGCTGAAGAGTGTTTCATATAACTTCGTAACTTCATTATACATTTGTGTTTGATACGCATCACAATAAATTAGTTATTGCCACTTAGATTTAGAAATAAACGATTGTAAATGTGATCGGTTTGGTCTTCCCTACTCAGTCCGTACTCAGTAACAGTCACACATGTCGGCATCAGCGACAGTCGACGACACTCTTTTCGGCTGTCTTGTCTTTGGCCAGTCAACTTAGATCTAGAGTCTAGATCTAACCTAATGTCAAGTAGATCGAGACAGCCTAAATATCTAGATAGAACAGTAGATCTAATCACTCCAGCGTAGGGCTGTCAGATCTAGGTCTATAAATTCTAGATTTCATAACCGCAAAATTGTGGTGAGTGTAGATTTCTACATTTTTTAAAGATCATCTTAAAAAATAAATTCTTATGTTAAAATTGCCTACTAAAATAAATTAAACGAGCCGACCCGCGTCGTATCAGACGCCGCTATTTAGTTGTTGTTTTTTCTACTTTTCAGTAATTCATAATTTATGAATTTGACAGTACCAATGCTGCCACTGAAAATATTTTAATTTGCTTTAAAACACTAAACCCCCCCTGCCCCCCCCCCCCGTGAAAGCAGCCTCCTCTTATTTACCTCCTCTAAGTTTAAAATCGTTTCAAACTAAATTATCTGCCCCTAATGGCTAATAGCCTTCACCAAACTCGGCTCTACGGTTGTAAAATGTAAACATTTAGTGTGAACCACAGCTCATCGTACCATGTGAGGTGGGGGGGGGGGTGGTAGTGATTGAGAGGAAGAGAGGGGACTGCAAGCCGCGCTTGCAGCTTGTTTTTCAAACGTCTCCCAGAAGAGTAGATAAAACGCACTCCAGCTAAGCCGCTAAACTCTAGATTTCCTAATTTAAGTCAGTGGAATGATTTCCTAATTTAAGTCAGTAGACATTAATGACAATTTAGTTCATGAGAGCCCTTCCATCACATTAATTAATAAAATAATTATGATTATTGACATGGATGAAAATCCTGTTGTTTTTTTTTTTCCAATTTTGCCTCTCTGGCTGTAGGCTATAGATTCTAGATCTAAATCTAAAAGAAATTGTTTTTAAAAACTTTCATATTTAAAGAATTGCCTATAAATATTGCAAGTGTAGAGAACTTACTAGATCTAGATCCTCTATTTTCATCAAGCATCGATTGGTTGTACACTAGTCACAACTGTACAGAAACTCAGTGATCATACTTATGAGAACCCCACTTTCTAGTAATTTGTACTCAAAACTTTACTGATAGAATTTTAAAAAATAGATAGTATTTTTTAAAGCCCATGCTGGATGATTATGGATACCGGTGTCAGATAATGGAATCCCCTTTAAAAAAGGGGTGTTGGGTTTTTAGTAGTATTGTTATTTGTAATCTCGACTAATTTTATGGTTAGAAATTAGGGTTAGGCATATGGTAGGACCCGGGTTGGGTTAGGGACAGGGTTAGCATTGACATTAGCCAGCCATGTGTGAATTTAGTTAACTACCAGTAACCTAACACCTCTTTTTTAAAGAAGGTTCCATTATCGGACACAGGTGTAAACATTCTCTCCAAATTTAAACAATGTAAGGCCTATTCAAGTTTATTTTTATTCAAGTTTAAGATTTTAATTTATTAAATCTAGATCTAGGTGTAAATCTTTTAATTAATCAAGTAATTGATCTTGAATTGAGATTTTTCAGTCCGTCTAACCCTAAATTAAAAGTAAATTATTCCTTATATTAACATATTCTATGGCAAAGTTAGTAGATATAGAATCTAGTTCTAAAACGAAACAAAAATTAATACCCAAATTCACTGACTTTTTAAAAAGTGTCTGTTCTCAATGAATGATTTGTTGAATTTTTTAAAAAGATTAGGTTTGGCATTAGGGCTAGAGCTAGTCATTTAGGCTACAGTTGGATATAAAGACATTAAATCTACATAATTGTATAAATATTTGAATCACAGCTGATTTACACAGAAACAAAAATCACTCTAACTCTTATTGACCCTAAGGCTATTCGAAGTGAATCACTAATAACTGCAACCTCCAAAATCAGTGAAAACTCACCTGTGCAATTTGGCATGCTGGTCAGTAGTAAAATATTGGAGCTATACTGTAAAGTCTTACACAAACTTCTTAAAATAAAGAAAAAATTGTGGTTTTGTTTTTGTCTAAAATTGCACGATTTATTTTTCCTGGCATAAAAAGGCAGAAAATTCACCTGTCTTTTAAAATATTTAGCTAGATGAAGATTCTTAACATTAATTCAGGTCTATTAGCCGGAGTTTGACAGTTAGGTTTGAGGTCACTTCCAGTGTAGTAGTCTGATTTCAAAATTACCTCAGAATTTTTTCATTCCAGTTTTGTCTCAAGAAGGGAGGGGGTTCTAACTGCTATGAATGAAAACAATTAGTTTTAACAAAATCTCCTTTAAAGGGAGACTATAAGGAAATCAGTCTTCTTTGGTTTTTAGTTCTAATATTGCAGTTTGGTGTCCTTAGCTTATGAGCCTTATCAGCCCTGGGATCAAATCTTAAGACTTTAGAGTTATGAGCTGTCCGGTCCAACATAGTTCATTATTTTAAAATGATACTTTGTTGAAATGGATTATCTGACACCCTGTTATAGAAAAATTTATGAATTAAGTTTTCAATTAGGAAATTCATTTGTGTGTGGAATTTTCCTATTTGAAACTGAACAGATGGCTCAATGTTGTCTTTAGTAGTCTTTATTTTTTATAATATGGGTTCTTCCATTTATATTGTAATGCAACTCATTACATTACATATATCATTAATTAATTATGGGCTAACTTATTAAAAGAATATTCAAAATATAAAATGATGGCCTATGTATATTTACTAAAAATCACAAATACAGATTACAGTCGATCTCAAATGAAGTGATGAAATTTAATATTAATAACTTGGAGGCTTGTAGTTCACTTAAGTTTTAATGGGAAAGCTGATTTTAAAATTTGCTGTGCACTACTTAATTAAGCACAAAAATTCAAAACAGTAATAAGATTATTTTAGAGTATTTTTTTAAATGGAATATATTTGTTTTGAATGTTAAATGAAGAACCACGATACACCCACAAGTGTACTCATATCCCATTGTTTAACACTTTATATTTCCAGTAACTATTATTTTTTAATTTGTAGTATTATACGTTTTCAGACCACTCAGTAAAGGATAAAGAGATATGCTCAATATGCAAGCACTGTTCATGAGTTGACTGCCAAAACTGTACTAGCTTAAATTTACTTCAGGTATGGTTCTCATTTTTTGGAATTTATAAATTTGCACTGTGTGTAGTTAATTACTAAAAATATTATTTTTAATTATTTAAATGTTCTAATTCTAAGCATTTTACCTGCAGTAGTGTTCTCATTATGAATGATTTTTACGTTGTTAAACCTATGAATAGTTAAATGAAGCAGTGCGTTGTGTTTTTTTTTTCCAGTTTGTTAACAGCATGGCACCATCTAGGAAAAGAGGTAATTTACACTTAGAGTTGCTTGATTTATTTATTTTGTTAGCTTTTTTTAAATGTGTAGGTCTCTCTAAAAATGTTGCAACAAATATATTTAAGAACCGACCCCACTTTAGTCTAAAATACATGCGTGTTGGCCATTAAATAATTGCTTCTGAACAAAAATCAGATTCATATAATTTAAGCACAATAAATAAGGCCTACATGTAATACACAGAGAACTTTAAAATTCAATAAAAAATTAACTTAGTACTAGTACTAAATGAACTTTACCTCATCTGCCCCATGTGTCTTCAACACCAATGGGAAAAGATTATAAATATTTTCGTTGAAAATTTTTAATATTTAAAAGAGGATGACTTAGTTACAAGCTCCTTTATCTTAATGCTTTAATTTTTATTTTCTTTGTTTTTCAAGTCTTAGGGCAAGAGTCTGATGTTGAGGTGGTTCTTGGTAGAAGGTCAAGGTAAACATTTTTTTTAAATGTAGCCTATTTAGGTTTCTAGATGATAAACAAAACTTTTTTTACAAGCTTTTATTTAACTTGCTTCCTCTGTCTGTCTTAATCCTGTCTAGATCGAAATCGGAGAGCAAAATTTCGGGTACTTCTAACCAATCAATTTCTTTGAAATTTGGCATGTGGGTCAAGACCCAATGAGGATGTAATCTGACATTAAATTTGACTCAATTGGATGCCTAATTAATTTTTTATGGATTGATTAAAATTTTCTGAAAGTAGTAGGCAGTCTTATCCAACAATTCTGCACTATTAACAGCCTGGGTCTCTTTCTAAATATTAGTAAAGCTATTCAACAGATAGTAAAATGACCCATGTTTTTCTTTATAGTAGTGTATAATTATATATTTAAAGAACATCATTTATTTTCTACTATTTATTATTACAGATTACATAAAAACTTGTTATTAAAACGTTTTTATGCAATTTTTTTTTATTGCTTATAAAATTGTTTTTGATAAGCTCTTTTATTTTGTTCTGTTATTGTGTTGTAAAACACTTTGTTTATTGCCTAAATTTAAGTTTTGGTACTTATAAAATTAGACTTTACTTTTCACTGTAGATCTGGTGTTAGTCCTGCTTCTAAACAAGAAAAAAGTCAACCTCAGGCAACAGCGAAAAAAGCTAAAGTTGTGACTGCTTCAACAGATTCTAAAATTGACAAGAAAAAAATCAGTGACATTTCATCACCAAAGCTACGCAGTAATACTTCAGGTACTAAGTCAACTAAAACAAATGAAGAGGCTGAACTACCACCAACAAGGAAGTCAAAAGCAGCTGAACAGTCAGTAGCAATTGTACCAGAGAGCTCTTCATCTACTCTCACTAGGAACCGTAGCAGCAGCAGGATTAGTGCTGCTGGCGTAACCCAGAAAACTGCTGAAGAGTCTAATGTCTCTACAAAAAAATCAGAACCAAAATCAACACCCAAACAAGAGCAGGGTAAAAGTCCTGCCTCTAAGAATGAGAAAAAAACAGCTACCCCTACAGTATCCTTCATTAAAAATAAAAAACCAGTTTCTGCAGAAAGTAAAATTTTACCTGAACAAGAAAGTCATGCCGAAGATGCCTCTGATGGTGAAAAGGGGATAGGCCTTAACAGAGTTTCAAGGTCTGGAACAAAGAAAGAGCAGAAAATGGTATCGCAGAAATCAGAAGAAAGCTGCGACAATAAAACACCAATTAAAAATGAACCGGTGAGATCACGACAGTCTCGATCTTCCACTCGGCAAGTACTTGATAAAAATGCAGATGAAAGTAAATCAGGTTTGCAAGATAGTAACAATGTAAAAGACACAGTTGACAATAAATCTAGACTGTCAGAACCATTACTAGGAACTAGAAACACCAGAAGCGGTCCTAAACCACTTTTAACTCCTGATGGAAAATCTGGGCAACAACAGAAGCTGCCTCAAAAAGCTTTAAAACGAACACCCCAGGCATCAGCATTGTGTGATCTTGTCCAACAAGAAAGAAAAAAGAGAAAAGAAGAACACGAATCACATGCTGCTACAGAAAAAAAAGGGCAAATCGAAATGCTGGAAGCAGTTGAATACACTGGGCAAATGGGAATTGAGAAGGATGAACATGAAAGTAAACCTACTGTTACGTTGGATTTAGAAAAAATCAATAATGATGTAAATTTGGCTGAAACAAACTGTGAATTAGATTCTTCAAACAAAACGGTGAGCATAACTGAGAAGGACATCAAAACTGAAGCAGAGACAGAAGGTTGTGAGATGTCTTTGGTTGAAAAAACAATTGATTTATCTAGTGATGGCATCGCCTCTCCTACAAACTGTTCTGATTTTGATGTTGATAAAGTTAAAACTGAAATAATTGAATCTCCTGAAACAGTTGTGGATCAAAGCTCAAGTGATTTAAAAGATGTGTTGAAAATAGAAGAGTATGAAGAATGCTCTGAGCTGATGGTTGTAGAAGACAGTTCTGTGAGTAGCATGCATGAAGGTGAGGTTAAAGTTGAACCTGAGACAGACCATCCAAAGCAAGCACATCAACACATTTTGACAGAAGCTGAAGATTATTCAGAATCACACCCAAAGATTAAAGAAATCAGCTCCATCAATGACAGCACCTTTAATGATTCTGAAAGGGATGCTAGCGTCTTACAGAGTCATGAAGCTGGTAGTAATAATGATACTGCAAATAATGAAAATGACTCTTCAGACAATGCTAAAGATAGTGAAGTTCCATGTGTTGAAAATCTGGCAAGTGATGTTAGTCCTGGCAGGAGTGACACAGATGTTTTAGCTAGTGCTACGGAAATGTCACAAGAAAATTCAGTTGCTGTGAAAGATAGCTCTTCAGGTATTGATACTCCATGTGTCATTGGCGATGAACTTTCCTCAAATGGAGAGGAAGAAAATCTTGATGGTGTAAGTAAATCTGGAGAACTAAAAGAATTAAGAAATGATAACGCTGATTTGCAAAATATTTTTGACACTGAGATCAAGCAAGAGATCAAAGATGAATGCGATTATGAGGATGTAGAGATTACATCCACACAGATGGAGTTTACCCCTGATGAAATAAAGGACGAGAAGGAAGATTTTGAGGTTGTAGCAGAGTGGAGCTCCTCTCAAAAATCTTCAACTGCTTTTATTTCTGAAGAAAGAAATGAAGAATTTTGCAGTTCTGAGGCAGAATTAGAAAGTATGGAATCTCCTGGCCAGGAAAATTTAGAAACCTCTCAAGCACAAGAAGGTGATAAAATTCTCTCAAAACATTCATTTCCTTCTAAATCAATAGTGGTAAAAGAGTATGCAGCATCTTCTGCAGCCAAGTTTTTAAACAGGAATCGTCCTTCCTTTGTTCATGGAAAAATTATTAGGTCAACAAATACATCTCAAAGTCCTTTAACAATTTTAGATGCAGATGACTCTCAGTCCCCATTGCCAGAAGTTCCAGAAAATGTTTCTGATGGCTCTACCCCACAGTCATCCTCAGATGATCAGTCTCAGATCAAGTTCCACCTAGCATCTGGCAAGACAGCTGTCATTAATGTGAAGAAACTTAGTGCCACAGATAAGGCTGATCTGAACACCATCCACATTAACAGCACCCCACTCAGTATTGGTAACATTAACAAATCTGTTTTTAACAAGTCAAATAGCTCCAGCAACCTGAAACTAACAAGTAATAAGGTGAGCTCTAATTCAAAAAACCTTGCTTCGTTTACTTTTCAAATGACTGTCACTCAGCCTGGGGGATCAGAAAGCAGTGATGCTCCTATCATCTGTTCACTGCCAATAGTGAAAACACAGGAGAAGGAAAAGGAAAAACCAAAAGCTGACAAGTCCATTGTTATTGACCCATCCAAACCACAAATGTTCAGCAAGGTTCCTGCTGGGTTAGTGTACCATTCCACCTTGACTAATCCTAAAACAAAGGAAATCATCTCAATGCTCACATCCAAGCCCTCAACCCAGACTACAACCAGCAACCCTGTTACAGCTGTTTCACTTCTAACAGGCAAGCCAACTGTAGTTTCACGATCTGTATCATCAACAACACCTACCACATCTAATACAGTATCTGTGTTGAACTCAGCATCAGTATCATCTTTGATATCAATAACTAAACCTTCAGATGCAGCTGCTAGCAATAAAAAGTTACTCTTACAAAAGTACAGCCCAGATGACATGGATGATGATGATATTTATCCAAACACAGATGGGAGCATTTTCCCTAAAAGATGTAAGAATTTTTACTTCCTTCTTGTAGTTTTGATTGACCCTCTAAAGAGTTCTCTTTTTTTTAAAGCTCATGTTTGGATACGTGTTAGCTTATAATATCTGTTTTGTGTTAAGTGATATTGTATTAAATTGTTCAATAATATTTTTCTAATTCTAAAATGTGTACTTGGTTATGAGTATACACAGTGGTGTGCTGTGTAACAAAAAGTAATTTCTAAAATTATTTCTACATTTAGCATCTTCTCTTTTAAAAGATTGCCATTGGGGTATTTGAAAGATGCACTTTCCAAAATATGGCATTTGTTTTCAATTAGCTTTTTATTTTTTTTATAAACATTTTTATAGGGAGGGTCATTTTTGTAATAAATATCCCCTCTTTTTTTCTTTCAGCAAAGGAATGTCCATGTCCTGGTTGTGATGGGCTTGGTCACATAACAGGGCTTTACACACATCACAGAAGGTAAGCAATATTGAGCACTCTAAATTCACCAATTACATATATCAATGGGAGAGAAATTAGTAAAATAATTAACCAACTTCAAAAATAATTATAGGCACTTTCTTAAAGAATGCGCTCAAGTACTTGGTTTTTTATTGCAGCATTTCAGGTTGTCCAAAAAGATCAGAAATTCCATTGGAAATGCTTGAATGTAAGTAGAAATTTATGACAATTTTTTTATACTAAGTATAAAATTCACCAAGATTTAAATTCTTATTTTCAGTGGTACCTTGAGATAAAATTAAACTCATTCTATAAAATTTAATATTGCTTGCATCTCAAAGCAGTTTTCTCCATTGAAATAAATTGAAATGCCATTTATCCGTTTCAGCCCCCAAAATCCCTATTCAGTCATTGTCATTACATGTTTTTTAATAATAGTGTATTTATACATGACAAATATTGTTTAATAACATAATAAAAGAAAATGCAAAGAAATAAACTGAACATATCTTGAAAGTGAGCCGACTTGAGCCTACGGAAAAGGCTGGTGGTGGTGTAGCCCCTAATGGAGGAGATAGGCATAGGAGCTTCAATTTGTTCTCTTATGCACTGTTTAAGCTAAGCTCTTTTTGTCACCTTAATTCCCTTTCTTTTTACACTCTTTAATGCTACACTTTATCCCTAAACTTAATGGAATATCAACAAAAATTAAACCCAAATGCTTGTATTTAGTGTTACACTTTCTCTTTAATTTCATCGCTGCTTTTCTCTTTGTTGGTCTTCGCTTTTCTGCCACACTTTTCTGTATAGGCGGTTAAAATAAACCTGTCCAAGGTGGGGTTATTTCCGCTCTTTCAAAATGTTTCAGTGTCATTTAATAGCTCCTATGCGTGATCTAGTCGGTAAACCTTATGGTTGCTAAACCGAAAAGTCTCAAGTTCGAACCCTCGGGCAGATGAGGCTCGTTAGTTGGGGACAGCCACTCTTCTAGGAGAGACAACTCCAAAATCAAACAACTGCTGCCTTGTAGTTTGTTCTTGGTTGGACAAAGCTATGGAAGCAAATCCAAAAAGAAAAGCAGGCTGAAATCGGAGTCAATAGCCTAAATGGCGCATAACCAGTTGACACGTATCCTTAATTCTGTTGGAAAGGGATCCCTTCCAACACTAAAAATTGAGAACGAAGAAGAAGAAGAAGCTCCTATGCAAAATCAGTTGCAACATATTTAGGGTGTTTCTTTTCCATGTTGTTAAACCCACTTAACAGGTAACTTGTTAGTGTGTATCTCAAATTTTGCTCATATGTCAAAGCAAATTTTAGCTCGCTCAACAGCTTGTGTCTCAAAAATCTTGTCTGGCGGGGCACTTCCCCCTGAACTAGACTGTCCTAACTCTTTTTTTTTTTAAGTGTTCTCAAGAACAAGGCTAAAAAGTTTTGTTCTCTTTATCATTTTTATTCTTTTACTTTGTGAAATGGAAATGTTGTATAAAAATTTTTATTTTACCATGACATATGACTCTTGTCAGTTTAAAACAAAATACTGTATAAAACTCTTAAAAAGCGGTAAGGGGGGGGGGGGTGGGGGTGGAATGAATGTTTGTGTCCTTCAGTTGGTCGAATGGGTATGTATAAAGGTTGTTTTTTTTTTGTGTGTTTACATTTTGGCTGACAAACCTTTATCCTATTGATGATAATGGTGTAATGCTCTTCACTGTCAGTGCCCGCTGCCTGTACAAAGTTCCTTATAAACTTATATATTTTACATCCAAACAGGAATTCTTTTAACCTTGTAAGCGACTTAGACACGGTGTGTACATAATTATGTACACAGCTTTTTTATTAGGTTATTTCATAAAAATAGATAATTGTTTAATTATGCAAAGTTTTCTTTTCCGAATATCATTACTACAACAAAATTCATCTCAGATTTTCACATTTTACTATTTTTAAATGGAATGAAAGCAAAAAACAACAGGTGAGTATTTTTATCTTAAAATTTTTTGTTGTTGTTATTAATAGTATTTTAATAAGATGTCCCATTTCATTATAAAGTTAATATTTTAGAATAATTATGTAATGTTTATACATTTTTTTAATATGTTGTCCCATTTTAGCACATAAATTTAGTAAAATAATTTTTAAATTGATTATGTACATGTTAGTACACAACGTGTCTCACTGCAGTAAATGTGTTTTTCCTTTATCTGGGTTTCATCATCACTTTTTAAAATACTTTGACGATGGTTAAAGTATGCTTTCAATAATGAATACACCTGCAATTAATCTCTAAACTTGAATAAACCAATGCCTCCATCTATTGGCCCTATTTAATGAAAAATATCTATTTTACAATATGTTGAGTTGATTTTGATCCTTAAACTAAAGCGCAATAGTTATAACTACTGTCCTAGTCTCACTACTACTTTCTTTTTAATTTTTACATTGTGTTTATTGATTGCCACAATATTTTAATTTTCAGCTCCCCAACACTTGCAGTATATGGTGGTGAATGATGTCTTACAGCATTTGGATGATTCAGAGATTGAGCTGTCTTCAGGTTCTGAGGACTCAGAAAATGAAGGTTTTAATGCTGATAAAAAATGTACAGAAAACAAGGATAATGATGAAGAGTTGGACCTCAGTCTAAACCAACAGTGTAGTGCATCTGCCAGTCAGGCACCTAAAAACTTGGATCATGCGCCAATCAAATGGAGATCACTGATTGGAGCCTTTCCCGATGGCACAGTTAACACTGCATGGCTGGACCGCTTTGATGTTGGCTATGGTTTTGATACACCAGCGCTTTATTTTTTACAATATTTCACATCTGAACTATTTGAAATATTTGCAGAGCAAACTAACAATTACCACTTTATGAAAACCGGCAAATGTTTGTCCACAAATTCCAAAGAAATACAAAAGTTTTTTGGCATGAACATTATCATGGCCAATTTAAAGTTTCCTAGAACAAGGATGTACTGGGAGAAGTCTACTCGGGTTAATGCCATAGCTGATGTTATGCCTGTGAATCGGTTCATGCTTCTAAGAAGCAACATTCACATCAATGCCGAGCGAGCTCCCCCACCCAATACTACCAATAAATTTTGGAAAGTTCAACCACTAATTGATGCCATAAGGGCTCGTTGTCTTCAGCTACCCAGAGAGGAGTTCAATGCTATTGAAGAACAGATGATTTCATTTACTGGAAAGATCCCGGCCAAGCAGTTTGATAAAGGAAAGCTAAATCCATTAGGAATTAAAAACTTCTTCATTTGTGGAAGGTCTGGAAGGGCAATTGATTTTGAACTTTACCAAGGTGCTGACAAGGGCGATTCCTCAGATAGAACCCACTTGGCGACATCCATGGTCTTAAGGCTGGTGCAAAGTATTCCATATTACAAAAATTATAAGCTCTTTTTGGGAAAATACTTTACAAGCATCAAGCTCATTCGTGAGTTAAGAGCATTGGGTATTCTGTCCCTGGGTGTGATAACAAGAAACAGGTTGATGGGATGCAACCTTAAGACAGAAAAGGAGCTCCAGGAGGAAGGCACAGGCTATGTGGATAGTAAAGTTACACCAGAAGGAGATGTCTGTTTGCTTAGATGGCTGGACAATGGTCCTGTAACATTAGCCTCTAACTTTGTCAAGGTGGGCAATGAAGGCAAAAAGTGGAGTAATGCCAAACAGGGTTATGTTTTGGATGACATGCCAAAGTGTGTCCAGATGTACAAAGAGTATGTGGGCGTGGTTGACAAAATGGACTGTTTAATATCCAGGTATAAGATACGAAGTAAAACAAAGAAATGGCCAGTCAGGATGATATTCCACTTTGTTGATTTTGCTCTGGCCAATAGTTGGCTGGAGTACAGGGATTTAGAAATAAATAACAGGCGAGGAAGGTGGTTTTTAGATTTTCTAAACTTCAGAAATGAAGTAGCAGATACCCTGATCAACTTATGCCTTATCTCACAAGCCTCCTTTCAGTCAGTAGTGATACCTGTAAATTCCTCTACTCCAAGAAGGGTAAAAGCAGCTAAAAGACCACCAGCTTATATCAGATATGATTCTGTTGGCCACTTCCCTTTCTGCGTCAAAGGATTAGATGAGCGCTGCAAATTGGAGGGTTGTTTTGGGCGTAGCCAAGTAAAATGTATGAAATGTAACTTATTTTTGTGTTGCAGTAGTGGAAAAAATTGTTTCCTCGAATTTCATGTAAAAGATTGGTAACTATGTTTATTGAATGTTAATTTTATTTTTGTTATTGTGTAAATAAAGTATTACATTTTTTCTTTTCACTGAGCCTTTGTGCCATAATTTTCTTGTCAACTTTATGTTTGTCCTGTTTCTGAGACACAGTGCAGATATAAGTACACATTCCATAATTTACATATGTATACCATGTAATCATTTAATAAATTTAAGGTTGTGTAGGATGAAGTGACCTGTTTGAAAAAAAAAGGGGCATTGGTAATCGGTATGGAGGTATAACAAAGGGTTGGTGCCCTGGGAATGGGTTTGGGTACAGACCTAACATTGCCTAGCATAACTAAAATTGTATTAGAAGTGTATTGTCGATAGCATTAGGTAGAGTGTCACTGATTTTTAGAAAAAAAGGAATTAATGTTCAATTAAGTTTTACTGTGTTATGTATTTATAAAAAGTTCAATTTCTCTACATAACATTAAAAACTTATTTTCAAAAGATAGCATTCAAATAAAAAAAACTTTTTTTTATCTCCAGCCCTACTAAGAAATGAACAAAGCCTTAGGTATGGTTAATTTTATTTTTTTTATTCTAAAGAACACTCTTTTGAGACTCCTTTGGCTGTTTTGACAAAAGAAAAAAAAATATGTTCTTTACTCAAGCATTTCTCATTCTTGCTGATTATTGACTAAATGTCTAAAATATTAACTAATTACTTTTCAGATGTCCAACCCCAGGTTGTTCTGGTAGAGGCCATATTAACAACAACAGAAGTACACACAGAAGGTAGGAAATAGTAACTGGTACTCTTTCAATACATGTAGAATTACTTAGAAAAAAATTCAGAAACCTTATTTTAAATGTTATCAATAGATTGTTATGAAATAATGCAACCTGTACAGTTTCATAAACTTGTTTTATCTTGCCTAATTAATATTTTAAAACATAATTATCATGTCATTTTTAATTTTTGAGTACATAAACACTACAAAGCTTTATAATTTGAATTAAACATGTTTTTATTTAAATCTTTTCAAAGTTTGTTTGCTAATTGTTTTAAATTGTTCACCTTTGTTAACTGTAAAATTGTTCTAATAGTTTATCAGGTTGTCCTCTTGCCGCTATGACAAAGCTGATGTCACAACCACAGCAAGGTGGGAAAGGTATGTATCTTTAGCTCCTGGGGTTGTTTTTTTTTTTACAAGACTGTTCAACAAGATGTTTTTTTTTACAAGACTGTTGAACAAGATGCTAGATAGTTCGTTACTTCATTTTTGACATTCAGAACTGTTTTTCTTGCCTCCTCAAAGCAATGCATGTGGTTGTTCTGCCCAAAAGTGATGATCCTACAAAAGCAATGATAGCTACCTGCACAGAAAAGGATCTTATCAAACTTGCTGCTAAAGAATTTACCCCAGGTACATTTTTTAAAGGTACAGATTTCCCTGGTATTCAAATTTCTACACTATATTTTTTAAAAAATTTATATTTTATTATTTATTTTTATTCACTATAGATAATTTTTACTTAATTTTTCATATTTTAATGTTAAGTAGTCGTTTAATAAAACTTTGTATTCTGACTGGAAAAATGTGCATTTTTTTTTTATTATGATGTTATTCCAGTAAATAGGATTAAAGCGGGGGGGGGGGGGGGGGGCTCACAAGCTGTATTAGCTATGTTTATTCTTAACTTTTTATCATTTAATTGATCAGGTGGGACAGATCGTGTTTTGAGGCCAATGATTTTAACTAAACAGCTTGAACCTAGGGACATCAAATCAACACCACAGCCCACACCCAGGGGGAACTTAGCAAAGGAGCTGGAAAAGTATAGCCGGCCTGAAATATCCTTTAACAACCAAGAAGGCACAAAATTTGAAATGAGAAACGCATTAGATATAAGACTAACTTCAGTTGAAGGTGCACAGAGTGAATCAAATAAGTCAAAGCCATCTCAGAGTACTACTCATCAGTCAGGCCATGCACCAGTCAGACCAAATATATTGTCTCGCAGGCCCCATATGCGCCACAAACCAAACTTGCTGAGGAACTCAATCGGATCAACGGGAAATAAAATACTTGATAGTGCAGGCTCTGTAAGAAGTTCCAGCCCAAGTTCAACATCTTCCTCATCCTGTGTATCGTTGCTGTCATCGGTCAATGGACAGAAAGTAGGGCCATCTGAAGCAGCTGAGAACGGGTAGGTTCGCTATATCTTTGTTATTTGTTAGCTAAATTACTTTACATAATTGTTTACAAATTTTACTTCTGTTCATTTTCCCATTTGTTAAACTTTAATAAATGTATTTTAAGGTGAAATATTGATTTGAAGTGATTAACATTTTCTCCATTTACAAATGAAGTTGATCTTTTATGAAATTTATACAACAGATAATGCTGTTCAGGAAAAACCTTTTGGTCTTTGATAAAAATTAATGTAATAACAAAAACCACAGTTTATAGAGGAATTAATTGTATGCTGTATGAATTCTTTTGTTTGATTTTTAAATGCAAATGTAACCTTTATTTTTCTTGAGGATAATTCTAAAATTCCCTTTCTAAAATATATAAGTGTGCAGCGTACACTTTTATTAATGATAATTATTGATCATTTCTATTTCCTGTATTGATAAACTTAAGATTTTTTCAATGTAAATCAAGTTGTTTACTTTTACATGTTTGTTTAGTATAAGACAACTTGATGAGACACTAGCTTGCAATTGGGCCTTTACTTTCATTTAGTGTGCAAGTCATAAAATTGCTAAAATGATAGTAATAATTTCTTCACATATTATTCATAAGTACAGTTACTTAATACTTAAAATACATAGTGAATGTGAAAAGTAATATTCCTGTATGAATCTACCTCTGGGTGTTAAATGTTTGCTTCATTGATTTTTCTTCGCTATACCTTTACTAATGACAAAATTTGTATTATTTTACTACTTTCATTTAAAACAAAATTGTATTTTGAAAGTTTCAAGATATAAAATAAAAATATTTACTTTTAATCATCTTTAACATATTATGTTGGATTTGATTATTTTTGTTTAGTTATTTTGGTTATTTGTTATGTACTTGAATGAAAAATATATCAAGAATGCAAGCAAAGATGTAAAAATAAAATGGAATCTTACTTAGGCAGGCTTTTTTTTTGGTTTATTAAAGTAATAGAAATGAAATTTAGTGTACCAAAGACTTTGAAGATGAGAAGCAATAATTCATTCACTCCAATACTTTTTGTCCATATCACTAAAATATTTTGTGTATTTTTGCAAATGTAGAATCAAATTGAAATGTTCATTTTGTTTTTACAATTAATTTTTGAAAATAAAAAATTTCATTGATCTGATATATTTTAACCCTTTGTGTTCAAGTATACATTACATTTGTTGTTAAAAATATTTTAGGTATGTTCTACAGTTGTTTTTATTATAATCTGTGACTTATACTGGGTTATTGAATAACTTTTATACTCTTTCAATTATAATTATTTTCCTATGAAAGCTGAATTGTAGATATTTTTTCTAAGATAGTCTTAATTGTAAAAAATGTATTTCCATTACTTTAAAATTCAAATGAAATTTAAAACATGTATGTTATCATTATAGTCATAAAATTACATTTATTTTGTTATTTTAATTATCGTAAACTAAGATTTGCTACATATTACTAATTGTAAAAGAAAATTGAAATAAAATTACTATGTTTAATAAAAAAAAAACATTTTAACCATAAGTGTTATTTTTATTATTGTACTGCAAGTTTTTTTAATCGAAACTAATTAAATTATCACTTACATGCTGAATAGTGAGGATCACTGATAACACGAGAGATGCTACTACATCTGGTGCCAAGTGTTTTAATAATCTATTTAACCATGGAAAATACCTTAAGAGCTTTTTATTTTTAGTAACAAACTTTGTAGTTAAAACCACCAGAGTATATTGTGAGATTGATGTCTGTTATATTTCAGTTCTCTGAAAAGGTTTCTTGAATATATTTATATGCTAACATAGACCTTTTGTTGTCTTGCTAGATGGTGATTGAGTCTGCCTGTACTTGTAATTTTATTTATCATTGTGGTTCATAGTTAAATCTTGAACTAATACTGTTGTGGGAATGTTCTAACTAGCATGCATTGCTTTCTATTTTGTTGCTGTCCTGCCCTAGGTCAAACATAAGCAGTGATGAAGATGAAGATATTGATAATTCAAGTATCATCAGCGGTGGCCAACTGTCCAGTCGTTGCCCTTCCCCTTGTGCTAGTCCTAAGTCGTCTCCTTCTCCAAGCCAACTGTTTGATTACATGGGACCTCGTTTAGCCTCCAGGCAGAAGTCTGAAGCCACCTGTCCCACCCCAGGGTGCGATGGCTCAGGCCATGTTACTGGCAACTACACTTCTCACCGTAGCCTGTCAGGCTGTCCTTTGGCAGACAGAGCTACTGTACAGGCTAACCAGGTGGAACAAAAGTGAGTTTGCCGTCATATTTGTGGCTGTTCTTTATTGTCAATTCTGCTGCTTCTTTTTAAGTTTATTTGGCCTTATTTGGATTTTTCTTGTGTTTACTTCACTGCTTGCTGTTGACCTATTGGTGTTGTGGGCTTATTTTGAGTTGCATTTTCATTTTGAAACACATAGTCTTCAACATTCTAAATTACTCAAATTTTGTTTGAAAAAAATAATTTTGCATGGATCTGTTCTTTTGCTGAGGTCAGCATTTTTCTGGTAGCTCTTTGTTAGACATTCCCCAACTCTTCAAGTACTAAAACCAGTAAAAGACTAAGTTCTCTCAAAATTTCTGTTTTAAAAAGTGTAATCTCATTAGTAGAGACACAAAAATGAAAAACTTGACAAGTTGTTGTCTGGGATATGTAACTAACTTCAGCTTACTCTTTATCATAGCAATTTAAAAGTACATAATTGTTATGGCTAATACAGAACAAAATATCGTACCTTTCACAGTGCATATAATAAATCCTGTACTGGCGAAAACTCTTTAGAATAAAAATATTTAAATAGCATCTGATACACAGGTTGTTACCAATGTGAGGACCAGATTAAATTAATTTCCTCAAAGAGTTTAGGGCCTTAGTGTAACAGCTAGACTAATATAATTAAGAGATTTCTTTACATGGAGCGAAATAGTGAAAATTGCTTGACTATTAGTTAGAACACAATATTAAGCGATTGACTTAGATTGAACAACACTTTATCTCGTTGACATGACACCTGGATGAAATAGGTAACAGATCAACCTAATCAAGCAGGTCAACCAACCAATATATTAGAATCAAGGTAAACATTTCTGTTAATTTTTTTTACGTTTTTATTTTTATTTATGCTTTACATGTTGTTACTTTTTTAAATTTTTGTAGTGAAGCATTTGATTGGGTTATCTTTATCATTTATATATTAATGTCAGTTTTATAATAATTTAATAGTCCTAGAAGAACTAAGGTTCTCAGTTCATTTATTTTTTTCAACCATTTACTTCTACTGTACTTATCTAATAATGTGTATTAAACAAAGATTTAGATAATAATTTACTTGTCCTTAAAATAAAATGTTAAGAAACCATTCTCAAATCCAATTATTTTGTTTACAAAGTGTAATGATGCAGGATTGCACACAGTGTTCTTGGACATAAAGTGGGGTTGGGATCATGTTTGCCATATGTAGGTGATTCAGACTACCATAAATAGATCATGGATCATTACTTACACCTGTCCTTATATACATAATGTGTCACAAATCATTTTGATAAATTTGCTAGCTGATAAGTTTCAGATTCTACATCAATTGTAATGAGTTGGCTAAAAAAAATCTTGTCAGCAGTTGATTTTCCCTAGATGTATATTTAAAAAAAGTCCAATATTTAATTCTTGACCCCACCCCCTCATTTGGAATTCTTTGACATAGAACAGTGGTTCCCAACCTTTTTGGAGTGGCGACCCCCTTTTATAAAAATTAAGTGACCCGCGACCCCCATAGAATTAAAAAGCCGAAATTAGTATGGAAATTAATAAGCACTAAAATAAGATTTTCTAGTAGACTTTCAATATGAACTACTCTTAATAACTGTTTTAATACCATGAGTAAAAGTGCACACTATTCACTAAACATTCGCGGTTAATTTTTTTTTAAAGTATTTTTTTTGTTAACGCCAACCTATGTCATTATCATTATCTTAATTTTGTTTTTAATCGAAAAATAGTGTTGAAAATCTATTCTCGAAAAGTCAATAAATTTTACGATTGGGTATGAATGGTGAATACTACACCAAAATTGAGTGTGCAGTTTTTTATCTTACGCGGAATCATTCTACAAATCAAAGAATTCATCTTGTAATTCATCGTGAATGCTGGAAACATCGAGGGAAGAAGAGAATGAATGATGCGTCAATGCAGATTCTTTTTTTTTCCAGCTCAGAGAAATAGCACTGCAGTTCGTTTTCACTTGATTCAAGATGCCCAGAAATTTCTTCTTTTAAAATTTTAATTATCTCACAATTAGATTCATCTACCACACTGCAGAGTTTCTCAAATTTACAATATTTCCAAGATTTATTTTCTTCGCCGATTTTGCAGCTTTAATAAAAATGCCCCGAGATAATCATGGAAAGTGATAATATTCGTTCATAAGGATAATATTCGAACACATCTGCTAGGTATGATACTCTCTCCAACCACTCTATATCGTTTTAAGTATATCAAAAGGTCTTGTTTCCTTTGCATTTCCAAGAACAATTTGATTTCAGATTTCAATTCAAAAACACGATTCACAACAATTCATTTGACAGCCAGCGCAATGTAGTGTAGAAGAGCAGAACCTCGTGATCTTTATTCAGGTCTTTGCTCAGTTCTTTGAAGGCTCCAGATTTTATATAATTTACCACTTGTACTAGCAATGGAGTCTTGATAGCGATTGGTGAGGGCAGTGGATAGGGAGCTAAATCTTTTCTGCTTTCTGAAAGCCCGATTTGACCTAAACATAGATGGTGCACCATCCCTAAAAACCCTCACAGCCGTTTTAAACCATTTTAATCATCCAATTTAAAAAACGTATTTATTTTCTCCATGCTATCTTCACAAAAGAGAAACTCTTCTTTGCTATCATCTGAATGAATATAGACAAAGACCAGCAACTGCGAACACGAACTCACGTCTGTTGATTTATCAACTTGAAAAGCAAACAATGGTGAAAGCTTAATTTAAATAAAAATGTTTTATTTAACATCTACGGACATGTAAGAATTAACTTCACCATCTTCAACATGCAGCGTTTGATGAGATTTTCTCCTATTGTGTTTTTTTTTTGCTAGGCATTTTCTGTCGCAACTTCATGTAATGCTTGCACTAATGCTGTGTTTCTTTGGTGAAAACTTCCTGTTCGATCAAGTCTCTTACGTTTGCAACTAGCTTCATATCGACGAAATAACTCCATATCTTTTTTGGTGTGTTTCGAATGACGCGTCTCATATGACGTTTTAGTTTTGAAGATTTCATAAACTCGTGACTGAGAACAACTTTGTACAGTACGCTTTACTTCTTCTCTATTCCCTTTCCAGTTATGTTAGTAAATCCGAATTTCAAAAATTCTTCTAAATATTTATGTTTTGTTTCAAATTACTAAGGTTTAGTATACCAGTTGGCGACCCCCCAGAAAGCCCTTCGTGACCCCCAGGGGGGTCGCGACCCCCAGGTTGGGAACCCGTGACCTAGAAGAATGTCCTGAATATATAAAGTGTTTAAACAAAAGTATTCAGTAAATTTGTGTTGAGCTTGAGGTAAAAAGTCTTGTGTGTTAAATTAATTTGTGTTGCGAAAAAAGTAAAGCTCCCCTTTCAGACTTAAAGATCCATAGGGCAGATAATGAAGAGTTCATATGTTTCTTGATCTCAACATATGAAGGGATGGTGTAGTCAGCACTATGCCCGGCTGACTTTACTTTCCCCAACATGAGTCAGGTACCCAGAGCTGGGTGGACTTAGGGATGTCTGATAGTCCTGAGTTTAGACCGAATAGTCTACTGTGTTATATATGTTGTGGTTGAGGTAAGAAGCCTAGTGTGTTATATATGTAAGTGTTGTAGTTGAGGTAAAAAGTCTAGTGTTATATGTAAGTGTTGTAGTTGAGGTAAAAAGTCTAGTGTGTTATATATGTAAGTGTTGTGGTTGAGGTAAAAAGTCTAGTGTGTTATATATGTAAGTGTTGTAGTTGAGGTAAGAAGCCTAGTGTGTTATATATGTAAGTGTTGTAGTTGAGGTAAAAAGTCTAGTGTGTTATATATGTTCTTGTTGTGGTTGAGGTAAAAAGTCTAGTGTGTTATATATGTAAGTGTTGTAGTTGAGGTAAGAAGTCTAGTGTATTATATATGTAAGTGTTGTGGTTGAGATAAGAAGTCTAGTGTGTTATATATGTAAGTGTTGTAGTTGAGGTAAAAAGTCTAGTGTGTTATATATGTAAGTGTTGTAGTTGAGGTAAAAAGTCTAGTGTGTTATATATGTAAGTGTTGTAGTTGAGGTAAAAAGTCTAGTGTGTTATATATGTAAGTGTTGTAGTTGAGGTAAGAAGTCTAGTGTGTTATATATGTAAGTGTTGTAGTTGAGGTAAAAAGTCTAGTGTGTTATATATGTTCTTGTTGTGGTTGAGGTAAAAAGTCTAGTGTGTTATATATGTAAGTGTTGTAGTTGAGGTAAAAAGTCTAGTGTGTTATATATGTAAGTGTTGTAGTTGAGGTAAAAAGTCTAGTGTTATATGTAAGTGTTGTGGTTGAGGTAAGAAGTCTAGTGTTATATGTAAGTGTTGTGGTTGAGGTAAAAAGTCTAGTGTGTTATATATGTAAGTGTTGTAGTTGAGGTAAAAAGTCTAGTGTGTTATATATGTAAGTGTTGTAGTTGAGGTAAAAAGTCTAGTGTTATATGTAAGTGTTGTGGTTGAGGTAAGAAGTCTAGTGTGTTATATATGTAAGTGTTGTGGTTGAGGTAAAAAGTCTAGTGTGTTATATATGTTCTTGTTGTGGTTGAGGTAAAAAGTCTAGTGTGTTATATATGTAAGTGTTGTAGTTGAGGTAAGAAGCCTAGTGTGTTATATATGTAAGTGTTGTAGTTGAGGTAAGAAGCCTAGTGTGTTATATATGTAAGTGTTGTAGTTGAGGTAAAAAGTCTAGTGTGTTATATATGTAAGTGTTGTAGTTGAGGTAAAAAGTCTAGTGTGTTATATATGTAAGTGTTGTAGTTGAGGTAAAAAGTCTAGTGTGTTATATATGTAAGTGTTGTAGTTGAGGTAAAAAGTCTAGTGTGTTATATATGTAAGTGTTGTAGTTGAGGTAAAAAGTCTAGTGTGTTATATATGTAAGTGTTGTAGTTGAGGTAAGAAGCCTAGTGTGTTATATATGTAAGTGTTGTAGTTGAGGTAAGAAGTCTAGTGTGTTATATATGTTCTTGTTGTGGTTGAGGTAAAAAGTCTAGTGTGTTATATATGTAAGTGTTGTAGTTGAGGTAAAAAGTCTAGTGTTATATGTAAGTGTTGTGGTTGAGGTAAGAAGTCTAGTGTGTTATATATGTTCTTGTTGTGGTTGAGGTAAAAAGTCTAGTGTGTTATATATGTAAGTGTTGTAGTTGAGGTAAAAAGTCTAGTGTGTTATATATGTAAGTGTTGTAGTTGAGGTAAAAAGTCTAGTGTGTTATATATGTAAGTGTTGTGGTTGAAGTAAAAAGTCTAGTGTTATATGTAAGTGTTGTGGTTGAGGTAAGAAGTCTAGTGTGTTATATATGTAAGTGTTGTAGTTGAGGTAAGAAGTCTAGTGTGTTATATATGTTCTTGTTGTGGTTGAGGTAAAAAGTCTAGTGTGTTATATATGTAAGTGTTGTAGTTGAGGTAAAAAGTCTAGTGTTATATGTAAGTGTTGTAGTTGAGGTAAAAAGTCTAGTGTTATATGTAAGTGTTGTGGTTGAGGTAAGAAGTCTAGTGTATTAAACAGGTGCCCCACTCCAGGCTGTGATGGTTCTGGCCATGTAACAGGCAACTATGCCTCACACCGAAGCCTCTCTGGTTGTCCCCGAGCAGCCAAAATAAAGAAAATACTGATGAAAGAGGGTGAAAGGAAAGAAGCTGAGGACCCACTACGGTAAGATAAATCATCTATTCATATCTTTTTATTTGTAGCTATTGCTTGGGTCTTTAAAAAATAGCAGTGTTTCTTCCAGACTTTTTTCTCTGGGGGGGCACTTGAAATCTTCGGGGGGGGCGGTAAACTTTCTTCGGGGGGGCGGACACTGTTAAAAGTATATATTTTCTATATAAATTATATAAATTTCATTTCGTTCGGGGGGGCGGTAAAAATTTTTCGGGGGGGGAAGAGATGCCTGGAAGAAACTCTGAAAAATAGTATAAATGTTTAGGTTGGTAATTATGAATCAATCTTGTAAATATTCAAATTTGCTAAATATTTTCATAACCTATCCCAGATTACTTTAAAAATATCAACCTATTCTATTTTTTTTTATTCACTAAATTTCTTTATCACAACTAACCGTGACAGTTTTTTTTTTAAAAATAATTTATAGATTGTAATCGCAAATACTCTTGAGTGGCCACATATTGATTAAGCTGTAGCATTAGGTAATGCTGTCTATAGATTGCTGAATACTAATACTACTTAATCTAAAGCTGCCCTGTCCCAGGATGTGATGGATCAGGTCATGTGACTGGAAAATACCTGTCACATCGGAGGTATTTTCATACATTTCATGTGCATGAGTGTAAAACATGTAATAAGATTTCATTCTGGATTGTTTTTTTTTTTTGTTTTTTTTAAACTCTCTTGAAATACAAAAACTTGTACAGCAGTAAGTTTTTTCTGGCCTGGTATTATATTTCAAATAATAAAAGACATGTGGAGTTCTGGTTTAGAAAAAAACAAATTACATTTATGGCAGCATTGGAGTTGTTACTTAGAGACAGAATATTTCTAGGTAGTATTTATTGTAGCACTCCTAGATTTCTATGTATGCAGTCCCTTATAACCCTGTTCTACATAAGTAGGTTGTGTAACTATTGTCATTGTGCAGGATTGTTGGTAGTACAGCTTATAACCCTAGTCTACATATTTACATAAGAAGGTAGCTTAATTAAGCATTGTCATACATCTATGAATGGATTAGTATTACAGCTGGATTTCTATGTACACAGTCCCTTATAACCCTAGTCTAAATAAGTAGGTAATTCAATTAAGCATTTTCATACATCTATTGATGGATTGATAGATAGGTACCCAATCCCTTATAATCCTGGCTATCAAAAGAATTGTTGTACCATTTTTATCTGTTCCTGTAAATGTGTTCAGTGTTTGTGTTAACAAGGGGTTGGATGCTTTTAATGTGTTTGTTTTGTGTAGACTTACTGAAAGTTTTTTAAGAAAGCTTCAGTGATGTGTGTTTTACTTGCCAAACTTGTGGGAGACAACAGTTGTGTAAAGACAGGTGGAGCATCAGAGTTTATTCAGTTTGTAGAATGGATCACCTCTACTTCCCAAATGTTGATGTCATGAACTGTGCACAAGACAATTTTACTCACTCTGATGCTGTAGACCTTTTCAGAAGCCTTATTTTTTCTATCTTGGAGGGGGGGGGGGGTTTAATATACATAATGTATATTTGTCTCATTTCATTACATCTGATCCACGTTTTTATGCCCAAACAAATTGATTTAAGCAATTTATAGTCTGATGTTATAACACAATTGCTGAAGCAAATATTCATACATCCAATTTGTGTAGAAGATTTCATATTAGGGTAGATTGTGAAGGGGGAATTTATGCCATGTATTTTATGCCATGTATAAAACCAAATGTTAAAAACAATAGATAAATAATAGAGTTTTCATGATCTCATTGTGCGCTGACAAGTTATTTTTGCTTTATCTGTTGTCCTGAGGCTTTTGGTTTACTTCTTAAGCTTGATAAATTACTTTGGTTGGTTGCTGCTGGGAAATAAAATCTATTTACTGCTGATGGTGCAGTAATAGGTTCTGACATATTTTTTACCATATTGAATGTGAACGTTTGGTTTGAAGGTTGGTTTTTTTAGTGGAATTTGTAAATCTGTGGGGAAAATGTGGTTAATAGTTTTGATTTTGTAAAATATTTTAAATTCATCATTGATACACATGCTTACAGTTTCTTAATTAACTTTCTTTAGTTGTGACTACTTTTTAATAACATGATAAATGCCAAACTTTAATTTGTAATATTTATAAGCATATTATTTTTTTTTAAATTAATTAATGCATAAAAACTGAAATTGTTGCTCCCATAATAAAGTTAACAAAGTATTTGGTGTAGGGGGGAACAATACTTCTGTTACGTTTTTTGTTTTTTATTTTGTTCTATACCTGTAGTCTTTGACTTTTCATTACCCCTGGTATATTAATATTAATCCTCCATTACCCACTCAAATGTTTATGGCTTCCAAAATGCATCAAGAAAATCATTTTTTTTTAAATGTCCATGGAATTTGATAGTGCCTTTATTATTGACAAAATGTATTTTTAAAAAGCCTAAACATGATGTGATGCTATATCTTGAATGTTTACAAGAAACTTCAGATTTGTAGAATTATAGTCTTATCACCAAAACAGACTGGTGATAACCCAGCGTAACATGTTGAAGCATGGTTTTCACATTTTTTATACTTGTCATGTCTTTGAGTATAGAAATAGTATGACATGTCTCTTCACTGACTGTTCAGCATTCAGTATGGACAATTCCTGTTTGTGTCATGTTCATTTGGGTAGGCCACCTTCATACATCTGGAACTCATTAAGTAATAAATTTGTTTGTCTGTTCAAAGTATTATCTAGAAACAGGTGAATACTTCATCAGCCTTCTGATCCCAAAGGGCATTTTTTACATGCTTTATCTAGACTGATAATACAAGGAACTGCTTGTCTTGACAAATTACTTGCTTGACTTCATCCTGTGTGGAGCAAATAGCAGGATAGCTGCAACATTCCTGTTTTCATGCACAATCTAACTAAACAATCACAAACACATCTTGGTTTTCAAGAGCATTAGTGTGTTTCCTGGGGTTTTTCTTTTATAGCTTGTTCACGACAGAGCTTTTGCTCTAAGATATTGCCAAAGTTGGATCAGCTGATGAGTGGGGTTTTTTTTTTAAAATTATAAACAATGCCCTGACATAAACCTTTTCAACAACAGAAGTATTGGTCTTCAGACAGATTTCTCAAAGTTAAGGATTTACATATCTTTAAGTTATTATGTAAAACTTACACACCTGTGTTCATCAGTTTTCTTCTTTATCTGCATGCATAATATCAGATGTGAATACGAAAATCTGTATAGCTTGATATCATATTTTGACAATATGTTGTCCATCTAATAATACTGATAATTTTGGTTAAAATCATGTTTTTTAACCTTTTCAACTTGCCCTTCATTTATAAAAAAAAAAAAAATAAACAATGAAAATTTGTCTCACTCATGTGAACCAAACAATTTTTTTAATATCCCATCTTCCTTATTGTAACGTTTTTACTGCTCTCAAATGTACTGTTCTATTGTAATATTCTTGCTTCTATCAGAGGTAACGTTCTTCTTCTCTTCTATTTCTCACTCTCAGTCACAGTCACAGACGATCAAGAATGAAGAATAAGCCGTCTTCTGCAAATCTTTATTTGACTATCTTTCTTGAGCGGGAATTGTCTGTGTAGCGCGCATCTAACAAGACTATAGCGCCAATACGTGTGTTGCATAAATTTACTGGCAAGGCCCGTCGTTTCTCCATCCCCTCTAAGGCTAACGCACCGGCTTATATACCCCACCCGCGAGCGTCTCGGATGACACCTTGCTCTTGGCACGAATTCTAACGCTTACCTGTGAAAATTTCTCCCGCTTTTGTGCTAACCGACCCCAAATAACCCTATATAAAAACTTAACGCGATCTCCTAAAATTCTAATAAGCTTATCTCTGAAACCACAGACAATTCCCTTTACAATGATACAAATTACAATAAACATCAATAAATTGTTCTTCAACAATAATACTTCAAACATGCAAATATTGTAAAAATATCATCAAATACACCTAATTAAAGTAGATTTCCCTAATATCGGCTTGCTCCTAACTAACACTAAGATATTCTAATTAAAGATCAAGCTTGGCCTAATAGTTCTTCCAATTTTCATGCTATAATAACAACTATTTATTAAGATATGAATTTTTCTTCTTGCCCTACTAAGCACAATTGACTGATTTCTAACAAATTCACTACATTATTAACAAAAATATCAATGACAGAAATTTGTAATTAACCTAATGGAATCCAATCTAAAATGTTTGTAGTGATTTGTTTTTATAACCAACAGTGCATCAGGTTGCCCCATAGCAAACAAGCACCGTGGTACAAAGATTTCCCTGCCTAGCTCAGATCTACAAGAACTTGATTTATTATCTTGGGACAGCAATGTTCTGTAAGTTTTTTCAATTAGCTGCTACATTGTTAATGAGTTTGTTGTGTGGTGGGGATTAACTAGATGTTATAAGTGGGAGGACTATACTGCAAATGTTGTAAACTTGAGATATTTTGTTACTAGGTGCCCTATCATAGGCTGTGATGGGTCAGGGCACTCGAGTGGAGGCTTCAACTCTGGTGGATGTCCTAATGCTGCTGTTGTCATGAAGCATGCTCAGATGTCACAGAAGGAGTTGACTGCTCTACAGGTCAAAGCACAGGCCGGTGAAGGTAGGACTTTAAGATTTATTGTGTTAATTACACGCTATGTATGTGCTGTTTAATGAGAGATGAATGTTGGTACAGTTGAGTGTTATGGGTAGATATAATGCAAAGTTGAGGAACAAACTTTTAGAAACAGTAAAGTTACTTATTCCTAAAGTAAGTGTCTTGCTGTGTTAGGTTGCAACCTATAGCTGACTCTATTCACTCCTAAAGCACACTGTATTGTCTGAAAAATAACCGATGTCAATTTTTCAATGACAAACTTATCATAACTATGCATACCATAATGGGATGTCATAATTTGATTTCTTTGATTTCTTTAGGGGTTTCATCCTGAAATTTTAGCAGAGCATTTTTATAATAGTTTTGATTTATTAAATAACACTGACCTTTTATTTTTTACTATATTTAGATTTAGAAGACACAAAACTCCAAAGTTTAAATGAAGAAATAGAAAAGATGAAAGCTGTCAATGAGGAACTGGAAGCTAAAGTCTCTTCCAGACAAAGCCAAGTAGCATCTAAAGAGCAGGATGTTATGAAGATTGTTTGTCAGAACGAGGCAGCAGAACTTCGGATCAAAGAGCAAAGGAACAAGTTACTCTCTCTCCAGGAGAAGCTTGTAGCAGCCTTGAAGCCGGTCATCTCCCAGTGCAGTGAGCTGCAGTTGAGTGGTGAGTTGACCGCTGACAGGGTGCTAGAGCTTGTCCGGAACATTCAACTTGTTCAGAGTAAACAAACCTGTGGAACTGACTCAGTCATGGATGCCATCAAATCTGCTGTTGCTCAGATCACTGTGTAAAAGCTTGTTGGCCTAGTTGAGCATAAGATGGCTCATTTATTTTTGTTTTGAATTTCAGTTAACATAATTTCTGAATCAATGTAGAAAAATCTAATGGATATCATGAATTGTCATTGTTTGTAATAAAATTTATAAATTATAATTTTTTTAAAACAGATGTTAGTAACATCTTTTAACTTCTAAAGACACCATTACTAAATCAAATATGTGACTAATAGAAGGATTTTCCTTTTTAATTTCTGCTATTTTCTTTTTAAGTTTGTTTGTGCAATATCAATACTTGCTATTGTATTTCATGACTTTATGAGCTAAGAGATGTTACAATTGATACTTTAAATTTAAGCAGACATATTTTTACTCAATATATTGTTAAGAAAAAAGAATGTTGACATTTTTTTGTCACTTTGTAAATGATTATACACTTTGATTTTTGAAGATTTTTTTTTAATCTGCCAAATATTGAGGGTTTTTTTATGTTGACATAAATGGTTATCAATGTTGTGTGGTAATATAATTTCAAAGTGACCAAATTATTTATTTTTACACTTGTTTCTGTATTTATCATTCCTTCCACCCAGTACCATATCTGACTCAAGGGGCATGTTGCAATCCTTTTTTTTTCTACCTTAATTGTAAAATTTTTGTTTAATTTAATATCAATCTAGTGCAATACTCTATGAATGTTCATGTTTAAAAGAACAAAACTTATTATAAATCTATGAATTTGTTGTGAAATTTGTTTTAAAGCATTAGGATTTTATTTTGTGATTTATACCCAAGAAATTTTTTTAAATGTAATAGTTTTATTTAATAACACATCTCAAAAAATATCTGGTACATTCCATTTTCAGTACAAGTACATTAATTTCCATTGTTTAATAGGTCTTGTTTTCAATTATCTGTAAATTTTGAGCAATTATACATTCATGGCATTTTGGTTTAAATATTTGTTTAAGTACTGCTAATTTACAACTGTTTATTTTGAATTTCCTGTAATAAATATTTATCGTCACATTTTTGTGTGTATTTTGTAACAAATTGTTTTAAGTTTTAAAAAAAAAATGTTTGATATTTTTCTGAGACTTATCCTACTATAAAAACATTTTTGCTCCAAAATATAATTTAAAAAAACAACTTTGAAATGATGAATTTTATTTGAATGTAAACAGAACAAAATAAACTACACAGAACACAAATAAGAATAGTTGCACATCCTAAAGGCTGCTTGTAACCATTAGGGTATAGCACACAAACAAGCAGAATGACAATTAACTGTTACAGTAAGTTCTTCCAAAAATGAATGTTCACATTTGCAGCACACTGGGGAAAAAATTTCAAATAAAATGTATACAAATCCCCAGCCCATTATTGTGTTTACACTTAGTTAAATCACAGTTCTAGTACAAACAAATATTTCAAAATAAATCAATTATTTTTCAAAAATACCAACTAAAATTTTTTTACAAACCCCCTAGTAGTAGTCCTTTTAATCCAATTACGAGTAAACCTTGAAAAATATTTCTTGTGCTTAAAAGATTTTTAAAAAATAGATTTGACAAAAATACTAGGAGCAATGGTGAACCACAGATTTAGCCAACTAATTAGCATATTTATGGTTAACTATCAAAAGCAATTCTCTATTAATTATAAAATAAACTTATATCTTTACATAACACAAAGGCACGTTCAGTATTAAAACAAATTGAATAAGTTGACTATTAAGATAAAAACTTAGTGGCTGCTATCTATGCAGGTTAATTTAGACCAAAACCATTTTCACTTTGTGCACGTTGAACTAACAAAAAAATATCACCTTGATCGTTCAAGCAACATACAAGACTGACACACCAAAAAGATTACAATATGTGAATGTATATGAAGTAAATAATGAAGTTACTGGTGTAATAGTAATAAAACTTTTTGAATCTTTTTAGCTTGGTTATTGAAATCAGGAGTGAAAAGTTTGTTCTCTTGAGCCTAATTTTAAACAAAACATACTCTCCCAGCCAGGTAAAATCAATCTCATTTACAGCAGTTTTTTGTATTTTTAATCTACCCAAAAAAATGAACAAATAATGGTTAAAAAATAGAAAGGAATGAAAATTCTGTTTAACAAGAATGGGTGGCAACAGGATTTTTTAATTACATTGTTTAGTGCCCAAGCATACAATGTGTGCAGTCATAGAGCAGTTATGTAGAATAGAAAGACTTAAGAAGTACACATTCGTATCTAGAATTTTGGCTCAAGGAGCACAGTTTTTTCAAAATAAATTTTTTGTTACCCTAATTTAAACTAAACACTTCAAAGGCAGTCACAAATTTTGAAATAGAAAAGAAAAAAGTCGATCAAGGTAGAGCAGGAATAGAACAGTGTCCAAAATCCCCAAAAGGAATAGACTAAGAAATATGGTGTTATAGAAATAGTACATTATTAATATTACAAAATATTTTCCTAAATTCTAAAATGCAACTAGAACAATATTAGTCTTACTGGCAGGAACAATGGACAACCATATACAAATTGTATTGAATATCATCATCATACAGTTATTGCAGAGAAATTCTGGTCAATGTACAGCTTTTAACACATCTATTGATGAGATTTAACATTATTTGAACCAAAAGATATCCCCACTTATTTTAAAAGAAAATACACATTTTAAGAATGTTTTATATTATATATAAGCATGTATATATTTTAGATGTATATATTCATACATATATATGTATATATATACCAATATATATATCCTTTTAATTGACTTTTTAGTGGTCCTTCTAGTGTCAAAAAACAGGTTCAGTGTTTTAAAAAATTTTGAAATTATTACAAAGATTAAATGAAAGCTAAATGTCAACCAACCATGATAAAATATATAGAGGGAGCAGATGGCAGTGAAAAAGAAAAGATAAAAAAAAGACATGGAATTTAACTACCATGAGTTTTATAAAAATTAAACAATGATATTGGTAGTGAATTATAGACTTTATTTTCTTTGACCAATGGAGCTTGTGTAAAACAAAGTACTTCGAAGTCGGGATTTTTAAAAAGCTCAAACTTTAAAAATAAAAACAGGTTGCAAAGTTTACTAAAATAATTTCTTACTGACACAGATAAATTGGCATATTATAAATAAAACAAAAAAATTATTTAATTTATATACTGTTATTATGAACCATTATACCATGAGGTATTTAAAGATAATTATTAATTACAGTAACTTTTACTGGATACAGACGTATAGTTTTGTTTAAATAGCCATGCAGTATAAAAGGATTTATAATACGACAGTAATTAGTTTTAATTTTGCTATAATATTATGTGAGATTTAAAATAAATTATAACAAGGTTGTTATTTTAAGATTGGTCTCCACAAAATATTGATAATTTTTACTGTACATAAATTATCTTTTATGGCATACTGAATGACTTTTAAAAAATGTGTATTAAAAAAATAATAATAATAAAACAAAAGTTCCTACTGAGTGTAAACAATAAAATCTGACTGCAATATGAAAATACTAAATTAATAGATAAATTATTCAAAACAAGCAACTTTGAAAATAGTGCAGAAATTAAACTAGAGAAACTGACTCTAGGAAAAAAAAAAAGAAATGTAATTTACAATTCTCTATACAACAAGAATATTCTTGTCCACAGGTCAAGAAGCACACCCCAACTACAACAACAAATGTATTAAAAAATCTTATATTCAATCAGAGATTTACTATACAAACCGAACCTGTCTCCAAATTTAATCAATATATATATAACCCACTCACAAGTTCACTAGTTCAGTCTGTCATTTGGTTGTCAAAATTCATACATATCACAAATGATAGTCTCATTCATTCAGCATAGACTATTTATTGAAAAACAAACAAGTAATTAAATTCTTTAACTTATAAACAACTAAGAAAGGTATGTGTAATTTACAGATAAGCCAACAAGAAAAAAAAAACTAAAACCATCCTGAAAAAAAAAAAAACTACATAAACAATGTGGCTAATGTAATTGACACTAGGCTGAATCTTTTTATTTAAGGTGAAAAGCTCTAGTTTTAATATAGCATCAAAAGCAAAAAGACAACACGGAGTTTAACCAGGAAAAAAGGTGACTGTTTTAATATGTTCCAAACCACATAAAATACAGACAGGGATAAAAAAATAAGGCTGTAACGCCTTTAACAATAAGCAAACTAAACAAAAAAAATGTTCAGTTCTACGCATTAGCTAGCAGAAGCAAACAGGCAATCTCAGGTGTGCCTAAATAAACTGAAAGCCCTAGGCACAAAGTTGAATGAACAATTTTTCAATTAAAACTTTGTAATGTAATTATTGGTTTTAGTCTGGGCTTTTTAACCACAGAAATATTTGTGCAAATTGGTAATCAGAATATGGATTAATTCATTTACATTTATTAATTACTAAAATAATACACACAATTTGAAATAAAATAATAATATTGACATTTCAGATTTTAAATCAATATTAGATAAAAATTGTCGCAGAATAACCTAATAGATTCAAGTTTATTTTCTCAGTTTGCTTCTTAAAAATTTTTTTTTGTTAATGTAATAATCCTTAAAGCTCAGGTTTCACAAAGAAGTTTTATATTTTACTGGATTTTCAAACACCAGAGCCAAAAGGGACAAGAGCTTTCAAGAGGGAAACAAAAGAACAAAATGATTCCAGAAAGTAAATAGACAGCTATGCTCTTTAAATAAAGTAACAAACTTTAAAGGTGGGCCGTAGTCCAATGTAGTTTTAATATGCACAAATACATATTTGTCTTTATACACAGCAATCAACAGCATCGTTTAGAGCCTTGGTCTTGCTGACCTATGTTGACACCACTAGGTTCTGAAACTCTTCCAGGAGTCTGAAAAACATTTTACTCCAAATTAGCTTAAATTTTTTTAACTTGATTAGTAAAACTTGAGTGGACTTATGTAGATTTTTAAAAAGACTACAAAAAAATAATAGTATTACCTTGTTAAGTATAGCCTGTGCTAAATTCATAAAAGCCTTTTCAACATTAATATTTGCTTTAGCACTGGTTTCCAGGAATGGTATGTTGTGTTCTCTTGCAATCTAAAAAAAAATTTATTTTTTATTACAACCACTTTTTTCATCATACAGTCAGTAATTAATACCACATTCAAAGTATTTATGTGTTTTTTGAATAAGAAAACAACTAAAGTACAAATATGATCAGTAATTAATGTCGACAAAAAACTGAAAGAGTTGCCGAAAATGCAATAAACTTACTGCTTCTCCTCTGGCTGTTGGAACTTGTCTTTTGTCATCCATGTCACATTTGTTACCCAGAATCATTTTTTCCACATCTTCATTTGCATGCTGAAGAAATTATTAATATTCATTGTCTACATAACAGTACCCATCACATCATCTCAAATTGAAAGCATAAGTAAATACATAAAAATAAAATTATTATTTTACAGTGGTATTAAATTATACAAAAAAACAACAACTTAAAATGAAAACCAGGTTGAAAGCTACTTAGCCAATCCATTATAAAAAGCTATAATAAGTTTGTTATAAAATTAAATAATAACTGGTGAAATATATTTTAATTAAGTTACCTCATCAATGTTCCTTAGCCATTTGGAGATGTTGTCGAAAGTTTTAATATTTGTAATGTCATAAACCAGCATAATGCCCATTGAACCACGGTAATATGAAGTAGTGATGGTGTGGAAACGCTCCTGTCCAGCTGTGTCCCTGTTTGAGAAGATATTTACGTCTAATCGGACTCCAGAATAGGTGTACATTTAATAAATTTTGAAATTAACATTTAAAATTAAACAGGACCATAGAAGATAACTAAACTGCAATATATTTATTACTTTCAACTGTTATGTGTAATGATTTTTTTTAAATTTTATAATTAATTTTGTATTTTAGATACTTTTTTTTTTACATTTAATCCAAGTTACATTGGAATGTGGTTCAAAAACATATTTTAAAATACTTCCTTTAAATTATGCCACTGATGATTCTAGAAATAGCTAGAAAATGTACTAGACAATAAGAAGAAACATCTCACCATATCTGCAACTTTATCTTTTTGCCACCAAGCTCAACTGTTTTTATTTTAAAATCTATTCCTGTGGGGCATAAAATAGGCTTGAATGATTAAATGAAACTAAAACATGTCTTTATGAACAGCAATTTTTATCACTACAATTATGAATAACTAAAGCCAAAACTATCTGCAACTAATTAATATAAACTATGATGAATAATGTGGTCTAGCATTAACTTGATTATTCCATAGATGTAAATGAAACATAAAACAATATGAATGTTTTTGCCTTAAATTTGTATCCATGTTTTCTAAACCATAAAGGTTTATTGTAGAAACAGGTAGATCTAGAAGTAGTTAACCAATAGAAATACACCTAACAATCATCAACCACTGGCAAAGTTAATTAAAACTCATTTGTTTTGTTATGAAATAAATCATTTTTTTTCCAAAAAGTATAATTAACAGGAAACTAAGAGGAGTGAGTCATTTTAATTTTTCAATATCTTACACTCTGAGATAAAATATGACTAAATTCAAACAATTTAAATAGGCCCTAAGCAAACATGATTATACCATTTAGAAGTTCATTAGGCCTACTATTTTCAGACCTATGAGTCAAAAATATTAAAACGTGAACCTCAACTTGTTAGATATTAAAAAATTATAAAACACTGTTGAGCCCTAGTAAAATCATAAAATGTTTTTTGAATAGCTATCACAGATCCGGGAGAATATTTACATCGGTGTCTGATAATGGAATCTTCTTCAAAAAAGGGGTGTCAGGTTACTGGTAGTTAACTAAATACACACACGGCTGGCTAATGTCAATGCTAACCCTGTCCCTAACCCCAACCCTGGTCCAACCATACGCCTAACCCTAATTTCTAACCATAAAATTAGTCGAGATTACAATACTACTAACGGTAATCTATCGTTTTGGGTACGTAAAATCGCCCGCGATTTGTAATGTGAAAAACAGGTGACTACTTAAATTTTAATAATTATTTCACATTTTGAGTAGGATTTATGTTTTAAAAAATTCAAAAATGTTTCCTTGATTCATTTATGTACCTGTTTTTAAACAATTGAATTAAAACTTTTCCGTAATAAATGAAGACTAGCGATGTTTCCAACAGATGCAACCATGCTCATTTACTATAGCAGCCATCTTGTCTAAGTTTTATTTTTAAAAGCTTTTAGCGCCAGATTCAGGGGGAAGCCACTCTATTTTACAAATGGCTCCTGCTTATATAGCAAATCTTGCTCTCAGACACTGCTGTTTAAAGTTAATTTCTGGCCTATATCGATATATTTAGCCATTGATTTAGGTTTATTATTCATTTATCTATAATATTTGACACAAAAGTATGACAATAAACCTCTATTAAAGCCTTGACAATGAGGTAACGTTTTCGTACATAAATAGCTGCGGGCGATTTTACGTACCCAAAACGATAGATTACCCTACTAACAACCCAACACCCCTTTTTTAAAAAAGATTCCATTATCGGACACTGGTATCTATAATCATCCACAGATCCTCTTAACTTTCTTTTAACCACACGAATCAGGAGATTTGTGAAAAATTAAGTCATATGGAGTTTATTACGTTGAATGAACGACTTGAGCTAGTCTAAGATATGAAAAAAGACAAAGTTGTGGCTTTCATGTTTGGGTAGTTCTAGAATCTAGATCTAGAATCTAGACGTCTATGTACTAGATTCTACATGTAGAATCTACTGTACTGTAAACTAGTGTAAACTGTAGTTAAATCATAACTACTAGACTATAAATAAATAAGTATAAAAATCACCAACCTATGGTAGATATAAATGTTGTATTAAACGCATCGTCAGAAAATCTGAAAAGTAAACATGTTTTTCCAACACCGGAATCACCAATCAGCAAAAGCTTGAATAACAAATCGTATGTTTTTTTGGCCATCTTCCTTGTATTTGTGTACTGATGGTCGATTCGATTATTTCAATGGTGGTTGGTTAGTTTCAGTGGTTTTTTCCACAGCGGGGAAGTGCAAATAAAAACAAGCGAGCATAAAGGTTAGCGTCAAATTTTCTTAAACCAATTATTGCTGCAGCTTTTTAATTTCAACTCCCGTATAATTTAAATACGGTTATGTCATTCATTCTTCTTTATGTAACAAAATAAATAGTATTTTAAATATATTATTCGCAGTGTCACAAGAGAGAAAATAGGCTACACTCTTAAAGACTTCAGTAATCTGACGTCATATCCTTTTCCGGGATGAGTTCATAGAGTAATAGGGGAGATAACAAAGTATTTAAATTTAAAAGCTTAGCAATCATTTTAATCCTTTTGCCCCACCCTTGTTACAACATTAAATTAAATTTTTTTTCGTTTGGCTTAGGCGTACTTTTATAACAACATTTTTGCATGGAATCTAATTATAAGCCATAATACACAACTTGGACAAACTACGCGGCTCTTCGGAAGAGTTTCTTTCAGGCATCTCTCCCTCTATCCGCGAAGGAAATAATATATTATATATACAGGTCATGTATAAATATAACATTTAAACAGAAATATATAGACCTACTTTAACAAAGGTTCCCCAGAAGTATCAAGTCGCCACCCCCCCCCCCCCCCCATTGTTTCTTCCAGATTTTTTTCTCCGGGGGGGGGGGGGGCTGTCAACACTGGTAAAAGTATGAATTTTCTATATAAATTCCATTTCGTTCGGGGGGGGGGGGCGGAGCCTGGAAGAAACAGCCCCCCCCCCCCCTTTTTTTTCCATGAGAGAAAATGTCTTAAACAAACCCTTCTCGTTAAAATGAATCAATGCAACTTTTTAAGAATCAGATTTATTATGCATCGTACATATAGGCCTACGCATGTAATGTTGGGCCTACGTCAATCGTGTCAATTATTAAAATAAGCATGTTAAATTACACATGATAGAAGTTTTAAAAATAGCATCTCAGTAAGAATGTCAACTATGATTAAGTATAGGCTATATATTAACGATGAGTCACACAGTACCAATATTTACAAAGGGCTTTTAAATTTAAAAATGGGATGTTTTTTTTTTTCTACGTATGATAATCGTTAATGTAAGCAAAAATACATAGATTGTCGATTTTGTTTTACATAATATTGGCTATACTTTCTAAACTTCATGAAAATATAAGCAGCATGGTGAGATTAAAAACAAAACAAAACAAGAATGTCTATTTGCTCTAACAAGGAAACAGATTTTATGATTGTATCGTCGCGCATGGGTCTACTACATCTACATTGTATGCTGTCGTGTAACCTGTAACTCGCAAGGACGCCCACGACTCAACATTCCTACCGGTGGATAGACTACTGCGGTGCGGCATCGAGAGTTGCCCCACAAAGGGGTCAGAGGTTATGTTGTTGTAAACATGATACAGGCCACGCCCTGTTACTTCGGTTCATGTTACACTGAACTTAGTTCGCTTCAGAAAATAAACAATCATCATCTTTTCCTGTTCGTTCCTAAGACACATGGGGCAGATGAAGTAGAGTTTATCTGCTTTAGAGACCTCGGCCTCGGCATATGAAGGGATAATGTGGCCAGCACTATGGCAGCCACCTTTGTTTCCCAAACAGTGTTTCTTCCAGACTTTTTTCTAGGGGGAAGGGTGGGGTGGGGGGGGGGGGGGCGGACTAAAACTTCCTAGGGACGGACGGACATTGTTAAAATTATATATTTTCTATATAAATTCCATTCCGTTGGGGGGGGGTGTCTTTTGGGGGCGCTTCGCCCCCCCCCCCCTAAAAGATGCCTGGAAGAAACTCTGTTCAGAGCTGGGTGGACTCAGGGACATTCTATATACTTGTACCCGGATTCGAACTTGAGTCTAGCTCACTACCACTAGGCCACGCCGTCCCATAAAATGAATAATAATGCCGTCACTTACTAAATATGGGGTTTTTTTTACAGGCCTTTCGTATTATTTTTAAAGGTTCATGGGGCAGGTGAAGTAAAGTTTTTCTGTTTCAATTACCTCAGCATATGTAGTTACTTTCCTTAATATGAGTCAGGTACTATTGAGGGCTGGGTGGACTCAGGGACGTCCTACGGACTCGAGCCCGGGATTCGAACTCGAGACTTCCGGGTTAGTAGTCAAACGCTCGCCCCTTAACTCCACAAAAGACCCATTTAATTTATTTTAACTTATAAAGATATCTTTTCATAACTTAGAGCTTGGCGGCTTCAATGAGACATGTAAGTCAAAAGAATATGCCAATATTGTCAAAGCGCAGTAACCAATATCTGATAATCCTACACGATACTGAGTTGCTTTTCTTTATTGATCTACCTAGGCCTGCCCATTGTTTCACAAATACTTAACAAATTACATATAGACTAATAAAGACCTAAACGGTTAAGAAATGGTGCACATTAACATTACTGAGTAACCTTGTAGTGAGTTAAAAGAAAAATTGTCTAAACCAGTTGCGTCACCTAAAATTCAACCATGTGCAACCATTCTAAACAGTTGTGGAACTACCATACCACCTAACCCCCGCAGGGGGGAGGGGTGCGTTTAAATTTATTTTTTGGGGGATGGGGCAATCAATAATAAATAAACAATGCAATTTAAAAAAATTGTACTTGCACTTTGAAAATGTTTTTTTTAAAACAAAAAGATCTATTATCGCGGTGGTTGTTCCAGTCACTAGCACACGCGGGGGGGGGGGGGGGGGGGGGGGGGTGGGGGGTGGAGAGAACACTACACGTACTGTAGAGTGAAAGTATACTATATAGGCTATATAAAGTGTGTCTGTGACACCAGTGACAACGTATAAGGGGTCATTCATAAATGACGTCACGCTTTTTTGGCGATTTTTACCTCCCCTCCGTCACACATCGTCACAAAAAGCCAGACCCCCCCCCCCCTAAAATGACGTCACACCTCAGCCTACAACCCTCATCAAAATGGCAGTTGAATTTTTTCTTAAAATACTATATTTTTTCCAAAATCTTGTCTGAACTCTGTCAACATAGAGTATTTTAATCAATTCATAATACAATTTATTTAAAAAGTTTTCTAAAACGCGAAATAACGGCTAAAATTAGTTTTCTAACATTGCTTTTTTATAATGCAAAAGTATGACGTCACACCATCTGAACCCCCCCCCTCCCCCTCATCAAACATCGTCACAAAATTACGGGCTCCCTCCTCCCAAGATTTATGGACGACCCTTAACACTGTGAGAATGTAACACCAGATACACTACTGCAGTAGCGTAGCGAGGGGGGGGGGGGGGGACACATATGTCCCCGGGCGCCGACCTTAGGGGGCGCCAAAATGGGTTGGAAAAATAAATTGAAAGATTGAGGGGGGTGCACATCGAAAGTTTGAGGGGGGGGGGTGCAAATCGAAAGTTTGAGGGGGGGGGGGGGCTACGTATCGAAAATCGAAGATTTGTGTGGGGGGGGGGGATGGGTGCAAATCGAAATTTTTATTGGGGGGGGGGGTGCAAATTGAAAATTTGCTCCCGAGGGGGGCGCCAAATTGAGAGTTTCGCCCCGGGCGCAGGGAAGGGTTGCTACGCATATGAATCTATCCCTCCTTCACGTCATGTAAAAAGTGTATGATCCCTGAACAGCTTATTTTTCTTTCCACAAAAATCTGAGTTTCTAGCGGAAAATATTCGAGCCCACCGGTGAACTAGTCTCCTGAACACTCTTGACCAACAAACAAAATTAACTGAGCAAAGTTTTACAATCTAAGATGGATGAAAATATCTACGCTTCCGTACCCCTGATCATCCATAAACAATGAGCAGGGGAGGGGGCGCGGGAGCTCCGAGAGATTGGAATGTTTTACAGGAATGGGGTGGGGCGGATATTTTTTGTGTGGTCTTTCGTGGATGGGGGAGGGGAGAAAGAAAGGTTTGGAGACAGCCCTGCACGATTTGGTTGGTGATAGGCTACTTGATGGTGGGGTGGAGTTTGCGATGCGAGCACCGGCGGAACGAGAGATTATTCGACGGACAACATAAACCATTAACAGCGAGTAACACCGATCGTCTAATTACTAGGTACTCGTAGTTGGTAGCCTAAGTATTAGTGTAAGTAAAGCCTAATTAAAAATCACTGTTATCGTTAAGCCCAGTGTTTCTTCCAGACTTTTTTCTCCGGGGGGGGGGGGATGGGAGGGTGGACTAACATGTCCGGAGGGGGGAGGAGGACACTGTTAAAAGTATATATGGAATTTATATAGAAAGTATATAATTTCTTTCGAGGAGGGGGGGGGGGGGGCGGTAGACTTTGTTCAGCGCCCCCCCCCCCCCCCCCCCCCCCCGAAGAGATGCCAGAAAATCTGGTTAGGCCTACATAATATTTACAAATCTTTTTAAAACCGATAGCAAACAGTTGGATAATAAAGACCAATAGACCTACTTTAATCCAAATTTTTATTTAATACGTATGATCTTATTAACTTCGTTTAAAGACACTAATCTAGACTCAGCAGGTCTTAGTGACAGCTATTTGTCGAGGGAACGCATTTATTTTTACTTCTTTCTAGGTTGCTATAATTTGTCACGTGACAAACAAAAACACAATATAGCAACTGCAATATGGCGGCCGACATTCGAATGTGCAAAATTCTATAGTCTATAGTTAGGTTCATTATTTTGATATTCAGCTTCATTTGTTTTACCGGTATTAATGATAACCTGAGATTTTTTTTAAAGATTCAAGGGTAATATTTATATTATTTTTGAATTAGATCTAGATTCTAGGAGGATTATTAATTAAATTGTTTAGGCCTATAAAAATTAAAATTATTGCTCAGAATAGCTGCAGAGGTAATCTATCGTTTTGGGTACGTAAAATCGCCCGCGATTTGTAATGTGAAAAACAGGTGACTCCTTAAATTTTAATAATTATTTCACATTTTGAGGAGGATTTATGTTTTAAAAAATTCAAAAATGTTTCCTTGATTCATTTATGTACCTGTTTTTAAACAATTGAATTAAAACTTTTCCGTAATAAATGAAGACTAGCGATGTTTCCCACAGATGCAACAATGCTCATTTACTATAGCAGCCATCTTGTCTAAGTTTTATTTTTATAAGCTTTTAGCGCCAGATTCAGGGGGAAGCCACTCTGTTTTACAAATGGCTGTTGTTTATATAGCAAATCTTGCTCTCAGACACTGCTGTTTACAGTTAATTTCTGGCCTATATCGATATATTTAGCCATTGATTTAGGTTTATTATTCATTTATCTATAATATTTGACACAAAAGTATGACAATACACTTCTATTAAAGCCTTGACAATGAGGTAACGTTTTCGTACATAAATAGCCGCCGGCGATTTTACGTACCCAAAACGATAGATTACCGCTGCAGACTGCAGTGTTGTTTTCTCTCGTCATCCGACCGAATTCCCTGAAAATGGAACAAAAATGAATTAGTACATATGTTGGATATCAAAAAAGCCTACTATGGAATAGTTTAACCAAATGACTAGTAAATAGATACATTATCTTCTTTTGTAAAATCTGGATCTAGACAGATAGGCCTAAGCGGCTAAGCCCCAACCCTAACTATTGTTTTGTATTACTAACTAATAACTAACTATTTCTGACTAACCCATAGTAAAAAGTAGATCTAAATCTAGTCTAGATCAAAATATGGATTCTACCTATGGGCCTCTAACTGATAGCAGTTTAATTATTATAATTAACGTAAATTAGTAGAATTTCTGAAGTGTCGGACGCTTATTTTATTGGACATTGGTAGATTAGATTTAGATCTGTATCCTGTTCCTAGATCTATATATTATATATAAATAATAATATATAGGCCTAATATGGACTTTTTTGAAAATAGAATGTGTTAGGTTTTTTTACCGCCCCCCCCCCCCCCCCCCGAACGAAATGAAATTTATATAATTTATATAGAAAATATATACTTTTAACAGTGTCGTCCCCCCATATTGATTTTCTAAATTTTAAATAAATTTGACAACAAATTGACTTTAAGTCTTTTAAGACATAAAATATAACATAAAAATGTGTATTATAATTAATAGTTAGTAGGTCACTTTTAATTTAATATCTAAGATACACTTATTAAAATTAAATTAATAATATTTTAATTATGAATAAAACATTTGATGAAGAACTTGCCTTTTTGCTATTTTGTAGTTAAGTGTGCACTCTTTAAACCCTTTACTTACCCCAATTAGGACATAAGTTATGGTGACATTTATAAACTTAACTAGATTAAAACCTATTATAATCAAGTTTGCTGACAGTTATGTGTTTAGTTTATTTAAACACATTTTATAAACAGCCTAATTACATCTTAATTAGGCAAAAACTAAGATTTCAGAGATGTCAATCTTCAATGTTTACTAGTGTTAAATAATAAAACAATATTTTTATTTTATTTCATAGAGGCTCTCTGAAACATTCACCTGCAATTAGATTTTTGTGGTTAATTTAAAAATGACATAGTAAAACAGTCTTTATTTTCTTTTGCAGAAGTTCTCCTGAAACTTTCTACAGGGATTGTTTTATTGGTGTCACAGTAGACAAAAGGATACAATATAAAACCATACCAATAGCATAAAAATGCCACTGCTGGCATATATGCCAACTGTTTTTATGAACAGCGTTTGACCATGAATTTTGATTGGACACATAACTTTACACCATGAGTTTTCCTGTGCTGCTGATCACCTCATTCCTTCACTTGAACAACGTCAAGATTCAGAGAAAATAATATTGATTTTTTGCTATGATATTCACTGACCCAAAGACTTCATTATTATACTTCACTACTTTGGAATACAGTTTGTTTTCTGTTCTTTGTTATACATAATTTGTGTGCGGATCGTATTCAGTTTTGTTACAAAAACTAGCCAGCTGGAATAAATAGAAATGAATCGTTACCAAATTTCCAAACAGTTAGGGGATGGAACATATGGGAGTGTGTTGTTGGCCACAACAGTGGACACAAATGAGAAAGTCGCCATAAAAAAGTAAGTTATATATGTTCTACATATGTGATATTTTAGTAATTTAATAGATTATGTACTATTTTTATGCAAATGGGTTAGAAGTTTTTAAAAACAAACAAAAATAATTTTTAAAATGTAAAACAATATTTTGAAACAATTAAAAAAATTTAAAATTTGTTTGTTTTTAAAAACTGCTAACCCATTTGCACTTATTCACCTCTCCAACCAATAGTTTTAATTTGAAGCAAGTGCTCCAGTGGTCTTTATAAACTGTTACCCAGCTATTCTGGTCTTTCAGGTCAAAAAGGGTGATTAAAAAAATTATTACACCGAAAATTGCAGCAGTTTTAAAAGTTTGAAAATAGTTTTCTTAAGAGGACCTGGCATAGGTTAATTATTTTGTTGAGAATAAATTATATCTATTTCACTTCAGCCCATTAATCTGAAAATTGTCTTGAATTTCATTTGGTCTATTTTTTTTTCTGTTGGGATATTTTACAAAACAATTGTTAACAATTTAATCTGTTAGCACTGTTTTGGTATTTTATTAAACAGTCTAATACTACTGTAATCCATTGTGTTTTATAAAACAGAACTGCTAACATTTTAATCTATTTGCTCTGTGTGAGATATTTTAGAAAACACACAACAAATAACATTTAATTTTGGTGTGTATTTTAAAAATTTTTTATATTTTAATTTGTTAAATATTTTTTTTAAAGTCACTAACAGTTTTTTAAAGTTCCTTTATAAGAGATTAATGATGGGTACCTAACTGACGTTAGGGAAAGTAAAAGTGGCTGGGCATAGAGCTGACCACACTATCCCTTCATATGCCAAGGTCACAGAAAAAAGTGAACTTATCTTCGCCTCACAAACTTTCAAGTTTGAAAGGGAACTTTACTTTTTTTTTACAAATTACTTTATAGGGGATTTCTTTTGACTATTAAAATTCACAATATTCTATGAATTATTAGTGTTAAAAGTTCTATTTTATAAGTTTAGGAGTCTTATAAAAGACCATTCCAGTTTGGTTATCTGTGGCTATTTAATTAATTCTATTATTTAAAAAAAAAATTTCTCATGTAAAATGAAAAAAAATCTGTTAATCTTTTGTTCATAAACAATATTTGAATAGTTTTAAAAGGAAATTTTGACACATTAGAGTATGGATTAGGGTATGGATTGCCCTGTCAGATGATTATCATCTTGATTTAATTTTATTATGTAAAAGCCTATTTTCACGATACATTTTTTACACAATGAATCATGATTCTTTTTCTAATAGTTAGACTCTACCAGTAATAACACAGTTGATAGTCTTGCTGATTACACTGACATTCAATAGCTTTTACCCCCAATCTAAATCAGTTGAAAATGAAATACTTCTTTATTGTCATTGTAAAATCAATATTATGATCCTTGTAGTCACTGCATAACTTAGCAACTATATCTAGTAAATCAAGTAAAACAATCCCTTTTATTTCTCTCCCCTGGTTCACCCCACATAGAGGCAAGCTTGAGACTGGGACAGAGTTCCCCTTATCTATTAGTACATTCTTCATTTCACCAGTAGCTTGAATTCTATAGATTTACACTATAGACTAACGTTAGCTACCTACTTGACTTGTGCACACCTATAAAATAGAATGGAACACCCCGTCTGTTCTATTTATAGACCAATCATGCTATTGAATGATCTGTCCTGTTTCCAGTAGAGCTTTTTTTTTCTCTTTTAATCAATGAATGATTGTGTCAATACCAGACAGAGGGAAATGGTGAATCTATTCAATCCGCTCAGTTCTCTCCCCTGTTCAGGTTTTATGAGCTGATCAGTGTGTTCAATAGACCTCAACGTTTGAGGAATTTACTTTCCAAACAGATCAATACTGAACAAAAGCCGTGACTGTGAGGTGGCCATAGAGCCACTTTCATGTGAATGTTGCCAGACTATTGTACACACTTATTTAAACTATCGTTGTCTTTACTGTTTGTGCTTGTACAACACTTGCTACTTATTATCAAATAAATTAGCATAAAGTACTTAGCTATTCAATAGAAAACAACCTATATGTGTTTTCTGTCCATCTTTTAATAGTAAAATTCTATTTATTTTGGCTATTGAAACAAGCATTTGCTTTAATAGAAAGAACTTTTTATACTCTTTTTTGATCTTTTAATCCTTAAATCCTTTAAGAAGGGGCATAACTCCACCACAAGAGACTTATCATGAATTGATTTATTTTTAAATAACACATTTTAATTAATTGAAGCACATAAAATCCCTAGATAAAGAAGTAGAATTAAAAATTGCTTATTTTAAATTTCATTGTTATGGTTTGTAACTAAGAAATAAACATTTACATATCATAAAGAAGTATCCCAAAAAATATATTGAGGCACTGGAAGGGTTAACGTAATCTATTGTACCAGTGTTTACCAACTAGTATCTTTGATCTGCAAAAAAATCTATTTCTAATTTAACTCAAAGATCACCCATAAGCTTTCATCTCTTCTGTAATTGCAGCTTAAGTATTACATTATTTCCATAATAAATGAGAATTTTTTTCATTGTTGTTTATTCTATTTTCCCTAACAGAATGAAGAAAAAGTACTATTCGTGGGATGAATGTTTAAATCTAAGAGAAGTCAAGGTAAACATGGAAAAAAGTTCTAATATAAGCATGCTTATGTGATTAATCAATTTAATAATTAATGAACTAGGTTAAATTTGGTACAGATGTTCAGTAAAATGTGTGATCCTTAACCTGAAGATTCTGGGTTCTAGAACTGGTAATGCAAGAATTTTATTTTGGCCCCAGCTCATTATAACAATGTATGATCTGGCTTACAAAATGAAATAAATCTGGGTGAGAGGAAATGGAGGCTTAAACATAACTACTAATTATTAAGCTTTGATTATTACATTCAGCTTATCCAACATTGTTTGAAGATTAAACAAACACCTCTAGGTATTTTAAACCACCCAAACCTTCCACTGAAGAGAAACACTTGTAAGATGTATTTTGACCTGAGGCCAGAGAAGTAGTTATGTAATAGGATGGGAGAGGTTAGGGGATTCTAGTTGAACATGTATTAAACTTTGAACCAAAAGAGTGCTAACATATCTTCCCCTGCTTACCTTTTCCTCAGTCACTAAGGAAGCTGAACCACCCCAACATTGTCAAGTTGAAGGAAGTTGTCAGAGAAAATGATATGCTTTATTTTGTATTTGAGTTTATGAAAGAAAATCTTTATCAGATGATGAAAGACAGGTAACATTTTTTACTTGCATCTCTATCCATTATCAAATTGTTGGTTTATCTATAAAAGTGTGATGATTAATTGGAGAAACATTATTAATTAACACATTTACTTACAATGGGAACCTGAAGGAGACAAGATGAAGTGATGCTTTGAGAGACCTACAAAAAATGTCACATTAAAAACATTTACTTGGTATATATATTTATTTCATTTTTTTTTCTACAGGGACAAACTTTTACCTGAGTCTGTAGTAAGGAACATAACATACCAGGTACTCCAAGGGTTGTCTTTCATGCATAAACATGGTAAGTCTCTCTGTGTTGGTACATATCCTAACTATACCCATCTGTACATATTCTAGCCATACCTATTTATACATATCCTAGCCAATTGGCTGATCTTATCCTGTATTTATAAGTACATATCCTAGCCAATTGTCAGGTCTTATTCTGTACCCATCTGTACATATCAAATATTTTTTTGTCTTATCCTGTATATATCCTAAATATCAATTTTCTACTTTTTTCTTGAAACATACATTACTCTGTACTTATATACTAATTTTCTAATCAACTGGATTGTTTGACTCTATATTTACATTTTATCCTTGGTTTGATGGGCTTATCCTGTACTGCATGAAATATAGAACACTCCACTGTCTTTTAATTAAAATTTAGACATTTATTCAGCTACTGATGGAATAAAAATTTTAAAATAATTTTTTTTTATTGTTGCCAGGGTTTTTCCATCGAGATTTGAAACCAGAGAATTTGTTATGTCATGGGACTGAGCAAGTGAAGATAGCAGACTTTGGACTGGCTAGAGAAATACGGTCGCGTCCTCCATATACAGACTATGTATCTACTCGTTGGTAAGCTACATATTAAAACGAATTATTTGCTGTATATAGTTAAAACGCTTATTCTTCGTTAATAAATTTCATTGTGTACTATATTTTTAAAAATATATTTATTTTAAATATCAATGATTTCAAAGGTACCGTGCACCTGAAGTGTTATTACGTTCAACAAACTATAGTTCACCTATTGATATGTGGGCAGTTGGTTGTATAATGGCTGAATTGTATACTCTAAGACCCCTGTTTCCTGGAAGTTCAGAAATAGATGAGATTTTTAAAATTTGCTCAGTGCTTGGAACCCCAAAAAAGGTCTGTGTCTGAAAATACTTTCTTACAAAACTTATGAGGAATTTTATTTGTAGTCATTTAACTTATTCATTAAATTTGTTTTGCTCTTATTTTTAAAGAATGAAAAAAATTAGACTTTAAGTTTTATTTTTGCTTTTTATACAAGATTTTAAAATATTTATTATCTAGACTCTATATTATATAAAATTTATTTTAATTTTATGAGATTTATTTTTCTTTCATAAAATACAATTCGCTTTTTGTATATAAGTAAATTAATTTACACACGTTATTAAGCACCTTTCCCTTGAACTCAGTTGTCATCACAAAAATCTGAACACTACACTCTCTTGTTCATGGACAACCCCAATATTAAGCAGTAATTATTTTATCTCATCCCTGTGACACAGGAAGATTGGAATGAAGGCTACCAGCTTGCTGCTGCCATGAATTTCCGCTTCAGTCAATGTGTTCCAGTACCACTCAAACAGATCATACCCAATGCTAGCAATGATGGGTTGCAAGTCCTTAAGGATATGCTCATGTGGAATCCACAGAAAAGACCATCTGCCCCCCAGGTATGTCTATCATGCATTATTTTAGCTGACATTTTTTGTATACAAATAAAATTTTTTTTGATACTTTTATTGTTAAGGCAGGTTTATATTGTAAACTGAAATAAAAAGAGTTAGGCTTGGAACATTAATGTTAAAATTAGGTGGCTAGATTTGTAGAAAATGAAGATGTAGTGTTTAAAGTTAAAATCTGGCCAGAAAAAAAAATAGCTCTATTTGCCAAAAAAAGTTACATTCTTGGTTTGCACAAGTAACAGGATATTATAACGTAGGTGAATAAAAAAAATGTCTGCTTGAGGTTGGAATTTTTTTGCTAGGTGTAAATGGTTTTTGAGAGCTCTCATTTCTTATCCTGTAATACCACAGTACATTATGAGCCTTAAAATGTGTACTACTGTTCCAAATTAAAACACCAACTAAAAGTATCAGTCAATTTTAATGGTTAAAATTTCATTTAAAGCTTTTTTGAATAATCTTCAAATTTTTTATATTTCAGAGCTTGCGGTATGGATTTTTCCAAGTAGGCAATGATTTAATGCGCCCCCCTCCTGTGTCCAAAACCCCAGTCAACCTGCCCTCCCAAGCCACACCTTCCCAAAAGCCCATGGCCAAGCCCCCTAGCACATATCCAGAATCTAAACCTAATGACTTACAGCCACAAAGAGTCCAAGAGGACTTCTCAGATGGACTACCAGCCATTCCCAGCCAGATGCCCAAACAGAATGATTCCGTATGTACCAACATTTTATGGCCTTATTTTAAGTGAATTTAGTTTTGTAAATTTGAGTTTCTAATTGAAGTCGAAATGTATCTTCCTAAGTTAATAATGCATAAATATTTCTTTTTATTTACAAAGACTTATGGTCAAATTTAATTATTTTATAATACTTCTATATTTCAACTTACATAATGATTTTACAATAAAAAAGAATTCTGACTCTAATTTTTGTGCCATAACCAACCCAATTATTTTCGTAGGATATTTTTTCAATGACTGTCAGCAAAAAGCAGAGTGGTGTGAGGAAGCGGTGGGGTGCTGGACTGTCTGACACATGGGATGACTGGACAGAGTTTGATAACCTCCCCAATAAAACCATCAAGAAAGTGCCAGTTCCTCCAAAAAATAATAACAACGCCTTAGGGAAGGAAAACAATAATAATGAGGACGATGATTTCTTAGCGTAAGTGTAAATATTTTATGAATAATGAGAAATTTCTGTTTGATATAAACTCATATTTTTACAAAATTATGAATTTTACTTGAAATGCGGGTAAGAATTTTAATTTTAAAAACCTTACAATTTGAAGTGTTGATTTTTTAAACAATTGAATACTGAGAATAAATAGCAAAGATTTACCTCTATAGAAGCATCTTACCAAAGAAGAATCAACCACCAAAACAACAGAACAGACTTAACTCTGGTAGGTCTTCAGCATCTTCAGCCAAACAACATTACATCAGTAAAGCAAGGTATTTGCCAGGTAAGATCATTTTACATAAAAGTTTATTAATCTTTTTTTATATTATAACTTTAAGTTATTCAAATTTAATATTTAGTTTTTTTAAAGTTTGAGAAGTAAGTTAAAAATAATTTCAGCAGTTAATTAAATGTAAGTTTTGAAACAATTTTTGTAAACACTGTGGCAAAGTGATTTTATGGTAGTGCTTTGGAAAGGTCTGACTTTTCTGTGAGGATGTGAGATGAAAGAAGGAGACCAAAAGTACGCTTATAAAGGGTTACATCTTTTGGATTACCTCTAAATAGTTGCCGCAACTTTCATCATAAATAATTATAATTATTCAACATCTTTTTCTAAACTTTTCAGGCATCAATCCCAAAAACAGTGCCAGGCGAGACAGTGTAAGGAGAGATAGCTTAGGTTTAGGACTGGACTGGAACTCTGCAACAAAGACTTCACCCTTAGGACCTATCAATTCTAATAATCGTAAGATTTACTTTCAATTTCAATTTTTTAGAATATGAACCGGTTCAAAATTGTTTACTTTTGCTGTCTGACACTAAAAGTTTTTAAAAAAAATAATTTACTTTTTGCTATCATTAATAAGAGAACATTTAAAGATGAAAAAAAATATTCACAAAATAAATTCAAATTGTATTTGAATCATCATGTAAAGAGCATAAGCAAAAGATGTATGAATTTTATATAAATACTGAAACACTAAATGTTTATGTAAGTCTTGTATTTTAAAAATACTTTTTGGCTATTTAATAGTTTAAAGGAAAGTTTTAGACCTTATAATTTGTATATATTATCATCAGATACATTATAAAATGTTTACAAATTGAAATATTTTAGGTGCAGCTAGGCCTCAGAATATTGACAATGATTATGTTCCATCTTTTGGTAATTCTAAAGGTGCGTATGGATAAAATTGATTTTAAAAATTGAGATTTTTGCCTGTTTTATATTTGAGTTATAATAAATGATAATTGTTTTAATTAGCTTTTTAAAAGTTCCATTTTTAATATTAATTAAGAAGTTGTTAAAAATCATGGACTAGAAATTTTTTTTATAAGTTTTTAATAAAAATTTAAAAATCCTGAGGGTACCCATTTACTTTCTACCTCTTGGAAAAAATATTGGAAAAATTCCTTTAAGTTTGAGTGCCTGTATATAGAATATAATTATTATTAAAGTCTTTCAAATTTTAAAAATGTACAACTGTAAATTTTTAAGATTTATAAATTAATTAACAGTTCTAATTTGTGTGCTTATCAAAGTGACTACGCCTAGATCTAGATCTAATTCTCAACTGATCACCTTTTTGATATATTCACTGTTGCTGAATCAGGTGCAAATGTTTCTCCTGATAAAAATTTATTATAACAAACAAAATGATTTTATCATTAGGTATTGGCAGTGGCTTTGGCAATTCCAGCAAGTTCAACAGTCCCTCAACATTTGGTAGCTCTTCTGGTGCTGGAGGTAGTAATTTCAATAACCCAGCAGGCAGGGGAGTGGGAGGAACATTTGGAACCAATCAACAAACTGCAGGTGGAGGCTCCAAGACTGGAGTGGTTGGTGCTGGGGGCTACCAATCATCTTTTCAACAACCTGTTGGGTCAGGTGGTTATCAGCCATCCATGGCCGGTGGTTGGAAAAAGGGGGCGCCACTCCCAGCTGTTGGAGCTAACAAAAAACCTACAGGATCCTCAAATTATGGACCAGGTCCAAGGCGAACTGATTGGACATCAAAGTGAGTTTTCAGCTAACAGCTGATGCAGGGAGTCTGTTTATGAAATATCCTTTTGTTTACTCATTTCTTGATATAAATTTAAGTAGATTCTGGAATTACAGCTGAAAGATTGTTCGATTGGTGATGAAATTAAGTTTTACTTATAATAGTCAAACTAATTTTCATCATAAACTTTATATTTTTTTCAAAAAATAATTGTGAAAGTAAACTGCATTCTCAGGATAAAAAATTTTGTACAAATTGGAAACTAATAAATAAAAATGTCTGCCACAAGTCAATTTTGCCATGTTATTTTGATTAACGATGAAGTTTTATTTATTTCTTTGAAAAGTTTTTTTAAAAATGATTTTCTGCATCAATAAAAGGTGCAGCGCAAAATTGTTAAGTAGCTTAAGTATCTTTTAATTTATTGTAATTAGTTTTTTAAAAATTAAAAAAAATATCATTTTTTTCTGTATGAAAATTTGAAGAAAATTTTTAAACAGGTATTATGTGTTGATTTAGAAATTTTCATATTTTCAAAAAGTCATCCATATTTTATGTATGCCTACATTAAAACTCAAAAGCGTAATTGTAATTGAAAATAAATTAATTTATTGATTTGAAATTTGTTTTGTTAAATATATTAATTTATTCTTTTTTGTTTTATATTTACATTTTGTCAAAGAAGCTCCAATTAAAAAAAAAAAAATTTGAAAAATCGTGTAAATGTAAATGTTCAATTACAAAATATATTTTAAAAAAAAAATTTCTCAAATATTTTTCTTTCCTCTGCAAAATTGGTTTTATATTGTGTTTTGAAAGGTGTTTAAAATTTCTTTTAATTATTGCATTTCTTAACATATTTTCTTGAGCATTGTCTTTTTAAGTTTTTTTTTAATTACCAGAAATTTATTAATTGATGATCAACATACATTTTAACGTTATTTTGTTTTTGTTATCCTCAGATATCTGAAGTCTTGATGTGGCTACAAGTTTTGATTTTCGTTTTGTAAATACTTCAAGACAGGCATAATCTGGTCTAGATCCATGTAGCAAAATGTGATACCCTGATCCCTAAGTGTGGCTTGGTTTTAAATAAAGGGAGATAAGCCACGGACAGCAGTACTGATCATTATGTTTTTATATTTTAATAGTTGCTGTCATCCAACGCTGGTCAAATTCTACACAATTTAATACAGTAATGTAACAGAATAACAGTTTGTTTTCATCTTTCATTAAAGGCACAATAAATCTTAGTGTAAAAATTAAATGAAAGAAATATGTATAGTAAGCTTCCCAAAAGTTTTTTCAATTTACTTTTAAGTATTCTTATTGTAACTGATAAAAAATTCATTTTTCTTCTATGGTCTAGTTGTTTTTTTAAAAGCCCGTCAACAAATGAACCCTAGAATATTTTAATGAATGAAATTTAATCAGCATGAATAAATGTTCTTTTTTTTTATCGGATTAAGAAATAATTTTAATAAATTGTCGTTTTTGAATGTGAATATCTTACAGTTGTTTCGTTTAAGAAAACCCTGTAATAAACATAAGTATTGGTTAATTTTTTAAACAAATTTTTATTTATCTAAAATCTCATTTTATGTTATTTTAATATTACTTCTTTATACTGGTCTTTTAAAATAAACAATATCATTTTTTTTCTTATATCAATTATATGTTTTTAAATAGAAAATGATGTTTTGAACTTAAATTTCTAAGCCTATATTTTCACAATTTTAAATTTGTCTGTGAATATTAAAATAATGGTAGATTTGAAATTTATTCTGAAAGTTTAAAGGAAGGGAATCTTTTTAAATTCCTGTAATAATGCAAACACGTTCAGTCCAGTAGGAATGTAAACATGTTGCAGTTCTATGGGAACATCTTTAAGTCCTTTACAAATGTACACATGTTCCAGTCCCTGATAGAGAGCTTCTATCCATGTCCAGCAACAAATAATTTATCACCATTTATTTTATTTTACACATCTCGCTCTGTTATTTCTTTTATCATGATTTATTTTTATTCAACGAACAAGTAAACACATAAGTACTGTTCTATAATATTATTTCAAACTATATATAATAAAGAACAAGTGCAATTACTATTCTGTTTCTGATTTTTGTTTTCTTATTCTCATATATAAAAGATTATTTTATTTATCGTTCAGGAAATATTTGAAAGTTCTAAAGAAAATATTGTGGTTTGTATTCATTTTAAGCTTAAGACTGATTAATTCCTCATCAAAAATTTCAGATGAATTTTGTATATTTCTACAAATGTTTTTATGCCTCTTGTAAATTAAAAATCTATAAAATAGATTGTTATACATTATTGTACACATGAATGTCTGAGAAAGGTCGGTATAAAACCAAATCTGGAATTATTTTTGAAAAATTTGGACACTGTAAATTTTAATATGAAATTTTAGACGTTTTAATAAAAAAAAATTTGATGTATTGCAATTACATTTATTCTGAATGTAATAAAAAGACATTAAAAGATTTTGCTTATACTTTTTATATTGTATTGCTTGACCACTGTATTGAAATGAAAGTTTTAAATTTTAAAAAAGTAGAGCATTAGAGTATAGTTAGTTATCATTAGTTGATAAGAAAATGTTTTGCAAGGCAGGCATTAGTAATAAAGTTGAAGCCCATCTCACCCCATCATAACTCGTTTGCTTTAGGCTGAAATGTTTTTATTTCATTTTATTTGTGCTTTAATTGATCAGACAATTTTCCATGCTTGTGATTTCAAAGTAGACTTACAATCAAAGGCTTATTTTCACTTGAATGCTGTTTATAAGTTCAAGTTTTGAACTGTTGAAAATTTACAATATCCAGCTTTACAAACCCAATTTCACTAACAATTTTTTCTTTAGGCAATACTGTAAAATATTGCCTTGAAGTGGTGAGAGAGTTTTGTGTGCCCTAGAGCTGTGCCAGCGGAAGCCTTGTGCGCATGGCAAGTTTAACATGTTGTACAGATCTGCATAGGTAGGGGGTAGATTTAACATTGTGCCCTGGTACTCCAGGTGGGGATTGTACAGTTGGCTTACTACACGTCCATTAATTTTAGTTAAGAAACCAAAGCCAAATCAGAAATGACACCAGTGCTCAAATGGAACTCCACAGAAGAGGGCTCACAAGACAGACTTGGAGACTAAGTCTTCTCAAAGAACTAAAAATAGCACGGATGTCTTGGGAGACTGCAAAATATTGAGTCGGAGGAAATGGTTGAGGCTCTACGTTCCACAAGAAATAAAGGACTCAGTAAAGTCAATTAAATTAGTCCAAAGATCACAACCACAAAACAGAAATCAACAACAAAAAGTTCATCTCAGGAAGTATCACTTTCATAGTTCATTGATTTTTTAAAAATAAACCGGAAAACAACAGGTAATCTTGTACATCATACATCACAGGTCAGATGACACCCATCTGAACTTCTCAACAAGTGTAATAGTATCCTGGTGGGCCATACATTGCTATTTTAACAGAAATTCTCTCTCTAATGTTGTCTTAAACTAACTTTCTAGCTATACATTTAAAATGATACAACTTATAACAAGGTTTAACAAAATAACTAGATTTAAATAACTCATATTTTACATTAAAAAAAAATGCAAAGAAATGTTTGTAATTAAATGATTTCATAAGAAAAACAAAATGATACTTTTAATATTAAAACACTCTTAATGTTGAAAGCTAATTTGTATAAAAATAAAATGTTCCCATGATTTAAACATCTATCATATGTTTTAATGTTTATCATAGTTCTGAATACATTGAAACTAACATAAAGATAAGCACCAAATATTTTAAATGCAGGTAAAACAACAGAATGATTTGCCATGTACAACTTAACAACTTTTCTACACCAAACTGCTGCTTGCAAGAGTCTGGGTTGATCAGTTAACAACATCAGCAATGCATGTTATATCATATACTAAATTATGCATAAATTAGAGATCAATGGAGCAAACACCTGGATTGCACAATACTAATTATGCATTAGTTAAATACTTGGATGATATTTATGCCACACTTAAACACTCTGGTAAAGATATAAGTGTTCAACTAATTTGTCTGATTAGCCATATACAATTGTAAAAATGTATGTATGTTTAGATGATAACAGTAGAAAAAGTACTTAAAAACAATATTTTTACCAAAATCCATAGTACATTCAGACTTTAGAGTAATATCACTTGATTTTTATACTTTTAACTGGTTAAATAAAAATATAAAATGAACAACAGAAATAGAAACCTAAGTATAATTATAAACCTAATAATCTATACACAGAAATCTAACTCCACCAATACAAGAGGGATTCACCAATCATTAAAGGGTGTTTAGTGAATACTAAAACAACTTTAACACCTGATGATAATCTAGTTATAACTGGACTAAAATGCAGATCACATTTTTTTCACAAACTATGAGTATGTAAGTAAAGCCAGTGTATTTAAGCTAAGAGTATTAACATTTTGAATACAAAAAGACCAACAAAATAAGCAATCAGGTTAGCATTAGCATACAATCTATATATAATAAAAAGATCTTTTAAAAAAAGGAATGAGTAATCTAAAAATGTATCAATGAAATAATTAACAAATATATACATGTAGTATATTGAGATCATAACTAGTCAGCTTAGATAGGAATTTCCTCAGCTAGATCATCAACCACTGATATTTTCAAAAAATCAGTAACAAAATACATATCTACAAATTCAAACTACTTCTTTAGAAGACAAAAGCACAGTATATTTTTTACCATAACATGAGTCTTCTTAATTTACAACCATTTTAACTTTTAAATTAAGACAAAAAAAAAACAACTAATATGTACAAGTACTACAGCATTAGATTATTTGGCCAAGGATAGTTACATAGTAAAACAGTTTACCACACTTGTATCAGGCACAACAGTATTCAAGTTGGATTTGAAGCAGTAAGAAAATTATGGCACATGAAAAATGTGTGGTATTCACGAGGTGGCACGGTGCCATGAAAGCCCTAAATAGGTTAGATAAAACAACTAAACACTGAGCAACAAAAGAAATGCAGTAGTTTTCAAAAACAAAAACATGTTTCATTGTTTACAAAATTATTTACAAGAGCTTTCAACACAGAAAAGCAAATAGTATCATCGTACTAAAAATCGTTAGCAGCTTTAAAGACAAGAATACTGTTGAAGATTTTAATGGCTGGACCCAGTTTGATGTTTAGGAAATTCAGAAGGTCACTCTGCTGTAGTAACAAAAATGAGTCTCCATCCACTTCCTAGAAATTTAAAGAATTAACATAATAAAAAACAATAAAAATAAACAAAATATTTATTTTTCATCAACTTTTTTTCTAAGTGAAAATATAAGATGTATTTCAGAATATAAAAAAAATATCACTAAACTAATATTCATTCATATTACTGTAATATTTTTTTATAATCTGGTTACTAAAACAATACCAAAATATTAGAATTGTTACCTCATCTTTGAACTTCTGGGCTTGGTCCTGCTGCCCAGTAAGCTTGAAAACAAAATCTGCAACCTCATCAACTGACCAGTTGCACACAAGACTCTGGTTGACCTCCATTATCCCTGGCAGCAGTTTAGCATGCTGCTCCCAGCATAGGGGCTGGTCATTGGGAGGAGGGGACAAAGCCGAGGTTTGGAACACAGATTCATGAATGCTGGCATGGAGAGAGTTCTTCTCATCATTGTAGCCTGCAAATATTTAAATAAAGTTACAACACTGCATCTAATCTCATGAGAGTAAAAATCTAATATTAAATACAATGCATTTTAAAAAAATTATTACTATTTACTTTACCTTCCATTGGTTCTGTTTTTATCATTTTGTCAAGAGGTAGGAGAGGTGTGCTTGTACTATACATTTTCCTGTAAAATTTATTCAGACGTATATTATATTCATATAACAATACCTGATATGAATATACATTTAAGTAATAATAGAATCAATATATTTTTGTATTTAAAAAAACGTAGTTTTGAGTTTTTATTTTACATGAAAGTTTGTTTATAAAAATCTAAAGAGCTAGAGATGTGGTGACAGAGTTACTCAAACCATCACATACCTTTTTCTCCCACGCCCAGGTCGACCCACTGGTCGAGGTTCAAGCACAGTTTCCTGTTTAACTTTGACCATGTTTTTCTCAGCCAGTGGACAGCCTGATAAACAGTGATGTGAGGTGAACTTGCCGGTCACATGACCCAGACCATCACATCCTGGTGTTGGGCATTTCCTGGTTACACAATCACATTGTTGTCAAATTGTTTTGAAAATACTTTTTTTAAGTTAGCAAAAATCAAATGTTTCTAAATACACCTCTCAAATGCATCGTAAATATCAATTTACCTCATATCTGCGTTGATATCAGTTCTGGACTGTAGGCCAACACCTTCTTCAGATCTAGATGAGCCAAGTCTATCTGTCAATGCTGTGTCTTTGCTCATATTCAGTTCAGAGTAAGGACAACCAAATGCACTATAAAAAGTGGTTTAAAAATAACTTAGCAATGTCTTGTCTAAACAATGAGAGGTGAAAAAAAATGTATGCTTGTCTAGTATTAAACACAGCACTTAATGATTAATGATAAAACTATGTCACATGCTCAGAGTTTTGAAATAAACTTCCTTGTTTAGACCATGATTATAAATGTTAGAGGAAGTAGCAGAAATACAAACCTGTGATGTCCAGTGTACTTAGCTCCCTTTATGTGACCAATGCCTTTACATCCAATAGTTGGACAGCCACCACTGTCAACATTAGTCTTTATATTTTTTTTGTCTGTCAAGAATTTTCAAAAAGTTTTAATCATCAGATTTTATCATACAAAATTCTGTCAGGGGAGAGTTATTTTTCCACAATAAGTAGTTAAACATGATTTACATGAATGCTCAAACATCTGGTTTGACTTGATGATTTGAATTTCTCAACTGTTTTAGTTCCAAAATAGCCTAGTTTAAAGAACTAACATTTGTAACATCTCAACTATTTATATTTAACTGACAGAAGACTAGAGGGATAACCAAAATTTGTCATTTATATTTATTCAACAAATATTGTACAGACTTACCTATGGGACTCTGCAATGGATGGAATGTTTTAGAGCACCATTGTGGTGGGTGAAGGTCACTGCTATCATCATCTATCCAGTAGTCATATATAGAATCCCATCCATCAAAGTGGATCAGCAGTCTGTAGTCTTGTACATCAACCACTGTTGCAACTCTGATCAGTATTGGGTTGCGTTTATCAACAACTTCCACCTTCATGCCTTTCTCAAAGCCCATGGCCACCCGCTGCAAGAATAAAATGTATTATTCATTATTCTCACAAATTACAAAATACTAAAAAATATTAATATTCTCACAAATACATGACACAAAAAAATAGCACACAATATTCATAACCTTTCTTATAAGGTAAAAAGTAAAGTAATTACAGTAATCAATATCAAGTATAGTCAGAATGCAATTACTTACAGTTTTGAATGCTCGAGAAGGTACAGCCGTTGTCTTAGTATCAGCCAGGTAAGTATCCCAGGTAAAATTGGCACCATCACCATAATCTACCAATACAGTATTGTATTTTTAGTCAGGAAATGTTTAAATTTATTTCAAACTTAACACGAGTAATCATGCATGGATAAAAAATTTGAATTTAAATTTACCACTTTAAATAATGCCATTACAATGTAGAAGTGTTTTTCTTTACCAGGGGGTGGAGACAAAGAGTGACCATTGGCCTTACACCAGCCAACAGGGTGTATGGATGGTGATGTGATGTCACACCAGTAGTCGTAAACATCCTCCCAGCCATCAAAGTGAATGAGGATCCGGTCTCCTAGAGTGTCAGCAACAGTGGCCACACATACCAGGCTGGAGTTCTTCTTATCTACAGCTTCTAGCTTCATACCAACACGGAATGCTGAAGGGGTCACCTAATAAAACAATTTCAGAATAATTATATTACTTACATTATGTTGTGGACCTTTTTTGTGAAAAGAAATTGATTAATTACATAAATATTGGTAAATGAATGGTGTGGTACAAGAAAATGTGAATGTGTTAAACTCACTGAAGATGGCTGGTTCAGAAATAAGCTTTTTGGTGCTGCCACAGCTCTTGTCTGCTTCAAATAACTGGTCCAGTTAAACTGTTCAGCTGTCATATCTGTAAGGAGATGAACAAAGTATTAAAAGATCACCTAGTTCATAAATCAAGGGAGACAAGGCGCCGCATGGGAAGCAGCCAGCAGAGGCAGGATTGTCTTGGGGGACAGCCAGGAAAGTTGCAGGAGACTGACAAAAAGTAGAGAAAGCATTCTGTGGTGGCCCTATGTGTCTATGTCACGAAACGGAAAAGATGATGATTACATAAGAAAACAGAATTTACTGGTCAATTTATATAACTTTAACAATAATCCATTTAGTGATAATGAAGGCAAAGATTTACATAATACTCACTTTTTGGAGGTTGAAGTATTTTGCCATTTTTTTCAGCCCAGCCTACAGGAAATATGAAGGGGGAGTCTGCATTCACCCAGAAATCATAGCACTCAGAGTACCCATCAAAATGAAGCCTCATTCTATTAGTAAAAGAAACATAAGACATCAACAATTTTTGCTAAATAAACAAGAATCTAATCCTTGCCATTTTGAATAAAAATATGAAAAATGTGAGGCCTTAACTAACCTGTAGCCTTGTATTTCAGCAACACTTAGCACACAGAAGAGTGACTGATGTTTTGGGTCAACTCCCTCTAATCTCATACATAACCGGAAGCCATTACGATTGCTTGGAAAAGGCTTGATAACAAAAAAATTCATAGGTTAGATGAACTTTATGTAAAAGTAAAATCTTTGAACAAATGAAACAGAAAACTAGAGTGGTTACCTCTTTAAACAGCCTCTTTGGGGCTGCTACAGAGTTGGTCTCTGCTAGATATTTGTCCCAATCAAAAGATAGTACTTTTTTATCTGTGGTCTTTTCTGTGGAAAAATAAAGTATGTTTAATACATTGATTGATTCTTGAAATTACATGTGTTAAGTGTTAGATGATTCAAATATGGAAGTTCTTTATTTAACCTTTTGTAGTCAATTTTTCAAAAAAATATAAGAATTACATTTGACAGCATTTTTAAAATACAAAAGTTGAAAAACAATTAAAGTAAAGCATTTACCAAATTCTTGAGGTAACAAGTTAAATATTTACTTGCCTATTACTTCAACATCTTCTTTATTGACAATTTTTACATCACTGGAAGGGATTAATTTCTTCTTTTTATTTTTCATTCCCATCATCATCCTTGACATTATCATTTGTTTTCTGTGCAGATTTTTCCTTTAAAAACAAGCATAAATTACAGTGACAATCAAAGTTTTGAACTGGGCAGATATTTTTATAGGGTTATAGCTATTATAATAATCATTTTTACATTTACTTAAGAAAAAAAAAACTTACTTTCCCGCACAGGTCTGAGAACAAAATCTGCCAGATGTTCTGAAATTACTTTTGTAACCATAGCGACCGCAGTAAACACAACAACAAACAGGATCACCCTCATGTTCCGAAAGCTCAGCTGGATCAGTAACTGAATTTAATGTAATGCATAAATAAATGATTTATACTTTCTTCAACAACACAAAATAAAAAAGACTATCTTGAAACTTCTTTGAAAATGCTGATATACTAAAATTAAATTAGCATTTTACTTGAATTACCCTGGTTAAAGTATTATGCAAATTCTCATAATAAACATTTTTATTAATTATTATAAAAAACATACCAGAACAAACTTTCCCATCAATGTTATCGATGCCATCAGCTAAATCAACATCAGATTCATTATTGTTTTCCATATTAATGTCAGTCACATTGTCTGACTTGGCAGCTGAAGTGGTAGTACTATCTTCAACCAGTTCAAGATCACCAAACTCATTTATTTTAAACTATTAAAAACAATATTAAAAAGATATTAAAAGCTCATTAAATCTAACAGAGCATTTAAAAAGAATATTCAAAAATAAAAAATGGAACATTTTAAAGGGGAAAAAAAAAGATTAATTATTTAAATAAAACTTTTATGTTTGTATTGTTAATTAAATGAGTGATGATGAAGATGGACTATGTAGAAATTGGGTTAGTGCAGGGGTCGGCAACCTGCGGCTCGCGAGCCGCATGCGGCTCTTTTGATATCAAGATGCGGCTCTCCAGCTCCTTGAACAAATACTAATAATCTTAATAAAAAATAAAATATTTGAAATAAAAAAAATGTTAGTGGCTCTTTAAAACCAGGGAAATTTTGAAAATTGTAACTTTTGGCTCTTCCGTTTCAAAAGGTTGCCGGCCCCTGGGTTAGTGCTAAAAATATTGGTATTCAAACAATGTGATAAAGCAATCCCTTTCCCCACCCATCACTTTAGTACCTGTTGCAAAAGTAGATATTTACTGAAAATCACACTTGTTGAAATTATTTTTTAACAAACCTTCATGTCAGTGCCTGGCAACCTCCCCACACCATCAGCCCACTCTAATAGATTGGAGTCTATAAAACCTTCAGTGAGAATAGCACCTTGATTTCCTGAACTCATCTCAGAGTTAGTGAGAGGATTTGTTTTGTCTTCTTAAATTGAAAAATTGTAAACATTTTTTTTTTACTTTTTTAAAAATAAATACATTTTTAAAACAGTTTTAGAGGAAATTACAGCATGTTTCATTAATAGTAACTAGTGTAAAAAACAAAGAAATTATATTTAAAAAAATAAACAGAAGTGTCAAAGACAGTTAAATCTTTTTTAAAAGCCTGAGCATTTACAGTTATTTAGTGTGTTAATAACAGATGTTTTTTAGTGTGTTAAATAAAATCATTTTAAAATTCACAGCAATACCTTCATTAGAATCTGCCCCTATATTGTTTTTTGAGTTTGTTTCCTCATGTCCATTGGTCATTACCTCTGGTAAAGTAGTTGTTGCAGGATCTTCATTTAGCACTCCATTGGAAACAATAGATACTTGAGAATTCTGGGGAAAAAAGGTCATTTGTAAACTCACAACTGATATGCTTGTGAATTTTAACATAAGTATTTGATAGATATAAAAATTTTAAAAATGTATTGTAGAAGATTAAATCTATTTTGTCAGCAAGCTTTTAAGTTATCCATTTACTTAATAACTTAATAAAAACATTTTATTCTCAAAACAATATTCTTATATTTGACTAGCTTATTTTATAAACTGAACACTTAATGGCTCTTATATTTGATCAGAAAGATGAACCAGCACTAACCTCTGAACCTGCATCACCCATTGAGTTAACATAACTTTCTCTTTGTGTCTCTGCACTGTCAGCATTTACTGCTGAAAGAGCTGTAGACTTGTTCTCTGCTGGTTTTACAACCTTCAAATCAGTTGAGAGAGCACTGACAGAAGAAGCTGCAGGAGACTTTCTTAAATCATCCCCCACCTACAAACAGCAAACAGATTTTTATTTTAATTAATATATATAGGAGCTTAAGGTAGCTCTAGTTTAGAAGGGATATACTATGTAAATTGCTATTGTTTATGGAAATCTCTTGATGAGAAAGTTTAAGAAAATTACATGATCTGGCAGCTGGGAAACAGCTGTGGCAACAGAAGAAATGGGTGCTGATACAGATGTTGTGACACTGGTGGTTGGGCTGCTGACTGTGGTAGTGAGAACAATGGCCACTCCCAGACCAGCTATTGACTGCCCTGACATGGGGGAGTTGGCCTGGATATTTTCAGCCAGGGGACCCACAACTGGATTCATCTGCTAAGTAAACAAAACTTTATTTAAAAACAATCAAATATTTGCAAATATAGACAAAAGTGATGGTCAATGGCTTAAAGTTTAGTCCAGCAATAACTGCACTAAGGCTGGTAAGATATGTACCCCCTCTAGCAGTGCTTAAACCTAGCCATGGAGCACAGCCTTAAAACAGGGGGGTAAATTAACTTAATTACAGACAATCAACATCATAACTAAGAATATCTGTCTCCTACAAATTGTTTGCAGCACACCTATTTCGGGTTAATTTCTTTGGTTTCAAATTAATAAAAAAAAACACTCACAGAAGAAGAGCTTCTGATAAGTGATGGCATTTGCATTGCAATCTGTCGACCAGTGTTGATTGTAGGTGACACCAAAGGTTTTTGGATTAAGCGTGGAGCTAGAGCACTTTTAGGCACTTGTTGACGGCCAGCCCGAGGCAGCACCACTGGTATGCCTGCTCGCAGTGCCTGAGCCTGGGATATCCCGCTGACAGGCCTTAAAATTTGCCCTTGTTGGTTAGTAGCTAAAGACAAGATCTGGGAAGAATTTGTTGAAGGGCTTGGCGCTATGCACGTGACAGTTAAAGTTATAGCAGTTGGAGCACCAGTTATGAATGTTGCCACAGAGGGTCTGGGTTGGATATACTGTCCGGCTAGGATTGTGGCTGTGCCTATATTGGTGGGAGATCCTACAAGAGCTGTTGTTCCCACTGGTGATGAGACTTGGAGGTTCCCCACTGTTGAGGGAGTGGACTGAAGGTTTAGACCACCACCAGTGGCATTCTGGGATAGCTGCTGTGTCACCAAGGCTGTGTTAGGCAAACACTGAATGTAACTAGGCTGTGGAGTGCCTGTCATCTGCTGAGCAACAATTGGATTTAGAGCTTTCTGGAAAGTAATCTGTTGCCCATTGGGGCTAGGTATTCGATGACCTAAATGATTTTGAGAGGGAGATGAATGAGCTTTCTGGGTATGAGAAAAATTGTTCTTTGAATGGCTGTGGTTCTGTCTGGAAGCTTTGCTGGGGCTGGCAGCTTTCTGAACATTAAGTATTTGTTGAGTTGAAATGGGTACTACAGTTCCTGTTGGTAAACGCTGAACTGCTACTGACTGACCTACAACAAAAAAAGACAACTGTGTTTTAGCTTTTTAGTAAAAACAAGCACTTCTAATACTTTTACCAATATGATTGGTATTTTTAAATTTTAGCTTAATTTTAAAGTACACTGAATACTTTATTTAAAAGGGTGACAATATTATCAAGTAATAATTAATCTGAAGTTTAATTATTAGTTACTTAAAGAATGAACTTTATCTTCAAACCTTTAGTAGGCATTCGTTGGAAAGTTAGTTGTTGTATGGTGGACATAGGGATCTGCTGTGGAAAAGCAGGGTGTGGCACTCGAGTGTGAAAAGTGAGTTGACCAGAACCAATGCCTGGGCTGAGAATAGGGATTCCACCTCTAGCCACCTGAATGTTGGGAGACTGATTTGCCATTGGCTGCAGAACCAAAACAACAATTGTAAACTTCATGTAAAGACAGAAACTCCTTTCAATGGTTATCAGCTTACATGAACAAAACAATGATAAACTGAACAAATATAAATCATTAATTGAAATTAAAAGGCACAGGTTAAATCATGGCTTTTGCAAAATAAAAAATATACTTTTAAATGTATTTGGCTTTAACAAAAATTATGTTAGCCACAAATTAAGTTCTAAGTTAAAAGATAAGGTACTTTGTAATGTAAGCTAACTACAATTTTGATTTGCGTTCTTGTTCAGACTGTTCAAAATCTAATTGGGCAGGAATGGAAGATTGGATATTTATGACATGGTTCTTCATTAGATTCTAGATTTGGGAACTTCTCAATACTGAAAAACAGCTGACCTGAGATGAAGATCCAGGAACTGGGAGAGTCATGCTGCCATTAGGGAGAAAGCCAAAAGCTGTTGAAATGAGCTGTGGACGAATCTGGAAACTTGTGACAGACGTTGGGGTAGAGCTAATCGTAATCTGACCAACAGCTGGAGATGTGGCCAATGTCACAGCCATTTGCTGTCCAGCACTTGGTTGTGTTGAGTGAGTAGGTACTGAGAGATCCATAGGTGAGGCCCCCTGGTCTACAATGGCATTATCTTGATGATCACTTTCAGACATTTTAACATCAATCAGCTCACTCAAATGTATATTTTAGTTTAACAGTTTTCATCTTGTCTTGCACTTAACATTGCCAGTTTTTGTTTTGTTTCTGAATTGCAAAGATATTACAAATGTACAGGCTATAGATGTTGTATGTTTTTTGTTCTAAAGAAAATTAAAACGTATTCAAAATAGTTTAGTTTAAAGTAAGATGTTGTTGAGGGCACAAATTATAGCTTTTTTCATTAGAAATTCATTTTTTAAAGTTTTTGTTATATATATAGGCCTATATAGATTTATATATTATATATGCTATATAATATAAGAAATTTAAAAAAAATGGCTTAGGAATATATATATATATATATATATATATATATATATATATATATATATATATATATATATATATATATACATCCAGTCAAAATTATTACTGTGAGCATAGTGCATAGGCTATTGGTATTTCAACTATCAGAACTAGATGTAGATTCTAGTACTAGACTTTAGATATAGGCCTACCAGATCTTATATAATAGGCCTACTTATTCTTACATAATAAATGATAATATTACATTAGATCTATAATATAAATCTAGGGCCTATAGATTTTTGAATACAATATTCAATATAGTCTAGTCTATAGTCTTGTTTTGTTATGAGACACAAAGTTTTTTTTTTTTTTATTAATAAAAAAATAAAGTTCAACAACACTTCATTGTGGACAAATATAGGGGCATTTTAAAAATAATTTATTTATATTCGGACCTTCAGATCTAGATTCTATATCTATATAAACCATTTTGGAATCGCTTTTTTATAACATATCAAAAGACCTTGAAAAACGCGGAATATTGTAGCCTAATTTTGTTGATCATTGCCTCGTTTTCGTTAACCAATTTTTTGCGACAGCTGAGGATCTTGGCGACACCCTTTTAAACTCTTAACTAATTTTAAATTTAACTATCTAATACATTTTGAACTGAAACAGAAAAACAATTTAAACAAAAAAAAAATGCAAAAAAATAATAATTGCTATGACATCAAAAAATTGGTTTAAATAAATTATAGGCCTAATTTGAAATAATATTAATTTAATTGCATACTCGTCTCCGGTAGGGAATTCATTGATAACGCGTAAGACAAGAAACCTAGCCTAAGCCAAAAAAAACACAACTTCCCTTTCCAGCATGCGCATTTTTTTCATTAAAATGAAATATTTAACGATTAGTAACATAATAATGATAGGAAAAGTATAGAACAAGTGACAATACATCAAATAATACCTCTTTACACTATTTTATAAAGAGTTTTTAATGAAAAAAATATTGTTTTACCCTTACCACAATGAATGTAACTAGGACTCAAAACTCCTGGTTTTAAAAAATACATATTCGTCGGGAGTAATTTTGTAATAAGAATAGCCGTGCCTTAGTATTTGGCTATTCCAGTAATTAGACGGAAATTATAAACGGTGATTAAAATACAATTATTGTTCAATATATATTACATAAATATATCTCTTAAAAAAATTCCGAGAGAATTAACAAATTTTACGATAATGAAATTAACTTGAGGAGCCTGTAAGTTCTCAATGTTATGTTAATTCATGACGTCATTCTGGCTGTGTTGTTGTTTTCAATGTTTTGGTTTTGAGCTGCAACTAGTCTAGTTATTACTGGCACTGCATATAAATACATCTCCCTGTTCGTTTATTTCGGCAAAAATAACGCAGCTAAATGTTGCATTTTCTTAAAATAATGAAAGATTTACAGTACTTTTAAATATACGATGTATTAATTAGATCTTTATGTTTTACAGCCAGTTAAACTTTCTCTACGCAGTTGAGTAAATAAAAAAAAAAGGCCTCGTTCAAGCTTGACACTGACTGACAGAGTTGTTACTGAGCGCACAAGTACAATACTATGATTGTTTTGGCTGGTGATCGTGTAGTGATATGCGACGTTCTTTATAAAACTAGGATATTAAACTGTTTTAGTATTAAGTATATTTGATGACATTTTGTTGCGGCACTATTAAATTTAGTCGTTTAGCTAAAATTGTTGATTGTTTTTAACGTGTGAAAACAGCTGCTGTGCCAGCAGCTCAGCTGATAGATCTCTGCAGGTTTGACAACCAAATCATTTGTGATTTATGCGACCGATACTTGTATTTGTCCTTCTAATTAAAATCAGATGATTAAATTAACAATCATTAGAAGTAGATTTAGATCATAAAGGTATTTCACCTGACAAACATTCCAACTATTATATAAATAAATAAATATAACAAAGAACTGTATTTTTATGACCTTTCTATTTATAGCACACAAAACTGCGTGTTCTTAATTAAAAAATAAGACAAGCAAAAAGTTGTTTGCTTTGCTAGATCCAATACAAATGTCCTAGATTTCCAGATCTAGATAATTTTAATTAAAAACTTAACCAATAAAAAAAAAAGCTATCCCATTTCCCCATTATATTCAGTTATTCTGCAGTAGGTCTATAAGTATAATCTATATTATATACTATTATATACTTAAAATACTTCAGTTCATAATTTTCTATACGTTGAAGTGTGTAATACTAACCATTAATAGACTTATAGGCCAATGGCTTATAGAATTGAATATAGGCCTAGAGTATAATATTATTTAATATTATTAAGTTAAATATTAAGTATCTAACTTCTAAGGCTAGAGTAGAACAATCTACTTCTGTTGGTCAATGTCTTTGGATTACATGATCTTTGTTGAGTTTTAAAGTGCTGTTTTACATTTTTTTTGTTGGGTAGGCTTATAACTATATGAACATTACTTTTCAAAATCATGAGCACTTGTTTGAATTCCTTTTAAAATAATTTCAACCATCAAATTCAGGACATGTATCAAACTTTAATCCTCAAGCCGATTTAGTTGGAATTTGGCTTTCCTCTCTACATTGCAACAAATATCATGGGTGGTGCAGTTAGTTCAGGTCAAGATAATGATGAACTGATTGACAATCTTAAAGAAGCAGAATACATCAAAACAGATGAAGTGGAACGTGTTTTCCGCATTGTAGATCGTGCACATTACTATTTGGAGGAATGCAGGGAAAATGCATACAAAGATCTTGCATGGAAGAGTGGAACCTTGCACTTGTCTGCGCCTTGTATTTATTCAGAGGTGATGGAGGCTTTGGAATTAAAAGAAGGTCTTTCATTTTTAAATCTTGGGAGCGGAACAGGATATCTCAACACAATGGTTGGATTAATGCTAGGTAACTGTGTATTAAACTATTTATTAACTAATTTAAATCAGATATGTAAGTCACAACCGAAAAAGCAGATTGAAAGTCACATATCTATCATTTTGCTAGCTTCAGAATAATTCCACACAGGAAGGCAAATGGCAGTTAGATTTAGGGCCTACATTCATCTTTTGTTACCATGCCATCTGGTTATTATTTTTGGGTTTACAGATTTACAAATCAATTGTTCCCCCTCAGCTCTAAGTAAAGTAACATTGTAACAAGAAATATGAAAAAAATATTTTTGTTCTTTCAGGTCCGTATGGTGTAAACCATGGAATAGAGCTACACTCTGACAATGTTCAATACGCCATTGAAAAACTTGAAAGCTTCATCAAAACCAGTAAAAGATTTGATGATATTGAATTATGTGAACCGAAATTTGTTGTTGGAAATTGTCTTAATCTAGCGCCTGAAAACAGATTGTATGATCGGGTGTACTGTGGTGCAGCCTGCCCACCAGAGCTCAAAGACACAATTCAAAACCTGATCAAAGTCAATGGAATCTTGGTCATCCCTGTTGGAGATCAGGTGTGTAACAAAGTTGAAACTTTCCTATTAATTACAATTGGATCTTGCTGTGCCTATGGTTTTCATTTTGATTTTTCAATTTTCTTTTAGAGCATCCCTATACTTTCTTACTGATACATTTTCCGACATTATTTTTGCATGCCCAAAAAAATCTCTTAATACCATTTAAACAGTTTACAATAATATAAAATATAGTCTAGTTAAATTATTTTGGTTAGTAGTTTTGCAAACTTTTAAAACATGTATTTTAAATATAATTATATTTAATGAAAGATGCTAGAAAATTTTTCTTTAATCTTTTCCAGCTGTTAAAAATAAAACGAATCAGCGAAAAAGATTTTGTCTCTGATAATGTGTTGCCTGTTTCATTTGCGTCTCTAGTTCAGCCAACTCAGGCTCAGAATAGTGAAAGTTCTATTCTACTTCGTAAGTAAATGTATATATATATATGGTGAAATAATTTTCTTTACAGTGCTGCTGAAACTTTTAAAAATTGCTTTTTGGTTGTTTTTTTTACTTTCAGCTGAAGTTTCACCTCTGTCTTTACAGTTGATATGTCGGGTTGTTATTCGAAATGCTATTAGGCTTACATTTGATTTTAACCTTCCTGAATCTACTGGTAGCAAAAGGAAATCTCTCAGGCAGACAAGGTTTTTTAACCATGAAAGTGGGCGGTATCCCCTTAATATCTTACCAACTGCTCGTGGCTTGATGATAATGGGAGCATTTAACCACAGCGATGATGATGATGACGACGACGACGATGAAGATTACCCACATAGTGATGATGATCTTTTGGATCAACAACTTCAGCATCATGCCACAGAGATCAGAATGGCTAGGGAGAGAGCCAAACAGGCAATACTGGATGTGGACTCTGATCTCTCTGAAGCAGAGGAAGCTGATTTCATTCAAAAAGATAATTCTCAGTCCAATGACATTAATGGAAATAAAGATGATTTAGATATTCTCTCAAATGGACCAGTTGATATCCCAGAATCTATGGATAGTGAGAATGGGAATGCAGGGGGTAATGGTAAGAAGATAAATGCAAAAGAAAAACCTGGAGTTAGTGGAACAAAAATTCAACCCGGTAAAGGAAAATCTGTGGTGGAAAGGCCCACCAGAGCTAAGAGATTCTCATACCATAATCCTTATGAAAGAATAACAGACAGAATATTAAATATAATGGGTTCGGAAAAAGATGATCCATCAACCCTGGTTGGAGTCAAGTCTAAGGCCCCACTACCACCATGTAAACGGAGCACTTCATTGTCTTCTGATGATGATGTTGTGGCCCCAAAACTTGGCACTAACTCGCCAGCGATTCTTGTGACTGCCTCCACTTCTACCACTTCCTCACCTCAGGCTATATCAACATCATACAGCACAAGCGCGGACACATCAGAAACCTCAGGTTTTGGTTCACTGGGCGATGACACTCTTCATGTTGGGTCCCAACTCTCTGGGCTGGGGTCATTCAAAGATGACATGGAGACCATTTCGACAGATGTGGCATCATCCTCGTCTGTAGGAGACTATGGAAACAAACGCACCACATGGCCCAGGTCTTCAAAAGGGGAGCACACTCTTGAAAATGATAAAGCAAGCAATGATGAGGATGACAGCCTTGATGCAGGATGGATGGATATTGATGATGAGGATAGTGATGGAAGTGAAAAGAAGCCTTCAACTACTTGTAAAGAAAAAGTAGTACATGCAGAAAGCCATGCCTCCACTGCCCCAGATTTCACATTGTATTTGAAAGAGAAGGTGAATACATTACCCATTCCTACAAAACTAAAAGAATTCCTTCTTTACTACAGGTAATTTAGTTACTGTTTTTTTTACACCTTGGTGTACTATTGAGCAGCTTATGTTGTTGTACATATCCAATTGTAAAAGCAGCATCAAGTCAGTCTTTTTTTTTTTTTAATTTTTTTTTTCAAATTATTATTTTTAAAAACTTACCTTTCAGCATTGCAGTAAGTTATTCTTTTCTTAAAACATTAAACCCGTTACTATGAGTGAGCCAATTTCTTGTTTTGAACATGGAATGTTTCTTTCTAAATAAAATATATAAAGTACCAGTTTTACAAAAGGCTAACAAAGTAGGCCCACACTGAATACTTCTATATATATATATTTTTTTTTTGCAAATGATTTTCAAAAATCACACAGCAATAATAATACTCTGTCATGAAAACTCTTTCCTTTGTGTATTTAACTTCAATTCTTTCATTTTGCTGTGAATTATAAGAAGTGGTGATCATAAAATGTTTTATATTTGTGATTTTAATTTTCATGTCTTATCATAATCTTTTGACCTGTGTATTGAAATACTACTATATAGTAATTTCATACTTTAATGCAGTCAGTACTTGTTGTATTGGTTAAGATTTAGTATTCAGTTTAAATTGCTTGAATGTTTTCACTAAATTTTGTAAATTACTAATACATAAATAACATTTCTTTCAATATATAAGATGTTAGGCTTTTGATATAATTTAACAATCACCTCCCTCACTTTGTTGCTTTGCGTAGGTTATTTTGAATTTGTTGTTCCATATCTCATTATGTGAAATATGGTGTGATGTGAATTACATTTTTGAAAATTCTCTTTTTAAATGTACTTATTTAAACACAAAATTGGCTAACTATCTAAAATCAAGCTTGACCAGAGATTTTTTGGTTTAAATTGCACTATTTTACTGATACTTTTTATTAACTGTGTCTTACTTTTGCTGAAAAAGTAGTTAAAAATGTAGCATACAATATTATTCTTTCATGTTTTCTACTTTATGATTTTCTTTTCATATTTCAAGTTACATGTCACTCAAGAAAAGTTTATTTCAAAATGATATAAAGTTATGTGTGTTTTGTTTTTGAAAATATCTCTATATTTTTTCAAATTAAATATTGTTTACAAGAATTCTCTCCCCTCATCTTTACTGCTGTTGTGTTTTGTAGGCACTTAACAAAACCAGTAATAAAATACTTTTAATTAGTGTTTGCCAATGCAAACCATGTAAATATGTAAAAATTTAATTCTTTCAAAAAAGTCTTTCAAAATATTAAAAATAATCAATTATGTAACAAAACAAAAACTCCAGTTCACAATGTGGCTAATGAAAATAACATGATAAAATGTAAAAAGAAAATACCTGTATTCAGCTGTACACAAAAAGCGCCATAAAAGCTTTTCCTGTGTGCTCTTATATGAAAATTCTGAATACAGTTTTCATTCTGAATTCAAATAGACAAAACTCTCTCTGACATTTGACTTTTATTGATGTTTTATTTTTAACATCATTTATGTGATTTTTTTGTCTTCGTCATTTTGTATCAATGATGATTTATTTAAATTGCATTTTATTGTCATTAGAACGGCGAAATTTGTCATAACATTTAAAATGCTATATTACCTATGTTTATGACAGTATTTTCTGGCATTACATTTTATTATATACACAGAATGCTGCCTATCTTATTTCCCATTTTGTTTTTTTTCTAATGCATTTTAAAAAGTTGATTTTGATTTGTGTTGTTTGCCTTTCAATTAATTGAATTCATTCATTTATTGTAACTGATCTTCTTTGTTAAGTTTTTCCCTATATTTTTTAAATACAATTTTGACAGAAAGGTAAGTTTATATATTAAGGTTTAGATTTGGTGCCAGTTTTCAAGTTACTGTAAAGTAACAAATTTTAGTTGCAAACACATCTGATAAAGAACAGAGTAGTGAATTTTATACTAGATTTTATTAAGATCTCTGGTATAGTAAGCCCACATTTAAAAAAAATAGATTTAAATTTTACATGAGTCTTTGATTAATAAGGTAATCATTTGCTGATGTTTTCCTGTATTTTAAAAACAACTTAAGTGTCATTACATACAGTATTAAAAACTATAGCAAGACTATAATAGAATGATTTAGCATATTAAGTTTATAAACATAAGAATAGTTCCCTCAAAAATATATGCAAAGCTGAAAGCTTAGCATTCCTCAACTGAAACAGCCTGTGAAACAGCATTTTTATGTAGAGCCAGTTCTAAGTTTATTGATGTGGTTATCACACCAAAAGAAAATCAATTTTAAAAAATTCTGATATCTTTAAAGATTGATGCATAGGTCAAACATAATTTAAGTGATCCATATTTATGCATTAAGCTACTACTGTTGCTTTCCTCTTGTTCTTAGCTGGAGCAATTTTATAGATCTACATTTCTTTGTGCTTTTTTCCCCACCTTATTTATCTGTTGATTCAGAATAGACAGCTTTGTTATAATTTTTTATAATAACTACCCTTAGAAATATAATTTATTTATGTGTTTTTCAAGTTCATTCATGTATCTTAAAGTTAACAGTAAATATACAAGGATGCTATAATTCAGGATAGGTGTTGTGTAGTTAGCTGTAGATTTCATAATCATGGTGTTGGGAAATGTGTTTCAGCTTTTCTAACAGAACAAAGAGGGTTTAAGGCTATTATTTTGTTTCAAGTTTTGTTAAAATGTAGTTTGGTGATTTAATGTGTGATAACCATGCAGTTGTTGGGATTTCATTAATAATTTGTTAATAAATAACCAAGATTCAATAAATACAGTTTTTAAGTGTAAATTGCCTCTGTTTTGTTCATTTTGATTCATTAACCCCTTGAAGCATGACAAGTAAATACTTTATAGTTTTTAAAATGCTTTAGATTGAATATTTTTATAATTTTATGTTAGTCAAGTAAAATTTTATTAATCAAATATTGCAAAGGTTTTGGGTTTTTTCAAAAAATGGAAGAAAACTACATCTAACTTATTAAGTAAAAAATATTCTCATGAAATTATTTTGGCAGGGCTAATCTTAGTTATATTTTGTTACTAATAATAAGATTTAAAATTTTGTGTATGTCAAAATATACAAGTTAGCTAAAACTTTTTTGCTTATTACTGCATAAATTATTCTTGTTAAAATATTGCTGTTTTTCTGTGGAATGCACTTTTTTTTGTATAATTTGTTTTGTAATAACTATTTTGTGGATTTGGCATCTTTCTTTTTATAAAATTATAACAATTACAAGAAACAAAATAATAATGGATTTTCTAAATGCATTAGATGACCTATTAAATTTCATTCTAAAAATGACACTTAATATTTTAAAATGATGTTTGAACTTAAAAATCATTGGCAGGTAGCTTGCACATGTAGACCTCTTGTATAGAGACTGTATATTTGTCAATATTGTTTTCTTTTATTTCTAGTTGTATAAAGCAAACAATAAAATTTGACAAAAAGTAAAGTGGATGTTTTCTTTTAATGTACTGCTTTGACTGATTTATATGCAGATTTATTAAAACTAACAACTGGTTTGATTTATTTTTTTATGAACCATAAGGCCATTCATAGACATAAGTAATAAAGTACTGTTAAAAGATGATATTTTTCCTGAATGTTCATGAATCAAAATGCATTCACATATGCCAGTAGTTTAAAGAACATTAAGAAAGTAAGGTTTTTTTTTTTGGAAATAATTGTTTTAATAAAATTCTTGTTGCCTAGGGAGCTCAGTTTATGGTGGGAGCTAAATTGTGGGGAGTGCAAGATAGTGCTTAATGTGTGATTGGCGCTAATATTTGAAAATAACTTGATTTTTCCAGGGATAATAAATGCAAGTTACTGAACAGTGTGGGCTTGATGTTCTGATGGTGCTTAATCTGAAACATCTTAAGTAGATCTAATAAAATAAAGCGGGAGTGATCACGTAAAAAAATTGCGCTCCTAATGATTGTTGAAAAATGTGTGCATAGCTGGAAAATGTGTGCTTTATACATTAAACATTGACTAATTAAAAAAAATGTTAATTATATCTAGTTCACGCAAATAAAATGTCACAATGCTTTCGGTTACCGGAAATCGTTCAAAGGCTGCTATAAAACTACACATTTAATAAATGATATAATAGTAATATCCAAACATGAAATTTCGTCAACGTTACTGAAACGGTACTCAAGTTATCGTGCTCACAGACAGACAGACACACGGACAGAATAAGTATCATTTATTTATATTGATAATCTATATATCGTATTATTAGAAAAAATAAATTTCTGATTACCCCCTCCATTCCCCTCTCCCTTACACTAACATAGCCCAGTTTTTTTCCGACTCAAAGAAGACGCGTAAAACGCCAACATTTTGATGAATCTGGATTTAGAATTTTTGCCCGATTGTAATAAGTCCCTTATATTTCGCATATGATGAAGTACTGAGATGTAAAACTGAATTTTGTCAAAATTTCGTGCGGTTTTGTGCACGATTTCAATATTTCCTCTGTACTCTGTATACGAGAAAGTATAAAGATAACTATTTAAGGCCTAAGGTTGCACCACGAAAATGCAACACCGGTAGGCATTTATCCTTGACCTTCCTAGATTTGTTTTTAGAATTTTAAACCAATCAGAATCCGACTACTTTCTGTCCTTTAGCCTAGGTCTAGCTACAACTTTCTGAATGACTAGTCTAGGCCCTATCTAATGATTATTATTGATATACCACGGTTACCCTAAATAAACATAGACCCAGATCTACAAAATAGTTGAAAAGGCGATCGTTATTGCATAATATGTGTTCACTAACATTGCAGCATAATTTTAAAAGACGTTTTTGTACTTATAAATTAGATCTTTTACGAAAAGCTAAGTTAAGCACGGCTTGTAAACAGTTATTTTTGTTAACACAGACTCAGACAAAATATCAAGAAACTTTTCTTGGTCCCAAACAAACGTTTCAATATTGTCACTGTAGTCTTATTCATACGGATCATTCTTCAAACACATTTTGTTTGCCTAAACAAAAGGATAGGCCTTCTTATTCTTATAGATCTAGTAAATTTTATGGTAGTTACAGTATTAATAAAATAATGGCATCTTCTGAAAAAACGCATCATCAAGATATAAAAGGAACAGAATTTAAACAGAATTACGACTATTTTCTTGTACTTGACTTTGAGGCAACATGTGATGATAAAATTCAACCCAACCCTCAGGTGACTTTTATTTTATGTTAAAAACGTTGTTAAATATAGACCTAATAATGTGTTAATAATTGTTAAGTTTAGTATACTACAAACTAAAAATCTAAATAGTTTAATAGTAATAATAGCCTCTAACTCTGAAGTCTGTTATAGTTATAGAAAGTGGCGTAGCGAGCAGTGTTTCTTCCAGACTTTTTTCTCCGGGGGGGGGGGGGGGGGGCACTTGAAATTTTCGGGGGGGGGGGGGGGGGGGGCGGTAGACTTTCTTCAGGGGGGGGGGGGGCGGACACTGTTAAAAGTATATATTTTCTATATTTTCTATATAAATTATATAAATTTCATTTTGTCCGGGGGGGGGGGGCAAAGCCCCCTTGAAGAGATGCCTGGAAGAAACTCTGGTAGCGAGGTCGGGTGTCACCCGGTGCGGCACTTAATAGTATCACCCCCCAGAGGCGTAGCGACCCTTCCCGGGGACAAACTTTCAAATTTTCGATTTGCACCCTCTCAAACTTTCGATTTGCACCCCCCTCAAGTTTTCGATTCGCACCCCTCCTCAAACTGTCGATTTGCACCCCCACTCAAGTTTTTCTCTATATATTTTGCTATGTCACCCGGTGCGGTCCGCACCCCCGCCCCCCCCCCCCCCCCGGTACGCCTCTGGTTATAGATCTAGTCTATTTTATCATTTATGGCATATGGTGCTAGCAGTGTTTCTTCCAGACTTTTTTCTCCAGGGGGGGGGGGGGGGTAGACTTTCTTCGGGGGGGGGCGGACACTGTAAAAAGTATATATTTTCTATATAAATGATATAAATTTCATTTCGTTCGGGGGGGGCTAAGCGCCCCCGAGGGCCCCCCCACATTGCGGGGTCTGGCGGCACTGTAGTTCCGCCCCTGGTTTGAAGTCTTCAGCAAAGCTTGTCTTTAAAATTCAAGTGTGGAAAAAAATTGCAAGTACTCCAACTCGACATTCTGATTATGTGGGGGATAAATGCAAGACAAAAATGTAACATGACTGGTTGTTTTCACGCCATTCTAGCAATTATTTACAGTCTCAACATTTTGTGTTTCATGTCTTGAATTTATTCTTGCCCTCAATAGTTCGTTATATGTTAAAACTTGTAAATAGATACTCCAATTATAAAAGTGATTTTTCAAAAAAGGGCTGACACATTTAAAATAATTGTCAATCAATAGTTAACTTATGGAATTATCTGGTTATTGTTAAGGTTGTATTGGTATTATTATTGCTAGCCATTATTTTAATAATTAATATAATGTTCCTTGCTCAGTTGGCTTTATACATAGCACCTAAAATTGCATTATGCATCTTTGTATAATTTGGAAATATATCTGTACAATCACATTCTTATATTTCAATTTCAAACAACACTTTTTATTATTACAGGAAATAATTGAATTTCCAGTGTTAAAAGTGAATGCAAGAACACTGAAGATTGAATCTGAGTTTCACAAGTATGTTGCGCCACAGTTTCACCCAAGAATCACTCCTTTTTGCTCTGAGGTATTCACTACTCATCAGGAAATTTTATTTAATTTGATTTTTTTAAAAACAAATTTACTCTAAAAATTGAATCTTGTTGTATATTAAAATTGCAAATTTACTCTAAAAATTGCATCTTGTTTTATATTAAAATTTGATTTTATAGCTGTTTTAACAATGTTAGTTTCTTTGACCAAGATAACTTCAATTCATCCTTTTTTTGTTTTGTTTAGTTAACAGGAATTATTCAATCAATGGTTGACAATCAACTACATCTACCTGAGGTTTTACAGGTATTTTATAAATTCATTAATTAATTTTAAAATAGTTGACTTATTTGTCCTACTCTATTTGTTTTCCAAAATTAAAATAGTGTGTAAGATCTGTCTTTAAAATCTGCCAAAATTAACCCTAATTCTATTACATAATTACAAATATTGTTTAATGCCTATTTATTTTACAAAACGTAATTTAAAGTTAAATTGATTGAAAACTGCTCATTCATCTTGCTGTTTAACGTTTGCTTTTAATTGATGATAGAGTTTGTTTTACTCAAGTCACAAATGAAGCATTAACTTAAACTAAGAGAATTAATAGAAATACTTTTTGTTATAGAACTCTATGAAACAAGCGTTCTGCACATTTTTGTTGGATGTACTTACTCATAAGTGAAAAGTATTTAGTTTAAAACAAAAGTTATATGTTGTATTATAGTTCTATAATATGGTCTTAGAAATAAATAATTCACAAATGTAAGAAATGTTTTTTTTTTAAATAGAGTTTTCACCATTGGATGGAAAATGAAGGTTTATTAAATCCTGATGTTAGAAGCATTTTTGTTACTTGTGGTGACTGGGATCTAAAATCCATGTATGTATACTACATAATTAGACATTAAAGATGATAAAAATGTATATATTTTTATTTAAATACTGTATTTAAATATTATTCAGAAATCTCAGTTAAAAAGTATTTTAAACCTTTTCCCCTAAAGGGTTTTAATATGACTCATTTAGCCTCAGGGGACAATGGATGCACCCAGAAAGGTGCAATCCTTTTTTTGGGTTGCGTACTTGGGCATCAGGTGAAGAGATCATAAGTTGCCCATAATTCTTCTCTTGAACTTGCAAGTATAGTCCAAAACAATACAAGGCACTACCTTTGTTACCAACTCAGTTAAAGCTCCAGAAAGGGATCTAGAATTATACCCCTACTGTCTAAGGTGCTCTGCTCCTGGTTTTTTGAAGATATGAAAGGCAGCTTTTTTATTTTGGACTCTTCGCTCCTGAATACACTGTTGTAACAAGCATCAAATGCTAGGGGGTCCAAACTTGGGACTTTAGGGTTAGCAATATTGTTCTCACACAACCATAAACACTGCCCACAGAAGGTTTAATACATGTTACAACTTTTAAAGAATGTGGGAGGCAATGTCTTTCGCAGTAAAAATAAATACAACTACCACAGGTCCGATTAGTTTTACATATTGGATTAAGCAGGATCTTAAACTTTAAGGTTAACTGTGATAGTCATTGATTTTTTTTGTGTATGTTCTTGCATTTACATAAATATACACATTTTAGAAAATGAGTGACCACTTTCTCTTCTTGTTTAGGTTACCTAAACAGTGTGCTGTGTTGGATTTATTAGCTCGGCCATATTTTTCACAGTGGATTAATATTAAAAAGGTAACTATTGTGAATGGTTTCCATTGTATAATTTTTAAAAGATACATTATCTAAACTTGATTTATCTGAGCACAGTGATTTGCTTATAATTATTGAAATCCATATTTTTACACAAACCTTTTCATTTCCAGTCCTATGCTGATGTCACTGGCACATTCCCTAAGGGTATGATGGTAATGTTGAACAATTTGAATTTAAAACACATTGGCAGGCATCACAGTGGAATAGGTAGAATTTTTATTTTATATTGCTTTTCTTGAAAATATGCATTTTATTATTTTAAAACCACCACTTCATTTAATTAATTTCTAACAAATTTGTAAATATATATTTCATTTATAATTTAAAAATTCATTTATATAAAAAACAAACAGATTGTTAACAATAAAACCTTTTGTGTATGTAAGCTAAAAGTAATATTTCAGAATAATTCTAAGTATAAACTAACTGTTCTGTAAAACTACCATTTTAACTGCAATGTTTTTTTTCTCTGTGTTACAGATGATTGCCGGAACATAGCCAATGTATTAATAGCATTATTAAAAAAGGGTTATGTTTTCAAGAAAAACGGCAGCATTGGAAGATTTTAAGCACATTTACAGAAAAATCAAACCTATCATACACTGTTTGCCATACTCGCTCATCATGTGTGATAGTAAAAAAAAATGTTATTATTTACTTATGATTGAAGTACAGTATTGAATGTAATTAAATAAACTCATTTCATACCAGTTCCATTATTGAAAAAAACTTTTTTTTGTATCACAATTTTAAGACTTCTTTCCATTAATATTCCAAATGGCAATAATTTACACCCTTATTGCAAATTTGGTATTTAATGATGCTACCCACTTGCAGATTTTTTATTCCAATTAAAGATTGTGTTCTGGGCATTATTTAAAACTGAAGAGAAAGTGAATTTTTAGCAGTACTGGTAACAGTGTTTCTTCCACTTTTTTTCTCGGGGGGGGGGGGGGGGGGGGGGGGGGGGGGGGGGGGGGACGGGACACTGTCAAAAGTACATATTTTCTATATAAATTTCATTTCGTTGGGGGGGGGGGGGGGGAGAGATGTCTGAAAGAAACTCTGACTGGTAGTAATTATTTTGTACATGTAAGCACAAGAAACAATTCACAAAGTCAGTAGTTTTCAATTTTTTAAATTAAATTTTAAAATCATTACATAGTATGTGAAATGGATAGTAATAAATTTAACAGATCATTAAACAACAATGTGCACATAAAATAAAAAATGCAATTGGATAGAAATATTTTAACAAATTGGGAACCGAAACATTTATAAAGATAAGAATCATAATTAAGTTTTAGCAATTAAAGATTGTCTAGGGTTCTTGGACTTGTGTGTAGAATTTACGCTTAAAAATGTTTTCTAATTTGATTAATTAAAAAAACATTAAAAACATGAAATGAGATATCACACCGGAATTCATGAGCAAATAAGCTTTTTGGAGTGTTAGTAAGAATTCATACAATAAAAAAATCAGTTTAAAAAAAAAACCCAAATACAAATGTTTTCCCCAAAAGAACAAAATAGAGCTTAGAATAATTTCTTTGGTTTGGCTTCCAACACCAAATTTGAAACAACTCAAAATTTATTACCTGGATGAATACAGTTCTAACATTTTGTAGTGTCAGAAAATAAATTTAAAATGTTTAAAAAGTTTTATTAGAAAATAGAAAAAAGAAATTCTGGTCCTTAACTTTATTATTGTAAAATAATACATTACATACATTTAAATATAAAATCTAAATATTTTATTTAACATTGCAAAAAATTATTTTCTAACACATGGTACAACTTTCAAGATCACAAACATTAAAGGTTAGGCAAAATGCCAGGTGATGTTCATGTTCCATTGGATTGGGCTGTTTACTGTGATTTGTAAAAGCTGAGGAGAGAAAAACAACTTCAATGTTTTTTAAAATAGATTAAATAAGTACTACAAGTATTTTGCAGAGAAATATTATTTTAAGGCTAATAGGAACACAATACTAACACCAAAGAAGGTCCTATTTTTTTCAAGCACCAAGTATTTAGAAATACAAAAAAAGATTAGTTACCAAAATTTAATAAAATGAAGGTAATGGTTTTGAGCTTTTAATTATAAATAATGTAATGTAAGAACTAAAATTAAATTGCTTACTTTGTTGCTTTGTGTGAAATTAAGGATTTTATTATCATATTGAGTTATTTGAGTGACATTTTGTTTGATGCCCATTATTAAAATTTGTTGATAGGCCAATTTTACCCAGTCGCCTTCCTGTGCTGGTTGGTGATTCACCATCATTAGAAGATTATTCTAAACAGATATATAATGTATTGTACAATCATTAAACTCTTATTCAAATTATGAATGAAACACTATCAAACCAGTAGATTAGAGATACTTTATACTACAAAGACTACAAGCACAAGGTCTATTATGATGATGTTGAAAGTTCTGCCTTAGATATTTCATTCAATGCCAAAAGTTATGAAAGATTAAGCTTCCGCTAAGATTAAACAATTATTTGAAAAGTTCAAATAACTTACATTTTCAACCAATATTCTGGCCTTGTAGTAGTAATGGATGGGTATAGGATCTGTTAAACATAAATAATTTTTAAGCAAACATTTATTTAAAAAATGTATGAAATTTAAAGAAAATCACATTAAAAAAATGCACAAATTGGATATGAATTAAGTAAACAATGAGATTTCAAATCTGTGTGAAAAATATTTAATTGTGAGTATTTAAAACCATGTTTATTAGTTGTTTTTACAAAACAGTGATTTGTGTAAATGATTTATACTAAAACACTCGGTTACGTTAAATACCTTTTTTATTGAGCATCATTCTAAATCTGGTTATAAAAAAATTGGCTATTATTTACCAATAGAGACACCATCATCCAAGAAAAAAATTGGTATTTACCAATATAGACACCATCATCCCAGTAAATGTCACCCTCCGCTCTGTCCAGTTCATCAAGTGCTACAAGAATTGTGAATGGATTTTGACGACTGAAATATGAATAAAAAAATTAGCACAGGTTGAAACTAAATAAATCAGGAAAAGCCAGTTATTTTTTTAGATAAAAAGAAAAGCCATTACCTAAAGTGAGTGTTGTTTGCATAATCCTGTTCCACTATTATATAACCTCCACGCAGATGAAGCTTAGGTTTGGACATCAATGTGACATTCACAGTGCTATAACCACCTGGTGATAACTCTTCATTGTGCTGAAAATAGAAACAGCTTTAGCTTGTATGTACTAGAACTAGACTAAAATAAAAAAGAATTTATTTTTTAGTAGACACATCTAGTATAAAAGATTCATAAAAATGTTACTTACTGTAAAATAATCATACCATTTTCCACTTGGTAAATAATATGTCAGTTGACTTTGACCCTTTGAAAAACAAATACATGACATGAAAATAAAATAATTTTTAAGGCAGCATAAAAATATATAAATATGTTTCTACATATTATACCAACCTGCTCAAGAATTGGAGAAATCAGTAAACATGGTCCCCATAAGAATTGCTTGTCAATGGATAAAGCTGTATGGTCTTTTGGAAATCTGCAAAATATTGTCAAAAAAGCAATTTTGTTAGATCATGTGTAGGCTCACATATTGTCGTACTTTACAGATTTCACTTATTTAAGTTAGGTTATTTTTTTTAAAAAGTAATACAATAGCCTTAATAAGAAATTGAACATTTTAATCTACAGTGCAAAACTAAAGTTAAAATTTTTAAATGTACAAAACAAATGTTAACAATTTAAAAAAAAAAATCGTACTCATGATGAAGCGGTCGTATGACAGTAGAACCCTGCGTGTGGGCTTTGTAAAACAGAGTGTATAGATATGGCAGCAGCTTGTAGCGAACTTGCATTATTTCTCTGGAGGCGTTGCCAACAGCATCACCCAACTGACCAGGGCCTTGGGGCTGCAAGAGTGAATTTAAATTTTAAAATATTTTACATACAAAATATAATTTATCTAACTAACCACATCACATATTATGTCACATATCAGTCCGGGTAAGTGGCTTGAAAAAGAGTGAATTTAAATTTTAAAATATTTTACATACAAAATATAATTTATCTAACTAACCACATCACATATTATGTCACATATCAGTCCAGGTAAGTGGCTTGAAAAAGAGTGAATTTAAATTTTAAAATATTTTACATACAAAATATAATTTATCTAACTAACCACATCACATATTATGTCACATATTATCAGTCCAGGTAAGTGGCTTGAAAAAGAGGCTCATCTGTGTGTCTACTGTTATGATCGACCTTTCGTTCAACTCCAAACATGATTCAAGGCACTGTTCAATCCTTTATTAAACTTGTCTTCTTTATTATTACACCACAAGCCCTTGTCCCTAGCCGCCACTAACAAAAGTCCCTTACGATCCGTTCGCTCCAGCTTTTATTCCCACACTCGACCTTGGGATAACAATACCTAAATACCCCAGTGTTGACTCACACACAACTCTTCCCTACGTTCTAGATTATTCTATTCTTAAATTACTCACGATTGGCCCTTTAGTGTTGTGGTTCCTGCTAAAGGTATAAAATGCCCCAAGCTGCATCCACCTTAAGCATAATTCCTGAGTTGTGTTATCAAAGAAACCACATATATCTGCACCAATCTATGAACAAAGAATACAATAATTTAAAATTTATGAAAGAATTCATGATCTATAATATCAACAGTAATTATAATTAAGTATAGCCATTAGACAGACTTTAAAGTAATATTTTGAAAACAAAACTTACATAAGGAATGCCAAATAAGTTGAATTCTAGTAAACCTATTTGAACAAAAATAAAATGAAATTCCAGAACTTTCCTCTTAAACAGTTTTAAGTTATTTATAAGCTGTACAGTTTTTTTGGGGACATATTTTATGTGAATTTATGTGACAGACGCAGATGATAAGGGTGAAATTAACCTAAATTAGTGTAACGATTAATTCATTCATGACTCCTAAAGTTCACATCTCTTCTGTTGTGTCAAGTTATTTGTATTTAGGATTTCTCTAGCTGTAGACATTCTTCAATAATACTTGTAATTCATTAGAGATACTGTTCGAGATAAGGCATATACCCAGACCCAATATGCTTGGCAAAATAACATTCTAGGTAAGGCATTTAAAAACCAAAATGGGTGGATCACACCCATGATGTATGGCAGAAGTTAATTAGTTATTCAGGCCCAACTGTATACATTGCTTCCAAAATTTAAAAAAGGAAAACAAATTCTAGTGGGTTTTTTTTTTGTTTTGCTGACAGATGACTTAAATTTCTCTCTTCTGGAGTGCTGGGTAGTGAAAACATTGATGGGAGATGGACACTTTTAATTTACTAGGACTATTGACCTATGATAGAGCTGAACATATCCTTCAATTGACTGGTATTATCACCTAATTAGTGGCTATCTAGGACTACTGACATATGATAACTGTCAAATGCCACTGACCTAAGATAACATATCTAGGACTACTGACCTAAATAAATATCTAGGACCACTGACCTATAATAGAGCTAAACATATCCTTCCATTGACTGGTATTATCACCTAGCCAGTGCCCCACCCACTGGCCAGATCCTGGGAATGTAGAGCGACTTATTACAATACCTCTTTCGCCTGTGGCATTTCTCACAGCACTATATGCATGTGTAGAGAAAAACAAATAGTAGTCACTTTTACAGTTTTAGAAACAATGTTTTTAATAAGTTATTTTAAATTTTATGCCAATTTGAATACATATTCTACATTTCTTATCTGGAAGTTTATATGGAAATTCAAAATAATTGACCATTGATCTGAATTTTAAATATTGCAATTTAATAAGATACTCATATTTTTTCCAACACGAAATATAATAGCACAATTTGATACTTTTAATCAACATAGCTGAATCTGACTTAACAAGAATTTAGTCATAGTCAAAACCACATGAAAGTTTTAAACAATAAATTCAAATAAACGGTTGATCCTTAAATGTGAAACAATATAAAAAATGCCTTTACTTTTTAATGAAATAAAGTAAAACCTACTCAAGGGTGACATCTGACTGGCTCCACCCATACAAGCTGTGAACATCATAATGTGAGTACTCATCATTGTTTCCCTGGACTGTACTCATGCAAATTGTTTTATCAGACAGACGACCTTTCTTTGGTCCATTGTCCCATCGATAGGCAGCCTCTTTACAAATATTTGACATTAGATTTAAGTTTAAAATAAATCTAAGTTTATACATACTGGAAAAATATATTTGATTAGAAAATAGCTTACTAGTCCTGTATGGTGGATCCTCTTTTAAATTATTTGGACATCTTAGACTCCAGTAAGGCTTGTCATCTTCTGGCCAATTGAATGGTCTTTCTTCATTAGTGCCAAAGCTTGCTGGCTCATTCATATCCTTTATATAGAAATGTGGACATGAAATTTAGTTATTTAAAAAGAATTATTTTTTAAAAATCTAATAGTTCAAGACAAGAACACAAAAAGCAATGAAACAAATAATTAATAAAACTAAATTTTTTTTTACCATAGTCAAAAAAATTACCAGGCATTATTTGTAATTTTAGAAAACTCACAATCCAGAGTCCATCAAAAGTGAGATTATTTCTGTAGTCTACTATCAGCTTTTTCCAGATAGACTTGGTAATATTTTTCATATAGTCTGGGAACACTGTTTTTCCCTGGGGCCAAACCTAAATATAGCAAATAAGTGAGAGGGACATTTTAAAACAATGTATGGTGGCTGACATAGTATAAATTTATACATAATTGAAGTAATGGTAGAGTAAGGCATAGACAATTTATAAGGACATTTTAAGGTTAGACAATATGGTTTGAGAATATTTGGTATTTGCGGTTGTTTTATTAGTCTGATAGATGAGGACAGAATAACATAGTAGGGAGGAGCTGAGAGACGGTTGGTAAATAAGATAGTGGAAGAGACATTTATTTTAGAAAGTTACGGGTTAGTCAAATTATATCTGTATTACAATGAAAGTATAGTGTATGACTATTCATCTTGAATGTGTCATATTGTTTCTTTTGCACGGAAATAAGTCTGATGCCATCCTCTTCACTGAAGATAGTCTAGTTTGTAGGTATATTCATGGGCCTTATCATTCCTATATATAACTATAAGAACTAATGTGCTAAAAACCAAGATATTTAATTTATAAGAAATTTACAGAATCATATTTTGGAGATTATGGTAACCTAATATAAATACTAATATTTATTCAGGCCATGGAAAAATCTAACAAAAAATCTTTGAATACAATTTTTTTAGAAGTAGATAGGCCTATATATGTTTATCTTTATTCTAATTTTAGTTTGAAATTGTTACTATTGATAGTAATTTGACATACAAAACCCAGCAATGCACCATCTGTATCCGCTGAATCATTTGGGTGACTGACTTTAGGATCCCACTTAATGTTGCAGTTATTTTTCTTCATCTCTTCATAAGGATAGTAGTTTGTCTCATTTGAGATCATGCATGGATCCTGTAATGTAAAATATAACTTATTACTTCCAAGTTTATTCAGTGTAGCTTCAATAACAATGTGAAAATATGAATTGTCAAAGTATATTAAAACCAAAGTTACTCAAATTATTTAAAAAAAATATGTTTGATTTAAATTACAATATAGATTTTGTTAGTGAAAAGGTAGTTTTTAAAGTGAAATAAAGATACAGTATTTTTTAGATTTTCATGCAGGAAATTTCTGACACATTAAAGATGAAATAGTACTCGTCCATACTTTTGGTTTGGCCGTCAAGAACATACTAAAACAACCAACTCAGTTACCAGGATGTAGATGATCCTCATCCCACCAGCTTGAAGACTTTTGAAATAATCATTTAGACCTGGGAATCTGACGTGATCTACAGTGAAGATTTTTTGTGTGTCCATGTGGTCAATATCTACATACTGGACATCCTGTAAGAATTTGTTTTAAAACAGATTCTTAAAATACATGTTAGACTTATATTTTTACTGTTTTTAATTGTAGGCTTACTATTACATCCAGAGCAACATTTTAAGCTTCTATGGAAAGAAAATAAATATAATAATAAAAATGTTTTTAATAGGACACTGTTTTGCTCAGGTTGGCTTAGTTAATAATACATTGCCTGAATAATACAATGCACACAATAATAATAATCTCACTATTTTATGGATACTGAACAACTTTTTTTTTGCTAACATAATCTAATTCGGTCAATTAGTTTTTTAATTACGAGCTACAAATGGCAAATGGAAACTTACATGTGGGATCTGGTATCTGGCAGTAGAGTCCACAGCTTCCTGTAGGTTGGTGATATTGTGGTAGTCATATCTACACAGCTGGAAACCAAGGGACCAATATGGTGGCATCATAGGGCGTCCAATAACCTTCACATTTGTAAAATAAATAAACGTGAACAATCTATTAAATTTTTTTTTTAAATACGAATACAGTTAACTGCTGAAGTTTGAATCTTTGTTAAACTAAATAGTATCCCTGCAAGATTCATACTTTACAATAGCTTTCAAAATCTATTGTAGATAGATAGTTAGAAATAAATTAATAATATGCTTTAAATTTGTATTTCAGTTTAATTAGAACAGACCTAACTGAATAAAACAATTATTGACAACGTCTTATCATATTTATCTTCTTAAACCTATGTCTGAGAACTTTTTAATTATATAAATGGTTTATAATGAAACACTCTATACATTATCACATTTTATATATTCTAATATGTTAAAACCTGAAAAATATGAAAATAAAATAATTGCAATAAATTCTATACATACAAAAGTTTTTGTTAGATTAGACCAAAAATGTGTTTATACCCCAGTGTATTGTTGTATGACCTCCTCTGGGTCGGGTCCCATGAAGATATAAAAGTCCAATATACCACCAATAGTTCTAAAAGTCAAACTGGGAAGGATGGTGAAAGAATATTCTGAAAAACAATAACACAGAAAGCTTTAATGATTATAAAATACATTTCTTTTCTTTATTAATTTACACTGAAATAAAAAGAAACAAAATTCTAGCATTATTGCTACAAGAAAAACTTTTGTCAAAAGTATTGTTGAGATTTGGTGTAAATTATTTAATTGGTCCAAGACATAAACAAAACTCCAACAACAATGATTTGCTTATAACTAAAGTTACCTTGAGCATTACTGTTCAACATCAAAACTCCATGTGTGTTTCCCTCTGAGTCCTCAACACAGGTATAAAATGGGTGAACACCATACAGATTTGCCATAGCCTGGATCAAATACATTAATAATAACTTTTTTTTACCAACACAGGTATAAAATGGGTGAACACCATACAGATTTGCCATAGCCTGGATCAAATACATTAATAATAACTTGTTTTTTTTTTTTACCAACACAGATATAAAATGGGTGAACACTATACAGAATGGCCATAGCCTGGATCAAATACATTAATAATAACTTTTTTTTACCAACACAGGTATAAAATGGGTGAACACCATACAGATTTGCCATAGCCTGGATCAAATACATTAATAATTTGGAATTTTGAGACATTCCTCCACTCATTGTGTATATATAAATCTATTTCTGCTTTAAAACTTAAAAACTGCTAGAAACTGTACATATATGATAATGAAAGTAAACAAAATGTCTGCCAGCTTACATCCCATGAAGGGGGCTGGTCACGAGCGAATGATGTCCATGTTCTAGTCATGTCGTGTTTGAAACTCTCATGCACATGTTCACCAAGACCATAGACATTTGTGCTGGGAAGTCGTGTTGTAATTTGTAGGAACTGGTCCGACAAAACTAAACTCCCTGCTCCAACACCGATATCAAAGCTGAAATTTGTTTTTAAAAATAAGCAAATATAAAATTTAATATACAATATTAAATGTTTTAAATAAAATTATGTAAAAACATAATGTAAAAATAAGCTTTTCTGCAAGTTTTTTATCATCAATTTAAATTCCTATAAAATTATATTTTTTTCATCTACTTTGAGTGTTATATTAATTCAGATTTTATTTATATATGAGTACATTTAAGATATGATATTACACTAACAGTATATGCAAGTCATTTGAGAAAATGGTAAATTCTACATGATAAAATAAAAAAACGATTGCTTTTAATACTATATCAAATTTTTTTACATGACTTTCTGGGTGCTGTTTCTGATGATTTGGAAAGCAAAATTATCATAGTTTGTTATATTGATCAGATATTTTGGAGATGATCCTTTTGAATTCTCCAGGTTCATAGCTTTAGGCACCTTGTATCTACCTGATGCTTGAGTATCAATCTGCAAGTCAAAATTTAAAAAAATTTAAACAATTTGAAATTTATAAACAGCTGCTAATTTCTAATTAAAATTTTTTAAATTAATTTACTTAATATATTTTCACTTAATATAAGATGTAAAAATAAAATAAGTATATTTTAAAATAAGCGGTTCAAAAATAAGTTATTTACAGTAAATCTTGCAACATTGTCTCCCCTATTTTCAAAAGTAAAGATCCAGTCCCTAATGTCACCACCAAACGGTGCATTGCCAATCTGCTGAAGTTTTCCCTGAAATCCCAGGCTGGTTTCAGTATAATCTTTGAACTGCAGCCTATAATTGCTGGCATTATATCTGCAGGACGCTGGGTTAGAGGAATATGTGCAGCCTCTATTTTTACATTCAGTTTCGTTGATGTCCTGTGATTTTCCTGCCAAAATACTTTCTTTAGTTAAATTTATGCATTCATGTTTTGGTAGTCATAAATTTAACTCTGCTTCATCTGCATTATTGACTATTCTGTCTGAAGAGACTATGGATTTACCTTCATATTTTAATTTAAAAATTAACAGTTCTAATAAAATTTCAACAATCAAGCTAAATGTTTTTACCTGATTTCAAGTGATGTTGACTTAATACATAAAACGAAACAATAATTTAGAACATTTCTAATTAGGCAAAATAAATGTTTCCATTAAAGATATCACTATTCCAGTATTTTAGTTGTGAAATAAATTGTAGTAGTTATACATTTATTCAAGATATAAAAGTTACAATCAGCCAAGAGTAGATAAATATTTAGAGCAGAATGCCAGAAGATGGACAAACCTTCAGCTTCAGGAAAACAATCCAGGCCCAAGTTCCATGTCAGTGAGAAATCTTTACGCATTGGAATATCAGGAAGATCAACCTCCAAAACCTTAATAACGATAAAGAAACAGTAGATATTTCAAGTCACTACTTAAAAAAACATGTATAAATAAGTGGGAAATAGTAAGTTAAAAAACTATTAAATACTGAATTAGATTTTTCAATTAGGATTACCTGCTCTGTGTGGTTAAAGGACAATATGTTTCCTTCATATGTCACATGGTTCACAGGAAAGCCTACACCCATTATTACAGCTTTTCTAAATTTCAGTTTATCCCATTCGTTTTCAGACCGTGTCTTTTCCGATACAGAGAGTGATAGGATTTCCTAAAACAAATAAAATCATTAGACTGACTTTAATATCATTAAAGAATACTTTTTTTCAGTTAATAACAATTTTCTGTAAGTTTTTAAAAATGAGCATCCACAGATATTATCAAAGGAGATTGTTTTTATCAATTAATACTCACATTTTCGACTTTGATATCAGCCAAATAAAAGTTATCCTTTATATCTATCATAAAAAATGAAAATAAAAGTTTGATGAAAACATATAATTGAAAATATTTTGATTCAGGATCCCCCTTTTCAAACATAAAATCATTTATAATATAGTTTTCAAAGCATAATTTCAAATATAATGATAAATATTGCTCTAATAAAACAAATTCCAAATTGTGTTTAGCTACAAATTAATTTAACAACTTAAAAATTATACTTGTCTAATGCCCAAAACTAAGCAAAAATAAAACTGGTGAATAACTGCAGGTGTAATTAATAATAATATATTACACTATATTTTCGAAAGATAAACAATTCATAGGTTTGATATTCCAAATAATATATCTAAAAAATTATTAGAAAGTGAAATTACAACAAAAGATAGCTCTATTTAGTAACAGTAAATAAAAACATGCTTAATACCAACCTTTTGAAGAGCCATCATCCCAATAGAAATGTCCAGCTGCTTTTCCTTGTTCATCTAATGCAACCACAATTGTTAATGGTTTTTGGCGACTGGATAAACAAGGGGAAATAATCCAATTATAATTAAGTCCCTTGAATTTAACAAGTTATTTTAAAACAATGAAAGCTAAAAATTCTGCACGCTATCTGATATACAAGAAACTGCTATTAATTTAAAATCTAATTAAGTCTAATACAACACACCATATAAATTACAACATTTACTTAGCTACATACCTGTAATGTGTATTATTAGCATAGTCTTGTTGGACAATAATACATCCTCCCCTAAGATGTAGCAATGGCTTAGAAAACTTGTCAACTGCTACAGATCTCATTGCACCTTGGGGAAGATCCTCTCCAACATGCTAGCAACATATCAACTTTGTTAACAACATATCAACTTTGTTAACAACATATCAACTTTGTTAACAATATATCAACTTTGTTAACAATATATCAACTTTGTTAACAATATATCAACCTTGTTGACAAAAGATCAACTTTGTTAACAATATATCATTTTTGTTAACAATATATCAACTTTGTAAGCCACTAAACCATTTAGCTAAAAACTTATGATAATACACATATATTTTTGTACACACATGCATGCATGCACCCATTCAGATATATATATATATATATATATATATATATATATATATATATATATATATATATATATATATATATATATATATATATATATATATACATAAACTATACAGTTAATTTTAAAAATAAAAACAAAAACCATGTAACCCAAATTTTAGTGAACATAAATTTTGTTTACCGTAAAATAATTATACCATCTTCCTTTGGGTAAATAATAATTCAACACAGTCTGTTTCTGAAGGAATAAACAGAAAATTATTTTCATGACTAAGTTTTATATACAGACAAATAAAAACAATGACAAATTATTTTTAGGTGAAGATGTTGTCAAAGAAAAAGTAAAAATTCCTCTTTAGAGTTGTTAGATACGGTAACAGCTATTTATAAGTTATGATACATAAACTGACATGATGCTAAGTTCTGTTAAGAAATGACTGCATTAGACAATACCTCTTCAAGAATGGGGGATATGAGCAGACAAGCTCCCCAAAGGAACTGCTTGTCTGTTGATAATGCTATTGGATCTGTTGGAAATCTGAAAATGAAGTTGTGTCTTGTAAAAAGTATCTTATAGATTAAAACTGTATTAATAATAATGCATTTTGTAATTTTAATAAATTATTTTGAGAAGCCTAAATAATACCAAAATTACAAATTTTGAGCATTATTTTTACTGCACCCATTAAAATTATTATTTTTACACTTTTAAGCAAACAGTTATGCACCTGAATAATAGTTGACCCTTTCAATTTCAAAAAATTAAATAATCAAATGAAAAACTGAATTAACCTACTCATGGTGTAGTGGACGGATGACTGTGGAGCCTTTTATGTGGGCCTCATAGAACAAGGTGTACAGATACGGCAGTAGTTGATACCTGACTCGCATAATGTCTCTAGAAATATAACCAACATAGTCTCCCAACTGGCCAGGGCCTTGTGGCTGGAGAGTTTTTTATCACATTATTGTTAGATCATTTGCAAACGTTGAGAACTTAAGACAAATCACATTCCAATTAAAAAAATATATAATGGAACTCAAATGATCTATTGTAAAGTGAAAGAAAAAAAGAATCTTAATGTAATAATAAGGAATTGGAAGATATTGACACATTATGATTAGAACATGATTTTTGAGGAAGTAGATTTAAAACCAACTTTTGGCCCCTTTGTGTTATGGTTCCTGCTAAATGTGTAGAATGCTCCAAGTTGCATCCATCTTGCACATAACTCTTCAGTTGTTTCCTCAAAAAATCCACAAATGTCAGCACCAATCTAAAAAAAGGTTTTGATATCAAAATCTATAATGATTCATAAATTAATGCCAGACCACAAACAATATTTTCTAGTTAAAAAAAAAAATCACTCTAATACTTACATAAGGAATGCCAAAGAGATTGAATTCCAGTAACCCTAAGACAGTAAAAATTAGGATGAATTAAATTTATTTTAGAACATTTGGGAAACATCCACAGCAGTTAAAAAAAATAATTGAATATGAAACCTAGCATTTTATTTACATTTTAAGAAAAATATTTTAGAAAATCGGATTCTAACCAATGATTGAGCTGTACAGGTCCTTCCATCTACTGGTATTATCCCCAAGCCAATGACCTACCCATTGACCTGACCCTGGGAAGGTGGACCTACTGATGACTATGCCTCTTTCTCCTGTTGCTTCTCTTACGGCCCTGTTTGAAATCAGGAAATCAATTTTTTACTTTAAAAAAAATATAAAAAAGTAATAACGATTTTGTCAATAGAACATTAGATTTTAAAAAGTGCTATGTGAAACACATTAGACAATGTTTACTTACTCAAGGGTGACATCAGACTGGCTCCACCCATACAAGCTGTGAACATCATAGTGTGAGTACTCATCGTTGTTTCCCTGGACTGTACTCATGCAAATTGTTTTATCTGACAGACGACCTTTCTTTGGTCCACTGTCCCACATGTAAGCAGCTTCTGTTAATTTAAACATTAATTTGCAAGTTACTTTTTATATTTTAAGCATTTTTTTCCATTACAAAAAAACTTTTGTTTTGATAATTTTTTTCCATACATGATGATAAGAGTTTTAACAGTTGTTTATTTTAACCATTGATATAAAGAATTTTATACAAAGTTGAAAAAAGTTAATCAATTATTCATAAGCCTGCAGAAGTTCTTTAAAAAAAAATACAAGGATTTTTTCTTGCTAAGTAAATAATCACTTCTAGCTAATTAATAAAAATATAATGTCACATAGGTTAACAATGACATATTTGAGTTGTGAGCAAACGTTTTAAGCCACTCTACTTCCACTAGGCTACATTTATGAAGCAGAAAAGTATCTGCTGGCAACATCTTAGCTACATGCTTAACTTATAATACGAATTCAAAAAAGTAAACACACTGTCCTTGGAAGATATTGCTTGCTACTCACTGGTTCTGTATGGAGGATCTTCTAAAGTGTTGCTTGGACACTTAAGACTCCAATAGGGCTTGACATCTTCTGGCCAGTTAAAAGGTCTCTCTTCATTTGTGCCAAAACTAGCCGGCTCATTCATGTCCTAATGTGATACAATAATTTATTGAAGCATCAATACTGTTGTATGACAAAAAAAAATGAAATTTGTATATGTAATAAGAAGTAATAAATGTTGTACGATAAATAGTATGCAGTATTAAATTAATGAAGTTTGTTTTTAGGAATATTAATGCTTACAATCCACAGTCCATCAAATGTCAAGTTAGTTTTGTAATCTATGATAAGCTTTTTCCAAACTTCCTTAGTTTTTGTTTTCAAGAAATCAGGAAAAACTGTTTTTCCAACAGGCCAAACCTAGTTTATAAATAAACAACAGTTCTGTTAGACTAGACCTTGTTTATAAATATAGAACAATTATGTTAAATCAATTAAAGTGATAGATGTCTACATGAAATTCACTTGTGTGTAAGACACTCGCTATACTCATGTAACTTAGAGTAAGGTATATAATTACTTCCCTTACATCTATTTCAAAAAGCATAATAAATTAAATACACATCATACATAACCCAGCAATGCACCATCTGTATCTGCAGCATCACTTGGATGAGTGAATTTGGGATCCCACTTAATGTTGCAGTTGTTTTTCTTCATCTCTTCATAAGGATGGTAGTTTGTCTCATTTGAGATCATGCATGGGTCCTTGAATGTGAGAAGAAATATATGATTGCTTTGAAAAAAAAATAATAATTAAAATATTTGTAAAATTTTTCTAATTTTTTAAATGGCCTGCAGTTACCTGCATACTAAAGTTTGTGAAAATCTTAGCCAATCAGGTTATACTTAAAAGTACAGAATATTGCTAAAAATAACTATTTCAGTCAGGAATTTTAAACTAAACTCACTAAAGATAACTCACCAATATGTAGATAATTCTCATCCCACCAGCTTGAAGAGTTTTAAAATACTCATTTAGGTTTGGAAAGTTTTTATGATCTACAGTAAAAATTTTCTGTGTGTCCATGTGGTCAATATCTACATACTGGACGTCCTGTTTAGGCCATTATGTAAAAATATTAAAACTCATTACAATGAAACATGCATAAAAAAATCAAAAGCCAATTTTATGATACATTAAAACAATAATTATTACATTAAAACAAAAATTACTTTTTATTTGAAATCAATTATAAATTATTTACCATTATTTAAAATTTTACAGATTCATTCTGATCAGTAGTCTAATTAAAAGAAATATATTGGACAAGAACTAGCTCTCCTAAGTGACTTACACTGGGATATTGCTTCCCCAGATCTAGCTAACTATAATTTGAAAAAATGTTCATAACAATGTTTTCAAGTTTTTTCTTAATATTTTTTCATGAGTAACTTGATGAAATAAAAATTTTGTGCTATAATGGTGAGAGATAAGGACATAATTATTTCACCATGATGCCTTGGTGGATTTAGAACATAACATTTAAATAAATCTTCCAATAAAAATTGGAGTTAAATCAATCTGGTTCAAGGGAAGAGACGCAGTAATTCAGTAGAGCGAGGCAGTAGTTTAGTAAAGTGATGCTGTAATTTGGTCGAGTGATGCAGTAATTTGGTAGTGATGCAGTAATTTGGTAGAGTGATGCAGTAATTTAGTAGAGTGATGCAGTAATTTGGAAGAGCATATCATTACACTAATATCTCACATGTGGAATCTCATATCTGGCAGTGGAGTCTACAGCTTCCTGTAGGTTGGTGATGTTGTGGTAGTCATATCTACACAGTTGGAAACCCAGGGACCAATATGGTGGCATCATAGGGCGTCCAACAGTCTGAAGATGAGTTTAACATTACACCTGATTTGTTTGCATTTTTATAAAAAAGTTAAAAAACAATAACAAACACTAGTACAATTAAAAAAGTAAAAAGTGTTGCTCATATTAATTAGGTGTATAGGCTTTATTAGAATAATGATGGTCTACATATAACACCAGGCATGGTAATTAAGCCTTGAGCACATAACATGAAATATCAATAGTTTGCATGACATTACTATGGACTAGAACTAATGGGATATTTTACATTATAGTCTTTCAGTTGCACTAGGATTACTGTAAAATATTATTATTTTGCATATACAAAGCCATTGAAGCTTACCCCTGTATATTGCTGTATAACCGCTTCAGGACTAGGGCCCATGTACACATAGAAGTCAAGGATACCTCCAATAGTTCTAAATGTCAAACTAGGAAGTTCAGTAAAGGCATATTCTGAAAAAAAAAGCATTTTCCTTGGTGCTTAAAAAAAACAACAGCAGCATAATACAGTACCTATTTAAAGTATTTAATAAAACAATTTATATAGAGTAGACTAACCTTCACATATTTACGTTACACATCACATTAAGAGTAGGCTGCCATACACATATTTACGTTATACCAAACATCCAATAAGGTAGGCTACCCTCCACAGAATGACATCACAGGCTCGCCTAGACAGATGACCTTACCAGGTAAGGCTTACCTTGAGCATTGCTGTTGAGCATGAGAACTCCATGTGTGTGTCCTGCCGCGTCTTCCACACAAGTATAGAAGGGCTGAACACCATACAAATTGGCCATAACCTGATTGGATTTACAGAACCAAAAAAAAGACAGTTTCAAAACCCATATCATCTAGATCTAGATTTACTGCTTTTCTTCACCCTTGTTTTCTATTATTCTAAACTGCCGAAACTACATTAAAATATTCGTTCCCCTTTTTTTTCTCCCTTAATATAATTTGTTTTAAGAGTTGCATTTCACCATTTAAAAAATTAGAGTCGCTTATGACCCCCAGACGTGAAGATTGCGGGCTCTAGGCTTAATTCCTGTACTTACATCAACAGACGGCCCCTGGTCACGTGAGAAGGATGTCCAGGTTTTATTCATGTTGTGCTTGAAGTGCTGGTGTACATGCTCCCCCAGGCCGTACACGTTGGTGCTGGGCAGTTTGGTCGTGATTTGAAGGAACTGGTCGGACAGTACTAGGGACCCTGGGCCCACATCAATGTCAAAACTACGAGTAGGGGGGGGGGGGGGAGGGGCAGAAAGTATACAAGTTATCGAAACTAGACAGTTTGGTTGTGATTTGTAATAACTACTTGGACAGTACTAGGGATCCTGGGCCCAAAATGTCAAAACAACTAGAAGGGAGGGGGGGGGGGGGGGGAATAAAGTATATTTGTTATTTTGAGAACTCAAATGTTAGGTGCGATGATAAAGACGACGATTTCTGTTTACATTAAAATTTCTGCTGGGGTTACGTTTTCATTATTATTGGTGAATTTGTTAAAATAAAGGGAGGGAATTTAAAAACATATTTTCTTCTTTTGTTGATGTCTCCCCTTTTTAATCAAAATAAATGAAACCTAAAGCATACATACTTGCAGTGGCGTAGCGAGGTCGGGTGTCACCCGGTGCGGCACTTAATGGTGTCACCCCCCAGAGGCGTAGCGACCCTTCCCGGGGACAAACTTTCAAATTTTCGATTTGCACCCCCCTCAAACTTTCGATTTTCACCCCCCCTCAAACTTTTGATTTGCACCCCACTCAAGTTTTGCTATTTTTTGCCTTGGTGTCACCCCCCTAAATGGTCTCACCCGGTGCGGTCCACACCCTCCACCCCCCCCCCCCCTCGCTACGCCTCTGCATACTTGTATAACGGTAGGCCTATATATAACAGTAAAAGATTTTGGCTACCAATACCAACACTAAAGAAAGAATCTATTTTCTAGTGTTCTTTATTATAGTTTTATTATAATAAAGTTTTTTTTTTTTAATTATGTTTTTTTTTTATAGATTTTGTAGACATTAGGTGCATGACGCCATTTATTAAAGAATTCTTCACTGTAAAACACACGTTTGTCATTGCTTTGTTTCCCTAATGACTTAACTGTAATCTAGAAAGTCAAAACCCTAACCATGTGTTGTTGTACTCCTTATCTATAACCAACAGCCACCGTTACCAGCAAGAATGATTTCCATCGATAAGGAAAGTTTCAAGTTTTATCGTCAGGCTTATACTAGCGAGTAGCTATCACATGAAAAGAACCGTATCAGGCTATATAAGACCAGCTGCTATAGCTTTTTATTTATGGTTGTCCCCCCCCCCCCTCCCATCACCACCACACCCCCAAGATTACACTTTCATGTTTCTCGATTGAATTTTTGTCTCGTGGATTATTTTAGTTATCCCATTACACTGCATTTTGCCAGGGACTAAAGGGTGGCACAAGTTTAGAATCCCTGCTCTGTTAGCATATGATTTACCCAACTCAAACTTAACCATAAGCCTAAGCTGTAAATCCCTCGGAGTCTGGCACAGATAAGACACACTCGTACTGTCATATCTAACACCACTGCGGTATATAACACCACTGTGATATATAACACTTGATCCATATATTTAACTTTTGATGTTTTTCCAACACTATTTATATCTACCCATTGTGTGCCATACAAGTTGGTTAGTCCTTACAGCATTATATTCACACCGGATAGAGTTGGTTCAAGAAGTTGCCAACAAATGACACACGAGAAAAGGGGAAAAATGTTGTTCAGTACATTCTCTCTGTGGCGAAGGCAGTATTTTATTATTTTATTTAGGGGGTGGGCGGTGGTGGGTTCGAATTAAAAACCCTTGTCTTATACATAAGCGTACGTGTACACGCATATATGTGTACATTTAAATATATATTTTTGGGTGTGTTAGGACAGGGTGTCCGATGATTTATGTTCAATAACAACTAGATAAGAACGTACACTAGTGGTTTATGATGTTTACAAGTTTTAATTTGAAAGTGACACGGGCGCACCGTTGCCTATAGCTGTAGCATGCAACAGCTGTCTTTCTGGGAGTTCAGTGGGTTCGAACCCTCCCTAATAGCCACTGTACAAAGACGCTTTTGTCAAATGTGCTTTGATCCTTACCAGAGGCGTAGCGAGGGGGGGGGGGGGGGGGGGCGGGGGTGCGGACCGCACCGGGTGACACCATTTAGGGGGATGACAACAAGGCAAAAAATAGCAAAATATATAGAGAAAAACTTGAGGGGGGGGGGGGTTGCAAATCGAAAGTTTGAGAAGGGGGGGGGGGGTGCAAATCAAAAGCTAGAGGTGGGGGGGGGGGGGGTTCCAAATAAAAAATTTGAAAGTTTGTCCCCGGGAAGGGTCGCTACGCCTCTGGGGGGGGGTGACACCATTAAGTGCCGCACCGGGTGACACCCGACCTCGCTACGCCACAGAAAGAGTGCAGAGAGACTAGTCATATAACTTCATACAAACCAAACATTCATGGGCTAACATAAAACCAAACCACAATACACAATGACTGACCATACAATCATGGGCTAACATAGAACCAAACCACAACCCACTACGCCTGACCAATCATCAGCCAACATAGAACCAAACAACAGCAACACCAGCTGACACCAACATGACTCACATGACAGTGTTTGTCCTTTTGCGGATGATCTGAAAGGCGAATGTTTTGTTGTTGGTGATTTTAAAATCGTATTGCGGTGACGCCCCTTTGTTTTCAGGCAGCGTCAAGTGGATGGGAACCTTGTACCTCTTCCCGTCAGCTGTATCGATCTGTTGGTAAACAATAGATATATTTTTACATCCATTTCACAAAAATATAGTTTGAGGGATGAGGTGGGGGTGAGGTGGAAGGTGGGGGGTTGTACTTTAAACTTAGGTTACATCAAAATTTAGGAAAATTTGCTAATTCATGGACTTTTCAGCATTGTCCTTGTAACAGTTCATAGTTATGTCGTTTTTTTTTTTTTTTACTTTGGCGGATGAAGACATTGTTTCAGCACTATTTTCCGCTGACTACTTTCCCCGACTAGGCTCAGCCAAACAACAATGGGTGACCCTCACAGTCACAGGGCCTCCAGCGCAGGAATTGAACTCGGGACTTTGGGGCTAAAAACTGTGTACTCTCTCGACTCAACCACTCCTAGGCGTACCAGAGGCGTAGCGACCCTTCCCGGAGCCCGGGGACAAACTTTCAATTTGCACCGCCCCTCAAGATTTCGATTTGCACCCTCCCCCTCAAACTTTCGATTTGCACCCCCCTCAAACTTTTGATTTGCACCCCCCCCCTCAAGCTTTCAATTTATTTTTCCAACCCATTTTGGCGCCCCCTAAGGTCGGCGCCCGGGGACATATGTCCCCCGTCCCCCCACCCTTCGCTACGCCTCTGAGGCATACCTTAAATCTCGCGATGTCGTTCCCGCGATTTTCAAACGTGAAGATCCACTCTCGAATATCTCCACCAAACGGCGCATTTCTGCTCTGTTTGATGGTAGCCTGGACCCCAAGAGTCGTCTGCGTGAGGCTGGCAAGTTCCAGACTGTACTGGTTCTCCCCATAGTTGCAGGACACGGGGTCTGTGTAGTACGTACAGCCTCGCTTTTCGCACTCTTCCTTTGTGATTAGTGCAGGGTTGCCTAAAGGGAGTCAGATAACAGTTCATGTTAATACAGGCTATGATTTGTAGCAGAGGCAGGTTTCCTTGGGATTTTCAGATAGAAAGTATGATAAATCGTGGCCTAGCGGTAGAGAGCTAGACTGGTAATCTCAAGTTCGAATACGGTCTCAAACCGGTAGAATGTACCTGAGTCCACCCAGCTCTGATGGGTACCTAATTCACCTTAGGTGAAGAAAAAAAGACGGCTGGGCATTGTGCTGACGAAGCTACCCCTTCATATGCCGAGGTCTCTGAAGCAGATGAACTCTACTTCATCTGCCCCATGTGTCTTGAGCACGAAAGCAAAATATTTATTTATTGTTGAGTATGTTAAATACATGATATTGTATTTTCCCGAGCAGGTTTTCCTAGTGAGATTCAGATAACAAATGAGTGAGATACCGGCTATTTTATCTGTATGTTTCATAGCCAGTTGTCTATCGAAATTCAGATAATAAGTATGTTATCTACAGGATATTATGTACATATATTAAAGTAAATCGTATACATTAACAAGAACCCCGATCTCCTCAGCATAGCGATGCCCCCCCCCCCCCCTGAGAAAAAAGCCTGGAGGAAGCACTGCTTTCACAACTAACAATTCATAGGGCATATGAATGTTTCTTGACCTCGGCATATGAAGGAATGGTGTGTTCAGTAGAAGGCCCAGCCGCCTTTACTTTTCCTAAGTCGGGTAGGCCTATTCATCAGAGCTGAGTGGAGTCAGGGACATCCCAGGGGCGTAGCGATGGGAGGGGGGGGGGGCAGGGGGGACATATACCCCGGGCGCCGACCTTAGTGGTGCCAAAATGGGTTGGTAAAAATAATCGTAAGTTTGAGGGGGGGGGGGTGCAAATCGAAAGTTTGTCCCCGGGCGCCGGGAAGGGTCGCTACGCCTCTGGGACATACTTCAGTCACAAGTCCGAACAGAGATCCGAACTCGAGACCTTCGGGTTAGCGGCCAACCGCTCTACCACTCGACCATGTCGCGCCTTGACTGGGTCGTAAAGTGGCTCTATACAGAACTGGGCCCACATCCACATCAATACCTTCGTGTTTTTATAATTCAAACTGTCCAAATGTTATCGTATTATCCACCCCTATATTTAAAAAATACGTTTAAATTTGTTCTTACACTACGCCCTTGTTTGCTGAGGTCAGCTATGATGTCATAAGATTAAATTAGTACACGAAAAATATCGCTATCCTTTGACCGACTTTATCCATCAGCTTTAATTAAAATACCCAGATAAAAATAGGCACCCCAACCCTTTTCTGAACTCGGTTATAAATCAAACGAGGAAAAAAAACATTGTGGTCCATACACGTCTTTCTTTACAACATAATTTTAAGAATTGTTTTTACCGAATTTTATGAAAGCCCAATATTGAGAGTAACTGGTCTAACTGGGACGGTCTAGAGCAGGGGTCGGTAACCTACGGCTCGCGAGCCGCATGCGGCTCTTTTGGTGTCCAGATGCGGCTCTCCAGCTCCTTGCACAAATATTAATAGTTATATAATTTCATTTTTACTGGAAGGTGGGGTACGAGTTTACCCTGCGTTTAGTGGGGTAAAAGATAAGCCTGGTGAGAACCAACGATATCCAAGCCAGTTAGTAGGAGTTTGCCGTGTTGATGCCTGCCTAACTAATGGGAGACACCTCCTGAGCCGGTGATGTCAGTAAAGAAAAAAATATTTGATTACTACTTTTGTTATTTTGGCGAAACACGTTTTATATGAATAAATACTATTTCACATTTAAAGCTATTTATTTTAAATAACAAATCAAATTTATTTATCTAATCCTAATCAAATACCAAATATTGAAATAAAAAAGTTAGTGGCTCTTTAAAAACTGGGACATTTTGTAAATTGTAAATTTTGGCTTCCGTCTCAAAAGATTGCCGACCCCGGGTCTAGAGTATTCCATGAAAAAAAAAATAAATAAACAAAAGCAAAATACTCACCCTCAGCCTCGGGAAAACAGTCCCCACCCTGGGGCTGGTTCTTTGGTGGCTCTGACTTGCTGTCATCGTCAGAAGAGCGGAGCGAGAGCGGCACAGCGATGGCGATGATGAGGGCAACGACGACGAAAACAGAGATGATGATAGCGAGCCTCTTCTTGTTGAGATAGTTGGGCATGGCAGGTTTCGAACCCTGACACTCGGGTGTGATCTGGGCTGAGAGTAGGTTGTAGGTCTATGTGGCTTCTGTTTCCTTTATTGTTATTGAATTAACGCTCCGAACATTCTAGACAGAAACAAATATTGTACAGTTTTGATAATATTAAAATAGCGACTTTGTAATTGTAGTCTTCAGTACTAGATCTAGTATTTCTTGAAATATCAATCAAACAGAATTTTCAAAAAACCCATACATGATTTTTTGTGTAAATCTAGCTAATAGTTTTATATTTATTCTAGGACTGACAGTTAATTCTATAAGCCATAAAATATAAATAGTAGACAAAAATAATATTTACGTATAATAAAATAATAATAGCGAACTCCAATATTATTTCTTACGAGCCGGCCCGCGGCATAACATACGCCGCTATTTAGTTGTTTCTAATTTTCAATAATTCATAATTTGTGAATTCGACAGTACCAACGCTGACACTGAAAATATTTCTTTAAAACACTATAAGTAGCTCGTTAAGGACCATAACCCCCCCCCCCCCCCTTCCTTCCCTCCCCCCTCCTCCCCCCCCCCCCCTACGTTTAAAATCGTTGGCTCTGCTTGTAAACATTTAGAGTGAACACAGCTCACTAAAACCATGTAGGGGTGGGGAGGTAGGGAGAGCGTTTGCAGCTTGTTTTCTAACGGCTCGAAGAAGAGAATTATATATATAGATATTATCAATACCTATATAATATATTGAATTATTTTGGGAAGATGGTTTTAACTTATCTCCCCTGATAAATTTGAAGGTACAGATGGAAAGTATCTAACATTTAAAAATAAAAATTCAGTAACTTTTTATTTTTTTTACTAGATTATATCTCTCACGAATGAAGCTAACTAGTCATAGTTCTTAATTAAATTTACAGAAAATATATCTGCAATTATGTTTATATTTAGGCCTTCTTCATAGTTATAACACCACTAAACCCATCTATAATGTGGCATAAATAAATTATTAGCCAAAAAAAAAAAGACTTAGTATTGTTACATAAGTTAATGAAGACTACGCGGGTCCTTACAAATGACCCCAAAATGAATGCATAGCCATCAAGTTGAGTCCTTCTTGTCGAAGGTGATACTTTTTGTTGTCTTTTATACCCTTGTCAGTTTAGCTTGACAGATAATTGATGTTGATAGTGATACCAGTAAAACATTACCCGGAACTGAGATTAGAAAAGCAGAATATTCACGTGAGATCTAAATATAGATAAACTGACTTTATAGCCGGGGCCCCTGACTGCTGCCTTATTGGCCCCCACCTTAATCCGCCGCTGCCCGTGAGACCTTAACATGGGTAAACTGGCTTACCTAAGCTTTACATTTATAGACCATTCTAACTTTTAATAGAGCTCTCGTCCTAGTTTCAATACCACAAAATGTGCTGTCATGTCGTGTTATCTGTTTATTTTATACCAGATATTTACGACGTCAAATAACGACACAAAAAATGTGACTACCTTTTTAAAACAAACTTTCCGCGCCTCTCTTACCCTACCGTCTCAAAGGTTACCTCCGAAAGCGTATCATTTGCTTTCCAAATTCGGACCTAGTGTATAAACTAGGTATAGTGACAGAAAAGAAGTGAATTGTTTAAAAAGCCAACTTTTATAATGGGACTGAACGGATAAGCAAATGATATTTACAGGGGCGTGTGCAGGTTTTCGGTGTAGGGGGAGTGAAAAGAATAAACAAGTTAATAAAAAGTCTAGTGACAATTTAAGCGCAAAATTTCCTTAATTAATTTTTTATGACCGAACGAAAAGATATTTTTGAAAACTTTCTTCGGCAATATTGTTCTAAATTATGACAGGAATCGATTGGTAAATGTTTCAAGTCGCTAAGTGGTCTGGTTGCCGAGATATGGGCCAAAAACTGCATTTGTTCGAGTTTTTTTGGCTTTTCCGGGAAATCCAGGAAGGATTGGCCCACAATCTTCCTCGGAACTTGCTTAACATATTTGCTTTTGGAACTAGTCCTCGATATTGCTTCGTTGAGGAGGAGATACGACTTAAAGCTGCGGACACACATCCATCCATCCATCCAGAAATAACGAATTAATAATCGCAATTGTCAGTATGGAAATTGCGCTAAAAAAGGGCTCCGAATTTATTTTATATATATTACACACACACTCATATATATAGAAAATATATACTTTTAACAGTGTCCGCCCCCCCCCCCCCCGAAGAAAGTCTACCGCCTCCCCGAAAATTTCAAATGCTCCCCGGAGAAAAAAGTCTGGAAGAAACACTGACACGTACACACACACACACACACACACACACACACACACACACACACACACACACACACACACACACACACACACACACACACACACACACACACACACACACACACACACACACACACACACACACACACACACACACACACACACACGCACACACACGCACGCACATGTACGCAGAAATACGATCTTGATGTTATAGTCCTAGTATAATGTCTTAGACTAATTTGGTTTCTTTTAGTTTCCTTCTAAATATTGTACAGCAACCTCAGAAGTTATATAACTTTTACAACAATACATGTAATAGGACCTAGGCAAACCGTTTTTTTCTTTGTTTACGTCGAAAAAAAAGTAAAAATATTCAAATAGACTCTAAACAACGAATGTAGGCTGCATCATTTGTGTGTAACAAATGCATCTGTTACAACTTCGAAAACCTGGCAGACCAGACCTTGACCTTGTTAGAAAAATGCAAACGGGACACAACTCCTGGCTAGATTGGCGGGTTATCCCCCTTGAACCTGGCGGTAATTAGGTCACCATGAAAAAAAAAATGTACCTTTTATAAAATGGCACGGGTTTACAGGTCATAACACTTGCGCAGATGTAGACGTGAAGAAAATATGCTGCTAATTCAATTAACCCTTTAAGGTTGTCAATATTTTACGCAGTTCCAGTTTTTCTTTTACCGGAAGTATTACTGTGTGCGTAGCGGATCTGGAACTTTTAGGCTTTGACAATTTGACAGGTAAAATAAGGACCGGAGCTGTAGGGGGTGTTGTGGAGGGGAGGGGTGTAACGATCTCCTCGCTTCGTCTTATATCTTGTTTACAAGGTACGGGAGACTAAGTTCACCGAGAAACATTTCAATCCATGTGGAGTCTCTGGGTATGGGGAAACTAAGACAAGCACTCTACCTATGGACGCCGCTGACAAGAATTAGTGGAGTCAGAAATTATGGGAAAACCAGCTGGGGTGGCTAAGCCTATCACCCTACCTACGGACGCCGCTGACAAGAATTAGTGGAGTCAGTAATTATGGGAAATCAATCTGGGGTGGCTAAGCCTATCACCCTACATATGGACGCCGCTGAGAAGGCTTGAGCCAAACACTAAGACTCTACTCACTGACGCCACTGACTCAAGTTACACACAGGATATCCGTTTGTATATCAGCGACTTGTCAATACATCCGTGACTCCGTTGTATATAAGTGATGTCAATATATCAGTGAATCCTCATTCTTAGCTAGTTGCTTTCAAAACAGAAATATCAAAATAACAAAAATATCGCCATTGTTATTTACGCTGTGAATCAGGTTTCGAAAAGCTATTCAACTCTTTTTTTTACTGCAAGTACATAGCACAGTGAATCACAACTACACAAAAGTGCAATCATTCTACACTCTATGGTTTCACATTCGATGGTGTACTATACGGGATTATTTCCCTTCAAAATAATTAGGGTTTTGAGTACTGTAAAGCCATAATTGAATATATCTTCATCTATGAAAGGAAGTTAATATTATATTTTGTTTTGTTGTATTTTCAGTGGCGTCATAAGGTGTGGTCGGGCTGATACTATTTAGGGGCGGCACCATAAAGGAAAAATCGTAAAATTTACTTTCAAAACAATGTTTTATCCTGTTAAGATGACAAAAAAAGTAGAGTAGAGGGGTGACACCAAATCGAAAATGCGAAACTGTAGGAGGAGGTGGGTTGACATCCTTAGCAGAGTTTCTTCCAGGCATCTCTTCGGGGGGGGGGGGCGGAGCTCCCCCCCCCCCCCCCCCCCCCCCGAACAAAATTTATATAATTTATATAGAAAATATAAATGTATACTTTTAACAGTGTCCGCCCCCTCCCCCCAAAGAAAGTCTACCGCCCCCCCCCCCCGAAAATTTCAAGTGCCCCCCCCCCCCCGGAGCAAAAAGTCTGGAAGAAACACTGATCCTTAGCGACCACACCTTGCAACACCCGACAAAGTAACGCCACGGTGTAAGTTTATTATAAAAAAAAATACAATTTTTTTTCAGACGAAGTGAACGTGTGTGTGTGTGTGTTTGTTTGAGTGAGTGAGAGAAAGAAATTATGTCAACACTAATAAATTTACTTGTATTCATTTTCTGGATACACCTATTAACCACACATGATACTAGCAACTAGACGAAAAGAAGACCGCATCAAACTGTACCCACATTCTTTCTCCGCCACTAAGCTCGCGTTGACACTAAGTAATTATAAACATCAGCATGACATGATGGCGTGCTTTTGTTATTTGTAATACAGCAACGTCAGCACGTCTTAGAGCTGCTGCTACCTAAACCCTCATGCTTTTAGAAGGTAACTAACAAATAGAAGGTAACCGCCATATAGAAGGTAACCACTATATAGATGGTAACCACTATATAGAAAGTAAAAGTAAGTAAAGTTCCCTTTTCAAACCTGACGGTCTATGGGGCAAGTGTAGTAGAGTTCACTTGTTTCTGTGACCTCGGCATATGAAGAGATAGTGTGGTCAGCACTATGCCCAGCCGCCTTTACTTTCCCCTAACGTGAGTTAGGTACCCATCAGAGTTGGGTGGACTCAGGGACGGTCTATAAACTTGAACCCGGATTCGAACTCGAGACTAACGGGTAAGCAGTCCAGCTCTCTACCGCTAGACCACTCCGTCCCATTGCTATAATAGTGCAACTATATTCATATTT